GTCATTTCTACAGACCCTCCAAGTCTCCCCATTTTCCAGGGACGTCCCTGATTTAGAGAAGCCATCCTGGTTTCTGATTCGATCCCAGAATGTTCCCCTTTTCCTTAGGATATCCTATTTTCATTGGCGAAATGTTGGAGGGTATGGAGTTATCCAACCCCTGAGCCATCTGAAGGCAATCCTGTATAGGGAGTCTTTTTAATGTTTCATGTTTCATTATGTTTTTATATATGTTGGAAGCTGCCCAGAGTGGCTGGGGCAGCCCAGGAAGATGTGTGGGCTATAAATGGTAAAAATATCATTATGGAATGGGACGTCCCTATTTTCATTGGAGAATGCGGCAGTCTTCATTAGAATATCCATTGTTCCAGTGGATACTGGTGTACAGATATAGAGGAAACAGATTTGGAGCAATCTAGGAGTGGATAGTTACTAGACATAGCACTTAAGCTGATTCTGTTCCTTGTCACTGTGATAAAAATAAACAAAGTGCTTTTGCACCTGTACTGGCAAAGGACACTTTTACCAAGCAGGCATCCACATCTCGTACAACACTTTCAAAAAAGACTTAATTCAGCGGGGAACCAGCACAGCCCCCACCACATGGAGGGACGCAGGCTGCAACCTCAGCTTATATTTTCTCTAGCCACAGGCTTTCTGGGTATCTCCAAGAATGCCCTTGTTAAAATGCCCTTGTTAGAATTATTAAAGAGCTTTCTCGGCTCCCAGAAACAGCTTAATTGCCTCTCCCAAATGTGACATTTTCTAAAGCTGGTCTGTTGCTGCATACAGAATTGGAGGTGTTGGGTTTTCTGTTGGTTTGTGGAAAAAAAAATATATACGTAGGAATTAGAAATTATTAGAAAATGAGATTCAGAACAGCTTCACATTTAGCAGTGAGGGCACCCCCAAACCCTGCTGCACATGAAATGTTTCATTAAATATATTGGCATTTTGAGAAGCAAGTGAGATGCAGTTAACTGTGTGATGTATCTTTTTAAAAAGCTGTGTCGCCCCGGTCCAACGAAATGTTGCACTCACAGCTGACATGTGTGGGATGCTCATCAACAACAAGCCTTGGAGCCATTATGTATTACACACAAATTAGTCTATCTGCATGGCTCTGCAAACCTTATGCTACAGATCTGTGCCTCCAACTTTCTTGGGTAGAGAGGTGTTTCAGGGACCTAACTACAAGGAATGTTAATGGTGTGATAAACAGTTATGCTGTGAGTGTTTGGAAAATAAATATCAGGCATCTTACCCCTACCCACCCAAATGTTATCAGGATCACAGCACACAGGGAGGGGACCATTCAGTCTTCCCACCACAGTTCCCCGCTGTGCCAGTTAGTACTGGGGGGGGGGGGGGAGAAAGTCACACTGAGAAAATGGAAGCCTTTTTCCTCATGTTAATTGTCACTGGGGGGGGGTGAAGTTCACTGAGATTGTTGCTGGGGAATGAAGCTTTTAACCTCTACACTCTGCACACTGTGATCTTGAGAACAATATCCTCTCCCAACACATAATTTGGTGTACTTAAAAAAGAAGAAGCATGCACAGTTATTGTTAAACATGTAATGTGGTTCGGCTAGGGGTCACCAACTGCTTTTAGACATGCAGGGACATTTGGATTTGAGAGGAAGCAAAAAGGGCCACAAAATTTCTGTTTACACACACATTTGCCCACTTACTGTACCTGAGAGGGACTGACTCCTTCCTAAAGCTCTGGTGGCTTTCTCAAGGGGGGGTGTGGATCTACACACAGAAAAAAAGCCACTATAAATAAGTTAGAAATTAAATGTTATAACAAAAGAAAAAAACTGTGATTTAAAATCGCAAAGAACTTTTTTTTGCTCTCCAGCACCACCTGGTGTTACATGTTTATAACACATTCAAAGCCCTGTTTTTGTTAAGTCTGGTCACTGTTACTATAGCTGTGGTCGCAACACCAACCATACAATCTCACGTGTCCTTTTTAAGCAAAGAGATTCAGAGATTCAAGCAGTGGAGGTGAATCTCCATTGGGGTGAATGGAGCCATGCCTCACCAACCTCAGACAACCCTACCTGCCTGCCTTCTTACTTAACAGCCAGTCCAGGAGATAACCCTGGCCGTCAGCTTTCGGGGTTGTCCCTATAGAAGTCAGCAGGGAGGAGGAAGGGGGGGAAATTAGTTTGCTCAGCCCATCATTGCTGTCCTCCATGTCTTCTTCCTTACCAGTCCCAATGGGTACCAGCCACCACTGGATGTGAGTTTTGGGCATGCATACACCTAACACATAGGCCTGCAACAATCACTCAGTATATACAGTCTGTGAGCTTGTCAAGGTTGGAGAAGATGGCAGCTCTCAGACAGTCCTATGGCTTCCCTCAAGGAGTTCCCCTGAAGTTACCAGGATTTGAAAGCCACATTCTAATTCACACAAACCACATTCTAATTCTTTCCCTCTCTGATTACTAGGCAACAAAACAGAACACGCTATTCAGGCTGCTGGCTCTATATTTCCCCTCATCTAACAATGGCATTAGAAATTCTAACATTAGTCATATTTATTATATAGTCGGATAATGAAAGATTTTTTTGTGAGCTTTAATGATGCATCCAACCAAGGAAATACAATTTTATACTTTCCTGTATTAATGGTTTACTCACTGCTCTTAACTACTGGATTTTAATTACATTTTTTTTAAAAAAAAAGTAATGAATTGTAATTTTATGTTTCTATATTAATGGTTTCTTTGCTAATTTTCAGTTCTGGGTTATTTTACTGCTGATTAAAGTTAACACTAAATTAATTTGAATATATTGGATTGTATCGAGTGGTAGCTCTGGACTAGCAGAAAGCACCTCCCACAAATCCAGGGTGGGGCTCCAGATTTCCACTGATGTACCTCTACCCACTGGACCCCACTTGGCCCCTGAATGCTGCTCTTGAGCATTGAATAACCTTTTGGGACAGTATAGCAGAGAGCCACAGTAGTTGCTGGAGTTTGGCAAAAGTTGAACGTCCCGCCCAGTATGAGTATAAGGAGCTAATTCCAAAAGAACTGTGAGAGCTGAGAAAGACTGTGTTTGCCATCTGAGCATGGCTGTTTCCACCTGCCTTGCTCCTTTCCCTGCAGCACTGGGAGCCAGGCCTGGCATTAGCCAAGGTCCCCAAAGCTCAGAAGGGCCACTCACTGGCCAAGCCTAGCTGTGCAAACTTCCCATCATCCTCGCTGGGCCCCCCCATGGCATTTTAGCAGATGGCAGTGCCACTTTTGACTCCAGCTCAATTCTTACCACCTACAGTGGCCACCCACCATTTTAATGTACCCAAAATTCTATGAGATGGGGTACTGCATTTGGGGTAAATTGAAATGGTGGGCAGTCCATCATGAAGGGGAGCCAAGGTTGACTCCCATTCAAATGTGGCACTGCAGCTCTCACCTATCACTAATATGTCTAGCATTGAAAAGATCAGTGTCGGCACCAGGCAGGCCTCACTTGGGAGAGCATTCTGTTGGCAGTGGGCCACAACTGGGAAGGCCTTCTCTGGCATTATTCATTGCATTTTTCTGAAACTGGCTGTGGCGTTTGTGGTGTGTGACATCATACTGGGTTCATAAGGAAAGGGTTAACTAATCGTAAAATGACTAACCTATAGGAACCCAAGGGGAGGAGTTAGAGTTAGAGTTAGAGTTAGAGTTAGAGTTAGAGTTAGAGTTGTTAAGAAGTCAGTCTGGAGTTAGAGAAGAGAGAGGGAGGATAAGTCTGTGGGTTGGGCTAGTCTGATGTGAGAGAATCTGTTAAGAGGAGTCAGTCAAACAGTTGAGATAATCAGTCAGAAGGTATTAGGAATGTATAGGCTGATAAAGAAACTAAGGTTAAGAAACTGAAAAGAAAAATTATCTGAAACCATAAACTTGTTATTGCTTATAAAATAAACTTGTTTATTTGGTTTAATATTAACAACTGTCTGGACCCAAGAGTAACGGGTTGGTGGCAGCGGGGAAGTGAGCACAGTGGTGGCACAGGGATCAATAGACCGTCAAACGTCCGGGGACCCTGTGTGATCGCCACACTGGCCCTCTTATAACCCATACCAGGCAGATCACTATCTACAAATTCCAGACTGATTAAACAGATCTTCTTGATTTTATGGTCACTCTAATTCCCAGGTACTATAATGGGATAATGCTAAAAAGAAAAAGAAATCTAAATATGTTAAGTAACTATACAGCTGTTTTTGGAGTCCATAATTCAAATTACCTGAAACAGATGAGAAAACCAGACTGTCTTTGTATGTATACAGTTATATTCATATTATAATATGAATTAATACTATAATATTCATATATATTCATATACTATCATATTCATATATAGTATTCATAAAGGAGTCATATATGTGTGTTATATGTGTTACACAGTCAGACCTGGGTTTCTGATAGTTACCAGTCTCCGAGTTTGCTTTCTCTTCTTCTCCGGCTTGCAGTGGGAGGGAGGAATCAACATTTTGTAAATATTCAAGTCACATAAACCAGAACACACACCACAGAAGTGCCCCACAGCCAATCTCTTGCCCACCATGGCTCCTAAAAGATTATTATAGCAGTTAAAAAGATTAGAAGTTTTATAAATTATGATTATGCACTTATATTTCTGTTTATTGATCCTTTAGGGAAGACTAACTTAATAACCTAGACAAAGCACTTTACGCATTTGTTAGGAAGATTTGTTCAGTGCTATGAAAATGACATTGTCAAATGGCATGACTGGTCCTTTGCCAACAGGCTTCCCGTCAGGACAGAGCGGGCCAGAAAAACAAGTCCCTAGAATTGTTTTACTATGTAAAAAACAGCAGGTGAGAATGTTGGAGTCTTTTCTCTTTCTCTCTCTTTTTAATTTTTTTTTACAGGGGGGAAAAAACTATTGCCATTGCTTCAAGTGGCAGAAGAACAGCAATGATCACCCTGTCTGTATTCTTCCTTTCTACACAATTTCTATACAATTAATGGGGAAGCACCATAGCTCAGTGGTAGAGCACCAGCTTTGAATGCAGAAGGTGCCAGGTTCAAACCCCGGCATCTCCAGATGGGGCTGAAAAAGTCCCCTGGAAAGCCACTGCTTTTGTGGATGTTATTGAGCTAAGTGGACAATGGCCTGACTGCTGAGGTGTGCCTGCAATTGTGAGACCTGAAGAGATTGTGATGGTGCATCTCCCTCTGTTGCCATTGGCTGACTACTGCCTGTGATGTCACAAAAGCACATGGCAACACAGCGGATACAAAGATGGGCCATGAGAAAAGCTGGTAGGCTAAAGGGGAAGCATTTCTCTCTTCCCTACAGAACACAGACGACAATGACTGTGGCATAAAGCATTCTCCTATCTTCTTCCACCTGCAGCAGGCAAATTGGCAGATGGAAAGAGGTGATCTTCTGGAAGCAGAATGTTATGGAGTAATAACAAGGTAAGCTCACTTGCTGAGTGGGGTTATAGCTTTCAGGTGGCTCGTCATACCCATGGTCAGAAGCTTCCTGGTGTCTAGTGATGGACCTAGTGGAGCTCGTATTTGGAAGTCGGCAGATGCTGTAAGGCTGAAGCAGGCTGATCGTTTTCATCTTTTGAAATTAGCCAACAGAAGCTGGTGGATTTTTGTAAGATGAAGCTGGAACATGAATGTGAATGAATGGAGAGAGAATAATGAGTGAATGTGTCTGTTAGGAGCCTGAAGGGCCCCGCCCTACTTCTTTCCACCTGGCTTGGGGCGGGGCCTGACAGGCTCCATAAAGGACTGCTGCTGCCACTGCTGCTGGGTAGAGATGGCTCCATTTTTGTTTTTGAATTGCTTTTATTTTTTTATCTATGTCATTTTAAATTGTGATTGATATTAATGCTGTATTCTTAGTTTTAGATTTTACGATTTATGTGGAAATGGTTTTCCATTTGGTTGTGTACTTTTTGATGTGTTTTATTTATTGCTTATGACTTTTTTATGTTGGTGATTATGTAAATCTTGTCATGTTTTATGCTGCCTTGAGCATTGTTTCAACTATGGAAAGGTGGCATACAAATAAAATGATGAATGGATGAATGAATGAATGTTTTTCATGGATGTCTGCTGCGTGTGGGTGGATGGGTAGAAGGTTTCTAATGCGGTCAGTGCAAATGCTGTGTGCATGCATGTGAATGTGCTGTATGAAAGCACATGTGCTGTATGTGCTGTGGATATGTATATGAACAGATGAAAGCCATGGGAGCTGGCAGGATGAAGCTAGCTGATAGAGTCATGAGACAGAAGCTAGTGGAGGTGCCTGGGTGATGCTGTTGGATGGTAGCCAATTCCACTCATTGTCCCTGAGGTTTCTTTCCTGCAACATGCCCTCAGTACCCTGAGGGTACATTCTATCATATGTGGTGGACCTGTAAAAGGATCAAAAGAATATTGGGAAAGAATTCATAATGAATTGAAAAAAAATGTTTAAAAGTACTTTTCCAAAAAACACACAAAAAACCAGAGTCCTTTTTGTTAGGGATAATTCAGACAGAAATTCCCACGTGTCAAAAAAGGTTATTTATGTATGCCACTACTGCGGCCTGTGTTTTGTTAGCCCCAAAATGGAAAACGAGCGAGGTCCCAACTAAAAAAGAATGGCAACTTAAACTGATAAAATATGTGCAGCTTGCGGGCCTAACAAATAGAATAAGAGAACAAGAAGCACATATTTTTTAAAAAGATTGGAAAATGTTTGTTGATTATATGGGGGAAACTGTGTACACTTGAAAATGTTGGCAACATTAAGATAAATTCAACAGCGTAAATAAGTTTTGGTGGATGTAATAATGGAATACCAACGGGTTTAGTTTATGTTAAATTTGCAGGGATTTATGTTATGCAAAATAAACCATGGAAAGAGAAGAAGGGAAGTCATTGATATTTTAAGGTTGTTTAAATGAATATTCTAAAATAAAAGAAACAGCAAATTTAATAAAAAATATTGAAAAAACAACAATATGAATGTTTGAAGGCAGCAAGGTATTCTCAATAATAAGACCACACTGGTCAATTACGAAGAGGAATGCAGGGCTGTTTGAAGATTGCAAGGTTTTCTCAAGACCCCACCCCTAGTGAAAGCAAAGAAGAGAACTGCAAGGTTTAATTGCAAGCCAGCTTATATTTCTAAATATATATCTAAATATTTCATATTATATTTCTAAATATTTTGCTTTTATGGTGTTGTCCATCCCTGTTGTCAGTACACTCGTGGGGTAGGCTGATGTGGTGTTTGCCCTTCTATGTGTGTGACATCATACTGGGTTCATAGGGAAAGGGTTAACTAATTGTAAAATGACTAACCAATGGGAACCCAGGGGGAGAGTTAGAGTTAAGATGGAGAAGACAGTCTGGAGTTAGACGATAGATAAGATAAGATAAGTCTGTGGTTTGGGCTAGTCTGGTGAGAGAGAGTGAGAGAATTTGTTAAGAGGAGTCAGTCAAACAGTTGAGATAATCAGTCAGAAGGTATTAGGAAGGTATAGGCCGGTAAAGAAACTGAAGTTAAGATACTGACAGGAATATTATCGGAGAAACCATAAACTTGTTAATGTCTGTAAAATAAACTTGGGTTTTTTGGTTCACTTTTAACAACTGCCTGGACTCCATGTTTTACCAGAGAGTAACTGGTTGGTGGCAGCAAGGAAGTGAGCACAGTGGTGGCACAGGGATCAATAGACTGTTAAACGTCCAGGGACCCTGTGTGATCACCACAGCTATATATATATTTCATTATAAATAAATCATTGTGAAGTGTTCGCACAATTTTCTTATTGAGAGGGTGGTAGTCCTATGGTATTCTGAAAATTGCATTGAAATAGGCTCAGGGCAAAGATTAAGGCTCCTTCATTGACTATTGTGATTAGGAAGAACAATCAGGAAAGGGTATGAAAGTCCACTCACAGAAAGATCCATAGACACGAATGGCATTAAATAACTAATAATCAAAAAAGCTGGGAAATGGCTTTTTCATCCTTTAAATTTTATGACCCAAACTGGCATCGGCTGGGTATGAGAGCCTTTGAGAGTATAAGCGGAAATTAGCAATAGCTGTTTTGAACTCCAGAGCTTTCTGCTCCTGAAAGGTTAATAGAGAGCCCATCTTCTTAAAAGTAAGAAAGAAAGAATAATTCCTTTGCTTTTTAAAAAATGGTTATTGAGTTACAGAACAAGCCAGTAGGAATTTAACCATCAACTTCCATCATCCTGTAAACCCTTCAGCTGAAGAAATCTTCATTTACTTAGGCTGCAATCCTAACCCCACTTACCTAAGAGTAAGACCCATTAAATTCAATAGGACTTACTTTGAAAAAGATATGGTTAGGATAGCACTGTTAGACTGTCCACTTACAACCATTTCCCAGGGTGTAAGTTCTTCTGAAGTCAACAGGGCTTACTTCTGAGTAGACGTATGTGGAATTGTGGTATTTCTTACTATCATGCATAGCTGCTGCAGAGATAATAAGAACATTGGAAGAGTCTGCGGGATCAGGCCTTATCTAGTCCAACATCTTGTTCTCATAGTGGGCAAACAGATGTTCATGGAAAACCTGCTTTTCTTCTTTGGTGATCACTCATAGCCGAGTAAGATTGTCTTCCATAAACACGGTTTTTACAGTGAGTCCATAAGTGACTGTGGAGGCCAATTTTGGATCCGCATGTCCTTCCACAGTGGGGACATTTGTTTCCGGGCGGGAGCTGATCACGGTGTGGATTTGCCTAGCGTGCCTTCCTCTTAGCACGTTTCTCCCTTGTGCCCTGAGTTCCAGTGTCTTCAAAGCCCATGACACCTTTGGTAAAGGCTGTTCTCCAATTGGAGCACTCGCAGGCAAGTGTTTCCCAATTGTTGTTGTTTATACTACTTTTTTATTAGATTTGCCTTGAGACAGTCTTTAAACCTCTTTTGTTGACCACCAGCATTACGCTTTCCATTTTTAAGTTCAGAATAGAATAGTTGCTTTGGAAGATGATAATCAGGCATCCAAACAACATGACCAGTCCAACGAAGTAGATGTTGAAGAAACATTGCTTTAACACTGGTGATCTTTGCTTCTTCCAGTACACTGGTATTAGTTCGCCTGTCTTCCCAAGTGATGTATAAAAAATTTCGGAGACAAGTCTGCTTGTCTCCCCACTTGTGACTACCAGAAACTGGCATGCAGAGGCATGTGACTTCCAACAGTAGAGGCAAAGCGTAGCCATTGTGGTTAGTAGCTACTGGTAGCCTTCATGAATTTGTCTAATCTATTATCCTCTTTTAAAGCTGTCCAAATGGTTGGTCATCATTATCTCTTGCAAGAGGCTGTGAAAGAAACCTGTGAAAGCAAGTCAGCTTCCCAGCAAGAATATCCAAAATTGTGGATTTGTAGACAGCTCCCATCTTTGTAACTTTGCCATTCCCAACCCACTTTTGTCCCTTTTCTCCACTTTAAGAACAACAGACATGACACCATTTCACTGTAAAATATTGATAGCATGCTAAACTATGAACTACAGCTGTTTCATCCCCTTGCCACTTAAATTCTTGTTACAAATCATGTTCAAAGTGACAAAGGTCACACTCGATGCAAATCTGCAGTGCTCAATTCACAGTTCCACTTGGCAATTGTTTGAATATGCAATATTCTCACCAAAGTGAAATTTGCATGAATATTGTTATTTGGCTCCACTTTGATAGGAACAGCTTCTGAAAGCATTTTCTAGGAGGCGATTTGCTGCATAAAAAAAATAAACTTTGTGCGAAAAGTTGAGGCAGAACAAGAAAATGAACATGGTGGCTGCCTTAGACCTTCTAAAAGCTCCTGTCCCTTTTCTATTACATCGTTCAGAAAAGCACTTCACTTTGCATTGCTACTAGTGCTAACACAAATCAACCTTTTCTTTAGAGCCAGGGTGGGAAAACACTGATAAGGACAATACAGTGGTACCTCGGGTTACATACGCTTCAGGTTACAGACTCCGCTAACACAGAAATAGTACCTCGGGTTAAGAACTTTGCTTCAGGGTGAGAACAGAAATCGTGCTCTGCCAAAGCACAGCAGCAGGAGACCCCATTAGCTAAAGTGGTGCTTCAGGTTAAGAACAGTTTCAGGTTAAGAACGGACCTCAGGAACGAATTAAGTACGTAACCAGAGGTACCACTGTAGTGTTGAACCACCTGCTTATTTTAACACAGAGGTCAAAAAGTATGTGTACCGGAACAAAACAGCTGTTAAATGTTAATTTTAATCAACAAGAAAGCATTTTTAAGGTTTTCGCCTTTTTAGCTAAAGACAAAACTGCTTCAGGATCCAAAGCTAAGTCAATAAAACACAAATTATGAATCATAGCAGAACACACTGAAAATGTAACTTCTTGATCTCAGCTTGAAAGCAATATTTATAATAAAAATATTGCGCTAATATATTCTGGGCTTTTCACATAGGGTAGTTCTAAAACCTGTTCTCATTTGAACCCCAGAAGTACAAAAGCAACATGCAGCTGCTTCTGATCTATGGAAATGTTGAGTTTTAAATATGTACTATTGCATTAACATCCTTCTCCCACCACCTCAGCTGATCCATATTTACAAGCAGATTTTACTTTATTTTCTCTCTCACTATGTAGCAAAGAATGTTCTTAAACACATGCAGGGGAGAAACTGTATTTACACTGACACAGAAATCATTCCAGCAATTTTTTGTTAAAAAAGTATAAAAGCTAATAATAGGTTTGATAATGAATGCACATTTCCCTGCTTTAAATAGCAGCAGCTTCTTTATACTTATAATAATATTGACAATAGTGTTGAACCACCTGCTTATTTTAACACAGAGGTCAAAAAGTATGTGTACTGGAACACAACAGCTGTTAAATGTTAATTTTAATCAACAAGAAATCATTTTTAAGGTTTTCGCCTTTTTAGCTAAAGACAAAACTGCTCCAGGGTCCAAAGCTAAGTCAATAAAACAAATTATGAATCATAGCAGAACACACTGAAAAAGTAACTTCTTGATCTCAGCTTGAAAGCAATATTTATAATAAAAAAACCTGTGCTAATGTTGTTATCAATGCCACCCTTTGCTCTAGCTGATTAGACATAATTGCATTACTTTCCATTTTATAGCAAACTACAGAGGTAACACATTGGATTAAAATTATAAATGATCCATTTTACAAAAAATAATGTGCCACTTTATAATGTGCATGGTAAGTTGATATTAAAGAATTATTTAATGGTTTGTTTATTGTGGGTTTCTAGACAGGAGACGGCCATCAAACTTTAATTTTGTGTGAGTTACCAGAATAAATTAGCTAATATCCTGCAAATTGCATCATCTTTCATAAAACCCTTTGCCTGATGTTGTTCAGGGAATCGGTTGGTTAGAAGACTCACTGTCTAGCTATAGTTCGGCTTAGGCAAAACCCTCTCCTGTCAAAGCACATGAATGCTGGTATCCAGGCAGAATCTCTCCACATTTTCCAAATGTTCTCTTTTTGGGCAGCCTAAGACCAAGCTTTTCCTAGTCTGCAGGACTTTAGAGTGTTGTTTGTGCTGTACTTTTGTACTGTTTTATTGTTGTTAGCCACCCTGAGCCCGGCTTCAGCTGGGGAGGGCGGGATATAAATAAATTTATTATTATTATTATTATTATTATTATTATTATTATTATTTAAACTGCAAGGAGAGGGGCAATTTCTTGAATGCTCCCTTGTGAAACGAGCTCCTTGTGTGTCAGGCTTCTGTATGCCAAAGAGAAAGGCTCAGCTTGGCTGTCACTCTGACATGTTATTACTTTACCAGAGAATTCTGGGAAGTGTAGTTTATTAAGGATGCTGACCCCACAGACCTACAATTCCCAGCACTTTTAACAAACTACACTTCCCAGAATTCTTTGGGGGAAGTCATGACCCTTAAAGTGGTATAAGGGTGATTTAAATGTGTTGCATGGATATGGCCTTAGACGTGGAGGTAGTAATGGGGTTTGAAGCAGTAATATTTCTGAGTATCAGCCGCTAGAAGCCACAGAAGGGGAGATTGCTCTTGTACGTGGTCCTCTTGAGCAGTTCTGGCAGGCATCCAGGTGGCATCTGTGAGAACAAGATGCTAGACTTAGATGGGCCATTGCCGTGAAACAGCAGGCTCTTCTGCTTTTCTTACGTTCTTAAGTTACTTTGGCAATTAAGTGGTGTACAAGTGAAAATAAGATGCAGAGATGACCACTGACAATAAAAGTTGCAGAGCGTGCTGGCTGCAGTCTCCTGCAATCTTGTGGGCTTTCCTATTCTCATTGCTGCAGCACAGATAATTCCCACCACTACAACCAGCATTTTAAGATGGGCTGTGAAGTGTAGGTGGGTTCGGGCAAGACCCAAGGCTGAGATTCAGCTCAAAAAGGATTTATTGGAACATCAGGAACAAGAATGACAAACAGGGACACTTGGCCCAGTATATATATACCTTATATATATACCTTGGAATCAGCCTGATCCCCTCCCCCTCTTTCCTTTTTCTTCTGTGATGGAACCCCTACTTGGGGACTTCCCTGGCTTTTTTCTGGCCCACATAGGACCAGTCTGGATAGTTGGCCTTGGTGAAGATTTGACATTTTCTCCCCTCAAACAGTTTTTGATCTGGGCTTCCACTGAAATGAGGCTGCATTTTAAGTTGTATTTTAATCCTGTATTTAAGTTATATTTTAATCAATTATTTTTATACCTGATATTAGCCGCCCTGAGCCCAGTCTTAGCTGGGGATGGTGGGGTATAAATAAAGTTATTATTATTATTATTATTATTATTATTATTATTATTATTACACTGGTCAACAACAAATTTGTTGTCTGCATTTTTTCAGTTGATTTAGGACGAATCTGATGCACTGAATCCAAATATCACATTGGTTTTGCTCAATCAGGTCAAGTTTTTGAGCTATGGCCACATGTCGTTTTTTTACGTTTTTGTTCACGTGTACTCTTGTGTGGAGCATTTTAGAAGAAGTTGGTGAGGGTAAAATGCCATGTTGAATAATTGTTTTGATTGGAAATGATTATTTTAATGACAAGAAGTATTCAGGTCCGATAGTTCTGGGTTACTGTGTCGAAAAGGGATCAGTTTGAAGTGATAAAACCTCGAAATTTTCCATAAATTGGTGCAGCTGGGATCAACAGAAAGAACTGGAGCAGCCTCAAATATCCTGATCTTCAATCAACACGTCGTCCTGTAGCTCATTGTGATGAAATTCCAGTGCCTATCTTCGGAGAACTTCCTGACATTATTGACGAAGATGCCTCCAGTGTTGAAGGACATGAAGAAGAAGTGGTTCTTGAAGATGATGCTCCACATCCATTATCCCAAAAGGAATTGAATGATCTAGTTCGCGACCTCAGCTTGTCAAAGGACTCTGCCGAACTGTTGGCATCCAGATTGAAGGAAAAAAACCTCCTCTCTGGCAGTGCTCGCATCAGCTTCTTCCGCAACAGGCATCAAGAGTACCTCCGTTTTTTCTCGGAAGAGAAGGACTTGGTGTACTGTGCAGATATTGCGCAGCTTCTGCTCAAGCTTGGAGTGCCACAGTATGAACCCAAAGATTGGAGACTGTTCATTGACAGCAGCAAGCGATCACTGAAATGTGTTCTGCTACACAACGGCAACCAGTTTGCCTCTATACCCCTGGCTCACTCAAGTACACTGAAGGAGAACTATGAAGCGGTGAAGTATGTGCTGGAGAAAATTGGTTATGATCAGCATAAGTGGTTTATTTGTGTTGCCCTGAAGATGGCGAACTTTTTGTTGGGACAACAGTCTGGCTTCACCAAGTACCCATGTTTTCTGTGCATGCGGGATAGTAGGGACCGTGCTCAGCATTACATGAAGAACGACTGGACTGTGCGGGAGGAATTGGTGCCTTGCAAAGAAAGGAACGTCATCAACAACTCTCTGGTGGACAGAGACAGAATACTCTTCCCACCGCTGCACATCAAGCTCGGCTTAATCAAGCAGTTCACCAAGGCTCTGGACAAGGATGGTGACTGCTTCACTTACTTGTGCCAGGCTTTTCCAGGATTGACCATGGAGAAGTTGAAAGCTGGCATCTTTGACGGTCCTCAGATCCGTCAGCTCATCAGAGATCCAGAGTTCGGAAACTCAATGAATGAAGTGGAACTGGAAGCGTGGAAGGCATTTGTTCTGGTAGTGAAGGACTTTCTTGGCAACAATAAGGCCAGAAACTACGCAGAACTTGTCAACAACATACCGACTGCTTTCAGAAACCTGGGCTGCAACATGAGCGTCAAGATGCACTACCTATTTTCACATATGGACCGGTTTCCTGAGAAATGAGTGACGAGCAGGCAGAGAGATCCCATCAGGACATGAAAGAGATGGAGACCAGGTATCAGGGTCGCTGGGACACAGTCCTGATGGCTGACTACTCTTGGACTCTGAAGAGAGACCTCCATGCCGCTGAGCATTCCAGGAGTTCCAAGAAATGGAAGTTCAAGCCCTGAAGTTTGAAAAATGGTGAAGCAACATACAATTTACATGTACTTACCTTTATCAATGCCCACCATTCAGTTTACAGTAAACCTGACCTGATGGAGAGAAACGGATGCCATTTCCTGATTCAGCAGTGCAAAAATACCCTAAATCAGTTGTAGAAATCTAGACAACATTCAAAAAGTAAAAAATTGTTGCCCAGTGTTATTATTAAGCCGGCCCAGGCAAAAACACACACACTGCCTGTGATAGGTCACCTTAATGCTGCAATTAGCGAATCACAACACTGGCCCTATCTCAGCAGGGATTGGCAGCCTGCCAGCTACTAACAATGTAATTGGAGGGTTTTAGAATCCTCTCTGACTTGCAGATGAAGCTCCTGAGCTTCAGGAGGCCTGAAGGCCTAGGTCTGCATAGCATGTATATCGTCTGGCTTCAGCCTGCAATGCATGCATGCATAACAGGCTGCTCTTCTGCCTAAGACACTAAAGAGTGGTTCTATTTACAAAGATTAAGATAGCTGCAATTTCCTTTGTGCTGCAGACTGCAAATCAAATGAAGGAGAAGAGATTCTTTTGGGATCGGCAATCCTATGAATATGCCTATTGGCCTTCTGTATAAGGAGAAGTTGTTGGTATTGCAGGCTTGGACGGAGGCAAGACCTTTCAGCCATCAAAATCTAAATCCTACCAATTTGAATTTTATAGCTATGCACACAGATTTGCATGGCCTATTTTTGTACAAAATTGTTTTCTCTTTTTCTGGAGTGGGGGGTTCAGTTTCCTGTTTTTTTAGTGAACAGTAAGGAACCTTGTTTTTGTTGAATGTATAGAAACCAAAGCAAAGACCTATTGCATCAAAGCACTTTAATCAGCATCCGATTCTCAGCAGTGGCCCATCTAGATCAGGCATAGGCAAACTCGGCCATCCAGGTGTTTTGGGACTACAACTCCCATCATCCCTGACCACTGGTCCTGTTAGCTAGGGATGCTGGGAGCTGTAGTCCCAAAACATCTGGAATGCTGAGTGGGAAGCCTTCAAGCAGGGACCACATGCAGTGTATCCCAGCATACTGCCTCTGACTGTGGAGGTAAAACAGCAAACTAGGTTTTATTGAAGTCAACTTGCCATGCATCAGGGTTTGAATCTTCTTTGGACTGGTAGGGCTGAAGGGCCTCAGAAATAGAAATTCTGGCATGCAGTTATCAAAGCAATTGTTACAAGACAGGCAAGGCCATAGCAGGCAGACAAACAAAGAATGAGTAAATTAAGAAGTATTAACCTTCAAAAGGAGAAACATGGAATGTTAGAGCCTGATTGGATAAGAATGTAAAATCTCACTCTCTGGGGTGGTTTTTTGTTGTTGTTTTTTTGTATAGTCTATAAAAAGTGGGCGCACCCTGATAGGGGTGTGCAGATTGCGAACTTATTGCTTCTCCTTTGCTATGCATATGCATTTCAAATAAACCCTGTTGTATCCTGCAAGGTCGTTTGCCACTTTGTGTGAATCTGTGCTCCGGAGACCCAATAGCAGATATGGAACAGGTCCAACAGGGCCATTTCAGTGGAAGCTGGTGAATTCCTTCTCATCCAACATGCCCCCCAAGTCAAAGAAGAATGGACTTAAAGGGGGCATAGATTGCTTGCTACACCCTGAGCTACCTGTCACAGCTGCCAAGTTTTAATCAGACCTTTCCTCCTCCCTCGCTAGCTCTACGCTGCACACATAGCATTGACTTTCTGGTTTTTCTTTGACAGAATCAATTTGTCTTTAACGCTTGCACGACAGAAATTAAACAGGTGCAACTTTCTGCACTGTGTTTCCCGGACAGGAAATTCTGCATGAAATACATTTCTGTGCATCATGAAGTCACTAATGGCACAGAGCCTATGTCTCGAGTTGGGGGAAGTGAAGTAGCAACTATTCTATCTCTCGGGGAATTTACACTGCTTCACGGCTTGCTCTGCAGGAGGCATCCGACTCTTGTCAGACCTCGCAGAGCAGTTCACAGGAAGTCAGATACAGAATCTGAAAGATGCTGTGTATTGTTAAGGTGATCACCAAACAATGCATTCATGGGTCTGTACCTAGATCAGGATGCTTCCTCGTGCTCTAGTCAGGTGGGGCTTCATCCACCCGATATATGATATGACTCACATCTTCTTGTATGACTCATAGCTGTGAGTTTTATTCCAGTCTTCATTGATCCCTGGGTTTATTCCAGAGAACTTTAATAAGTGACCCCATACACAAAGCCCTGAGCAATAAATAAAAAAAATGTTCTGAATATTCCAAGCTCTGCTTTTTTATGATTAGTGTTATTAAAAAACATGATTTTGGAACTGACAAGCCAGTTTTGCCAGCCACCTTCGTTGCTAGAGATATTAATAGTGTTAAGAAAGTGATGTTCTCCAGGAAGAGATCATGAGAGAAACAATGATCTTCCCTATTGAAGGAATGACTTTTGTACGCCCATGGGTGAGTCACAATGACGGACATACATTATAAAATTAATATTGTGTATTTTAATTGCAATTTAAATGTAGAAAGAATCTAGTTGCCGTGGTTGTGTCTTTTACTAGATCTAAGAGGTGGATATGAACTTTTCCTGTGGAATCATCTGATGGTTCCTCCTTCACGTCATGCTCCCAGACAGTCAGTGACACATGATTAGCATGATGACATTATGTAACTATGATGTACATGGGAGACACTATGGGGAGATGCACTGTCACTCCCTTGAACTTTATTTTGTTTTGTTGCTGAAGCCACTTCAATGTTATGTTTAAGAATACACTCCTCCCTCTACATGGGAAGGGCTGCATCTCAGGGGCAGAACATCTGCTTGGCATTCAGAAGGTCCCAGCTTCAATCCTCGGCATCTCCAGGTACGGCTGGGAGAAAACCCTGTCTGAAACCCAGGAGACCTGCTGCCAGTCAGTTTAGACAACACTCAGCTGGAGAGACCAATGAGTCTGACTCAGTATAGAACAGCTTCCTACTCCACAGGTCACTGTCATCTGGGCTTAACCCCATGATTTCCATAAACCTTGCCTTCTAAGTGAACAAAGGACGCAGGTGGCACTGTGGTCTAAACCACTGAGGCCCTCAGGCTTGCCAATCAGAAGGTCAGCAGTTCAAATCCCCACGACGGGGTGAGCTCCCATTGCTCGGTCCCTGCTCCTGCCAACCTAGCAATTCAAAAGCACGTCAAAGTGCAAGTAGATAAATGACTGGACCTAACGGTCAGGGGTCCCTTTACCTTTAAGTTGACTACACAGCTAATATAATACCTAGTTGAGCAGTGCAAGTCAACATCTCCTTTCAGAATTTAAGGTGAGAGAAAGCTCATCTTAAATAGCCTAAAATTTGAATTTTGGGGTTGGATGGATGAAGGGATGAAATTCATTTTAAAAAGCATACACCCAAATGAAATATGTATTCAAATACACAATTGGACGTGAAGTTTTCTGTGAATGTTAAAAATAAAATAAAATAAAAATGCATTTTACAAATGCAGAAACAGGACAGAATGGATTTGCTTATTTATTTGTTTAGAATATTTTCAGTCCACCCTTCATTGTAGTACAATGTCATTGGAATATATTCTATTGTCTTTGGAAGCAATACAATCTTAAGAGCAGGTTGAAACCTCAGAAGGTATTTCTAAGATAAAGAAAACATTGTTGAACATGCATAATGCTGGTGATTCTAAAGTCATCATGCAAAGCCATGAAATTATATATTTGGAATAGGGCAATTATGAAAGCAGTCCTTGATACTGAAAATCTGTGTTAACATCAACATATTAATTTTGAGTACACACAAGGTACTTGAAAAAAGCGACAGCTTGTAATTTCTTTAATAAATACAGAGCCACGTTCAATTCCACTCATTACAATTGTTTGCTATGGCTAATCCATGCAAAGCAATGGGTCAAGTTTACACTCATGGATCTCTTATGAATGAATGAATGAGAACTAAGTCGGGAAATAAAGCTTGAAGCAAGTTCTGCACCAGGCAGGAAACGCTGGAATTGCAAGATGGTTCCGTGGGAAAGAAATTCACATTATACTTCAAGCAAGAGACCAGCCAGTCTCTACCTTGTGAATTAACCAACTTCGTGTAGAAAGATTCCAGGCAGGGACAAACCAAGCCTGAATGCAGCGAGAAGCCATATAATATTATTAGCTTTCTTATTTTGACAATGGCTTAGTTCAACCATGTGAAGCAATGATGTCTGACCATGCTGACAGGTGCTGTGATTCATGTAAAAACTGTGGGTTAAACAAAAAAAAATTGGGCCAGCACATTGATGCACTAGAATGGCTGCTCAGTAGATTTCAGCACTTCATTTCCCTCCTCTCTGCTTCACCGGTATATTACTCAAAGCTGGTTCCCCACCACCACCTTGGACAAAGGGACTGTTGTCTAGATGTCAAGCATTTTATGAGAAGCATGAATGCCAGTGACTAAGATCCAGCGCTGCCTCCAAATTCATGGATGCTCAAAGAAAGTGCCGTCCATGGGTCACCAACCACCACTGGTATGGGCCCCTCACCTACTGGGCTTACTGGCAGCAGCACCGCAATATTCAGCAGCAGTGCTCCTGAGGGTAGCATCTATTTGCCAGTCAGCATTTTGACATTCCCACAATGCCTCAGCATAATGACATTGTGGGGGGAGTCAAAATGGCACCTTTCTAACCACTCACCAGTGCCTCTCAGGAAACCAGGTTAAGAGACACAAATGCCAGCTCCATTTTGAATGTCAGGTCCATCTAGCTCAGCATTGTCTACACTGACTTCCTCAGACCTACCTGAAAATGCCAGGGGCCAGCCCTGGACCTTTGCCTGCAATGCACAACATCTACTGCTGTGTTTTGTTGTTGTTTAGTCATTTAGTCGTGTCCGACTCTTCATGACCCACATGGGCCAGAGCACGCCAGGCACTCCTGTCTTCCACTGCCTCCCACAGCTTGGTCAAACTCATGTTCGTAGCTTCGAGAACACTGTCCAACCATCTCGTCCTCTGTCGTCCCCTTCTCTTTCCCAACATCAAGGTCATTTCCAGGGAGTCTTCTCTTCTCATGAGATAGCCAAAGTATTGAAGCCTCAGCTTCAGGATCTGTCCTTCCAGTGAGCACTTAGGGCTGATTTCATTCAGAATTGATAGGTTTGATCTTCTTGCAGTCCATGGGACTCTCAAGAGTCTCCTCCAGCACCATAATTCAAAAGCATCAATTCTTCGGTGATCAGCCTTCTTTATGGTCCAGTTCTCACTTCCATACATCGCTACTGGGAAAACCATAGCTTTAACTATATGGACCTTTGTTGGCAAGGGGATGTCTCTGCTTTTTAAGATGCTGTCTAGGTTTGTCATTGCTTTTATCCCAAGAAGCAGGCATCTTTTAATTTCATGACTTCTGTCACTATTTGCAGTGATCATGGAACCCAAGAAAGTAAAATCTCTCACTGCCTCCATTTCTTCTCCTTCTATTTGCCAGGAGGTGATGGGCCCAGTGGCCATGATCTTCGTTTTTTTGATGTTGAGCTTCAGACCATATTTTGCGCTCTCCTCTTTCACCCTCATTAAAGGGTTCTTTAATTCCTCCTCACTTTCTGCCATCAAGGTTGTGTCATCTGCATATTTGAGGTTGTTGATATTTCTTCCGGCAATCTTAATTCCGGCTTGGATTCATCCAGCCCAGCCTTTCGCATGATGAATTCTGCATATAAGTTAAATAAGCAGGGAGACAATATACAGCCTTGTCGTACTTCTTTTCCAATTTTGAACCAATCAGTTGTTCCATGTCCAGTTCTAACTACTGTATATACATAGGTGTGGAATGGGAGGAAACCAAATGAACAAGGTGAGAAAACCAAAGTGGTTGCAAAGGCATCCTGATAACAGAAGGTGTGCTTTCATTTTCTATATCATTTGGAAACTAGGGATGCTAAACATCTGCTTGCCTCTCAGGCTTTGTTTCTGTTGGAGACTTTTATTAATTAGTAAATGTTTGCAATGTTCTTGGGAGGTGTTAACTATTATTCAAAGTAATTTACAGGTGCAATCTGGTGTTTGCTAAAAAGAACTTGCTTGCTGCACAGGCAGGGCTTTGTTTACTAATAGCTATCTTCCTGATTCTTTTACAGCTGATAAATGAGGCAAGGGGAAGGAATAGTCTAAAGATTTTTGGCAGGTTGTTGTTTTCCTTAAAATGAAACCCACTCATTAGCCCATCACAAGCTGAGAAATAACTCAGATTAATTAGGACCAAAGCTGATCTTGTTAGAAAGTGTGTTTTGAGCATGTGCAACTGGGATTGCTTGACTTAGAGAGAAGTGTTCATGTGGTTGTTTCAGTTACTGCATGGTTCAACTTGGCTCAGATCTGGCTTAGTTCAAGGGAGCCTCCAGCATGAAACTAATTGACTGCCATTTGTCAAGAAAGTTACATGAGGCACTTCAGTCTGCACAGGGACAATGGTTTCTTTCCCTACTACAGATGTTAATGACAGCAATCAACTTGTGAATGGTAACATTTTTGAATTAAGGTGGTGCCTTGACTCATTTTTCCTTCCTACCTGAAGATTTTTAGCAAAATGCTTGGCAAAAGAAGATACACTCAGTCTCCTTTTCAGCTGCATCCAATGGGACATGTCTCACAGCTTACACAAGACATAAAAAATGAACTTTAGATGCTTGGGATTTGCTTTGGATTCTCAATCTGTGGCTAGATTGGGCTCATGTGAGCCCAATAGAGCAGCTAACCCCCCCACCCCCAAGAAGGGATAGGCAAGAGTTGGAGAAACAGGGTGACACCAATGCCGTAAGAGGACTTGTTGCTCAAATTTGCCTATGATGGAGAATCTCTAAACTTACCAAAAGCATGGCACAAATCACAGCAGCAGCTAATGAAGCTGTGGACCTCATCTTAAAAGAAAAAACCTCTGTAAAAATGCTAAAGTATTCCCAAGCCGAATTTAAACTGCATCTTGAAGACATGCAGAACCATCATCATGATCTGAACATATGTGCATGAAGGATCCCTGAGCACTGAAAGATATTGAATACAGTGGTATCTCGGATTACAAACACCTCGGGTTACAAACACTTCAGGTCACAAACTCCACTAACGCGGAAGTAGTACCTTGGGTTGAGACCTTTACCTCAGGATGAGAATGGAAATCGGGGCCACTGCCAAGAAGGCCCTCTGCCTGGTTTCCTGTAAGTTCCCTTCTCTCAGTGAGGGAACCACTAGCAGACCCTTGGAGGAGGACCTCAGTCATGCTAAACATATGACTTTCCATGCTCCTAAAGGGGCAGAAGGGGTGAGTTTGATGTCATTCTCTGGAATTGTTTTCTACTTGTTTGTAACCAGTGTGTTTCAACATGGCACCCTTGTTTAAGGTGGCCATCAGTAGGTGTTAGAGATATTAGTTCTTTGGTGGAAGTTTAGTTTGGACAAGGGAGAGGGAGGGAGGGAGAATGTTGGGGTGTTCAGAGCACATATTCTTAGCAATTATTTCACAAAAGGGAGAGTGCTATATATATAAGTAAATTCTGTACTACAAGAGATTTCAATCTGGAGGTAAAATTCTAATTGTAATTCCAATTGAGCATTGGCATTAAAGCCCAATAATTTCAAAATATACATGGGTGGTATACAAATTTAATAAATTTGGTATACAAATTTAATAAATTTGGTATACAAATTTAATAAATAACAACAATAAAAAATCTAATAATAAAAAGAAGCATGGAGTCCCTGGTGTAATTTATGGGTGAAACCTTCATATTGTGTCAAGTGGTTTTCTTTTGTGTGACTGGAAGTGACATTCTGTATCCTTCCCAGTACACTGCATGGAGGAGTTGTTTGGTTGCAACTTGCCATTGTTTCCGTGCCTAATGTATTAATAGTTTGTTTTAAAAGAGGATGTGTGTGACTAATCCATTAAGGGCAGCAGTGCACTGTGGAATTAGAGTATATTAGCACAAGGGAAGGACAAGGACAATTAAATGAGTGTGTCACAGAGTATGGTCCACGTGTGCCAGCAGTATAGTAGAAGCTTGTTAAAAATAGAGAGAGTCTCATAGCATAATTCAGAGACAGAATGAAGAAATGCATACTTCATGGAGTTTGTTATCAGATGTCCCCTACTGCTGTGTTTTCAAACCCTGGTAAATAATTTAAGGTAAAAAGATAAAGAATTCTTGGATGGTTAAGTGCAGTCAAGGGTAACTATGGGGTTGCGGCACTCATCTCGCTTTCAGGCCGAGGGAGCCGGCATTTGTCCACAGACAGCTTTCCAGGTCATGTGGCCAGCATGACTAAGCTGCTTCTGGTGAACCAGAGCAACGCACGGAAACACTGTTTACCTTCCCGCCAGAGCGGTACCTATTTATCTACTTGCATTGGTATGCTTTTGAACTGCTAGGTTGGCAGGAGCTGGGGCAGAGCGACGGGAGCTCATCCCGTCGCGGGGATTCAAACTGCTGACCTTCTGACCAGCAAGCCCAAGAGGCTCAGAGGTTTAGAGCACACACCACCCATGTTATTCATCAAAAATATTTTAAAAATAAATAAATCAAGTAGCACCTTAGAGACCAACTAAATTTGTTCTTGGTATAAGCTTTCGTGTGCATGCACACTTCTTCAGATACCAATTTCTCAAAATTGTTATTATTTATAAAAATTGAGTAGGCTTAAGTCTGCTTGATTTCACTGGAAGAAAGTTAAAGGACATGAAATCAATGAGATTTAAAAGTGGCAATGAAATCAATGAGATTTAAAAGTGGCAATGAAATCAATGAGATTTAAAAGTGGCTGGATGCCAACTTTGGTGGGGGGGGGATGATATCACATGCTTAACAGGTATCCAGCCCCTCCCACATGCTAGATTTGGCCCAAGCAGATTCTGATAGGGATCTGGCCTCTGGCGCCTCAAAGCTTCCCCACCCATGGTGTAGTGTTTCCAAAAGAGTGCATTAGGTAAGCTCACCATTAAAAGCAAATAGAGCTGAATTCCGTCCCCATCTCTATGTACTAGGGACATAATTTCACTTTATTTTCCTAATCTAGGCATTTTTGCAAGCACCTTCCCATAAAAAAATGCAGTTTTGTACATACAGACTTTGCAAGATAACCTTTCTTAGGTTTAACATTTTCAGCCTTAAATATCTGCCACACTCAGGGTAATGACTCCCAATGTTTACACTGCCTTATTGCTGTAAATTTTATATGCTGACAAGCAGACCGTCCTCTTGGGAGTACCCTAAGTACAAAATTAAATTTAATCACCTAAGTTTTTTTATTATCAATTTACATGATTTGCTGTTGCTGTTGCTACATAGCTTGAAATAATTATACACACCCATCTCTTTTGTCTTTGCTGAACTATTTCATCTCCCCAACCTGTCGTTCAGCTTCTGATTACTTTCATATTGTTTTCCGCCTCAGACCAAGATTACTATTATAACACAAATTTAGATGTATCACCCTTTTTTAGCAAAGGAAGAAGCCTAATAAGAGTCCTTCGTTTTCCTATTTCTTAAAGAGCTGTTATTCTTTAGCCATTACTTCATATTAATTCCAACTTTCTGTTGAATAAGAATGTAAGAGGAGCCTTCTGGATCAGGCCCATCTAGGTCAGTATCCTGTTCTCACAGCTGCCAACAGCTATTTGAAGCCTGCAGGCAGGACGTGGGTGCAATGACAGTCTCCGCTCCTGTGGCTTCCAAGAACTGGCATTCAGAAGCATTACTTACTGCCTTCAGCTATGGAGGTGACTCAGGTAAGTGTCAAATAGTATATACTTTTCATAGAATCATAGAATCATAGAGTTGGAAGAGACCACAAGGGCCATCGAGTCCAACCCCCTGCCAAGCAGGAAACACCATCAGAGCACTCCTGACATATGGTTGTCAAGCCTCTGCTTAAAGACCTCCAAAGAAGGAGACTCCACCACACTCCTTGGCAGCAAATTCCACTGTCGAACAGCTCTTACTGTCAGGAAGTTTTGTAGATTGTCCCACTCATGATTATGGTGGTCGTCAGGTGTATGATCTTGCTAGATTTGTCATTGTCAGCAATATCAAAAGCAATACGATGGCCAGAAACAATTGCAGTGGTACCTCGGGTTAAGAACTTAATTCGTTCCGGAGGTCCATTCTGAACCTGAAACTGTTCTTAACCTGAAGCACCGCTTTAGCTAATGGGGTCTCCTGCTGCCGCCGTGCCGCCACTGCACGATTTCTATTCTCATCCTGAAGCAAAGTTCTTAACCCGAGGTACTATTTCTGGGTTAGCGGAGTCTGTAACCTGAAGTGTATGTAACCTGAAGCGTATGTAACCCGAGGTACCACTGTACAATGTGAAAATCTTTATGGACTAATTCAAAACATCAAAACTAACAAACTGAAGTCTCTGAAAGTCCTTAAATGAATCACAGTGCCAGACTTTACCCAGCGAAGAGCAAGCTGTGAAGCTTTGTATAATCAGCAAATGTCCGAATCTGATGTCCAACTCTGAACTCTGCTGAACAGTGTTTCCGGATAACAACTACTGTTTTGTTGAATTCTTCATCAGCCAATTAGTTCAACACTCGTGAGTAGAAAGATACGTAATTTCTTCATTAACCAAACTTTTTTCTAATAGATATAATATACATGAGAATGAAAAATACTCTGGAACAGTGCTCATGCGATTCCATGCACTAAATGCCAGGCCAGGGATTTTGGAGGACTCTGGTAGAAACAGGAGTAGAAATTCCTGATATTTGTCCTAAGTCTGGAACAGAAAACAATCCTGCAAATACATCAATATTTGCTGCTGCTGTTGCTTGCAGTCTGCAAAAAAATGCATAATGGATTACATTTGTTGCCCGTTAGCATTGTGTTTCCTTTGCACTGGAATGAATGGGAGTGGGGTAAAGTAATGGCAGTGCAATTTACATAATCAGTTGCAGAAATTATGTAGGTGACATAATTTTGCAACAGTGGACAGTGAGATGAATAATGCCGTTTTCAGAGGAGGGTAAACTACAGCGGAAATGGAACAGTGCTGCTTGCAACAAATGTAGGGCAGAGCGAAAAACTACGCCATTTAATATCCCCAGCCCGATCTCACATTTCATATAGCCATTGGTATCATAACTAAACACAAGGAGAGGCTTTCACTCTCAAATAATAGTAAGACACACTTAACTACAGCAAATATTACACATGCCCAAAGATGTGTTATTTGGTGCAGGCCATATCTTTAGCACAGAAGCTCGTTGCAATTTCTATTCCTTCAAATGTATTTGTTATCATGCACCCATGTGCCTATCTTAAATTAGGCTGCCATGGAGATGAAGAGAGCTATTCATATGCCTTCTCAGTTTAATTTCCCCTTTCTCCTAATTTTTGCAATACTTTCTTTGGTAGTCCTCAAAGACTGAAATCCAATACAAACAAAAATGCTTTTAGAGAGATTATTCAACCTATAATGTCAAATTCAATAAACTCAGGCAACACATTATTTATAAGAGGAGAGAAGGAAATGATGCCCCAAATTTCAAGTATTTTCAGAGATGCTCCGAGTTGAAAATTAAGGATGCATTATTGAAGCACTGAGAAACCAAATTGTTATTCAGAAAATGGAACTAACATAATGATTTTTCCATCTGGCATATTTATTCTGAATCCAATGGTCATTAATAAATCTAAACCCAGGGGAACTGAAGGCACATTTGGGGGTAAACGCCTACCGTTATTTGTTGAGAGAAGCTAAAATTGAGATCTTCAGAAAAATATAGTTAATTACAAATCATGCTGCCTTCTTCAATGCCCAATTGAGCTGTATAAATTAGTGTATGTGAAGCAAAAATACAAATATTAGCTAAGGTAGGCTACACATACCATGTACTCTGGCCTGTCTACATCTGCTGCAGAGTTTGTGGTTTGTTTTTTTACAGAAATGATATTGCATTCCTATATATTGGCACCTGAGGATGGGAAGGATTCAGTCCTGTAATTGTTTTGGTGGAAAGCTGAATGGAGTCATTTCACTCTTCCAGAAATGCATTCTACCACTCTGAGCATACACAGAGGCCTCAGATAAAGGAGCGAAGGATATTGTGAGAATAGGATGCTAGATTAAAATAGTCATTGGACCAGTTGGATCTTCTTATGTTCTTAAGACTCCCAAGAACTCTGCATTATCTTGTGTCAGGGACTGGCTGGATGAGGAAGAGTGGTGGAAGCCACGCACCCAAGAGCCGCCCAAGGGAAGACACAGAAGAAGATGACTTAGATCCAGGAGCCTGGTGGTGGGACACTGGCCACACCTCAGAAGTGGGGATGAGCTGGGAGATACTAGAAGCAGAGAGCCTGAGGGATAGTGAAGAGGCAGAAACAGGCAAGTAACCCAGCACAGGCCAGGGTTATGAGGTTTGCTGTTTGGATGCAGGCACCGACAGCGACGGCAGACGGGAGCCAGACCCTGCAATTCTCCCATGGATCTCCTGCTCCACTTATTCCTAGAATGTGACAAATGTTACATATTGCCAAGCAACTAGCTAGGTAGGTACAGAGGGAGGCTCCTGGGGTTTGCCGTAGCAGAGGATCATAGAGGGAGAGGCCCTGACTCAGAGGGTTAGAGAGCAAATGAGGGGTTGTACAACAGTTCGAACAACTGCTTCATAAAAGGGCTTGCCTTTACGAACGTCCTTGCATTTTTTTTCTTTCCTTAATAAAGAAACTAAGTGCATGTTAGCCTCATTTCTCTCTCTCTGACCTATGGATGACCAGCTCTGCCTGTAGGCTCTGCTACATCTTGATTCTCCACCATGAGGAGACTTCCATGCACATTGCACATTTAAAAATTGAAAATATGTGTATATTTGGGAAAATTGCATACAAAAATGTGTGTGTTCCCAGTGCACATTTTAATGCTGACAATGACTTTAAAAAAATACAAACTGATATGGAAATGGAAACTGAACTTATAATTGGAAAGAATGAAAAACCAAAAATGACAGATTGGCCCATTCATAATACCCCATGATCATTTTGATGCTCCATTTCTGAACCTTTTCCAACTGTGCCGCCAACATTAAAACTCTCTCTCTGTGTTAAAAATAATCTCTCTCTCTCTCTCTCTCTCTGCATGTGTAACAAATATGTGCTACCATTCTCCTAAGATATTGAAATTATTTCATCACTAAACACTTCCAGCAACATTTAGCAAGGCTTATTCATGATAAGATATAAAATATATTTTCTATTCAGTGGGAAGGGGGAAAAGGACTTTGTTTAAAGAGAGCCAAGAGAAAGACTTAATAATCCCCCCCCAAGAGATAAATCATCTTGGTCATGTAATTAACTCAAAATTACAATGGCAATAAAGGTACAGTTAAATTCTTATTGACACATTAAAATTGTGTGGAAATGTTAATACATTTAATTGGCATTTAACTAGGTAGCTGCAGCTAGTTAATTAGATATCAATTTACATACTTAATAAATGCCAGAACATTTAACGATTATGCCCACGCCCATCAGAAAAGGCATATATATTATTGGATCTCTCTGCTACTGTTGCATTACCTGCAGCCTCTGTGGAACTTACAGCCATATTGTGCAGCCTGAACAGAAATCTAAAAGAGAAGCTGTGGCTTTTAAGGTGCTGGTGTTTTCTTATCCTAAAGACTGGTACAACAAGGAAATGGGATACACATTGTCCCTTAAATGTTTGTAGTAATCAAGAAACTGTTTGTTCACTGGGTGGACCACCACGTAGCCAGCTGGACGTGTACAACTGCTTTGGAGACTATACTTTCTGGGAGCCAATGACCTATTTTGTCCGAGAATGAAGATGTTGTGCTTCATGCAGAAGAATTGTCTGCACTGCTCACCTATTGGTGGTGCTTCTCTATTCAACAACTCAAAGTGAAATTTGGATGGAATGTTAACAGTTCGAACGATACAAAACTTGGCTCTGATCATTCTGACATCCATTAGGAAATTTACCATACATGCTTCTCCTAAAATAAGGTGGTTCTCATTATTTCTGAAGTTGTGCAGAAGAAGGCTAAAATATTTCCTGTGACTCATCAAATCATGCAATACCACATTTTCTGCCAATATCCCTTACATTTAACCAGTACTTGAAGAGGACAGCCTGAGCCACTGCCAGCCCGAGCAGAGGCAGGACCCTAGCTCCTACCTGATCACTCCATTGTGGCGCTTCTGGTTCTGCGGCACAGCGCCCTCTGGAGGTTGCGTGTGCCCCTCCAACCCCCTCCCCCGCATAAAACAATTTTTTTTCAAAAACCCAAACTGGACATTTCCTTAAAAATCCTCCCCAATGGGCATGTTGACCCCGCAAAAGAGGACATGTCCAGGTTTTCCTTGACATATGGCAACCCTAACTTCACCCGAAATGATGCAAATCTCCAAATACAATAGGCACATCAATATGTGAAATACACATGCAACAAATATTCTTGCATATGAATGGAGTTTCAAATTCTACCCGAATGGTCTTAATCAAGGGTGGGTGTTGGGGCACGGCAATTGAAGCAGTGCTTGAATTCAGTCAGACTGCTAGTGGTAGACTCCTTCTGAAAACATTTATATATGTACAGTGCCCACATCATTTTATATTATTTCAATCATCCGTAAAGTAAAAAATGTTGATTTTACTCCCATAATGCAGTGTTGCAGCCTCCTTAGTGAAGTACGTTCTATACTGACCCACCCAAGCTGACCACTAGATCTTTCCAGGCTGGGAGGATTATAAACAGCTTACTTCTCTCGCTGAACCTTCTTTGAGCAACATTTTTTTCATGAGCTTTGGAATGTTCCTTTATTGTTGGTTGTTCTTCAGTCTTGACTCCTGGCTTGTTCTTCTTGGTTTATCCTCTGGTTTTGACTTGCTCTTCAGTCCTGGCTCTTGGGCTTATTCTTGCTTCTTGACTTGTCCTCCAATCCTTCTTGCTCTTTTGTTCTGACTTCTGGCTTGACTCATTACACTTATCAGTTCAGAGCATTGACCTGTTTCGTTGCTTGGCTCCTTACTTCAGAGTGCTGCGGTGGCCTAACCCAGACAACAGACTAGAAATAAGTACAGCACAGAGCACTAGAGCACATACTTTTCAGATTGACTTGTGACAGCACACACTTCCCCTGACCTCACAAATTCATGACTAAGATGAGAGATTTGAACTGAGGGTTGTCCAGCTCATAAACTTAATCGTTGCTCTGCATCAGCTATACAAGGAATATTATTCTCCAAAACTCTGGACCAACTTTGATAACAGACTTAAAAAACAAGACAACACAAAATTAATGAGTTTTCAAAGTTGCATGGAATGGCTTAACCAGTGTCCTTAAAAACCAAGTAGAAGCGTGCAGTAGCAAAATGTTTAGCAATTAAAAATGGAATTTTGACCTCCACCGAGGTCAAGTGAGCAACCTCATGAAACTTCCACTCAGCACAACAGTTTAATTATAAGTCTATAACCTATGAAAACAAGTGGGAATACTCTGTTGCTTATGTACAAAGGGCAACAAAAGGGCTGTGTCTCAAAGGATAACAGAAGGGCTAATTTGCATGCTGCGCCTTCATGACAACCACTCTGAATAAGGCAGATGTACAAAGTTTTGTTGGAATCCACCACCAAAACAATCAGACTTATCCTTGTGTGTGTCCATGCTTTGATGCTGTCAGGCTTCAGGGAATCCAGTCCCTCCCACAGTGGCAGCCAAGAAGCAGATAAACAAAAACCAGGTCTTACCAAGTAATTTATTCACTATGCACAGAGAGAGACGAAGGAATGCAGTCTACCTATGATAATGGCATTGCTCCAAGTAAAGTCCCACCCCCTCCATCTCTCCTATTCTATGTCACCCCTGTGTTGGCTAATCTGAGCTTTCTGCCTCTGAGTTTTCTGTTCCACTACTCTCAATGCACACCTGATCCTGGGAGGGGGGGGTCAGGCATGCTGCCCAAGGACACTGAGTCTGTCATGGTGTTTCTTCTTCCTGCTGTTCCTCTTTCAATATTTCCCATCTTCTCCCCTCTGCAGCCTCTGAACTATGCCCTTCTACAAACCACTGTTCTAAATCTGTACTATCCTTCTGTTCTCGGGAAGGTTTAGGAGAAGGGGGGGCAGTCCCCACCATTCCTCCTCAGTCCAGCCCCTGACAGATGCATTCATTGAGCTCTTACCTGATACAGAGATCCTATATTGGGTCCAGTCTTTGGGAAAGTTCTGTGCATGCATCACTGTTGCATACTTAGACTTCCCTCAATATTGGAATGAATGGGGGAAATCTGCTGAGAGCTCCATTAACACACCAGGAGGCCTACAGAATTATAGACGGAGATCAATGTATGTGAGAACAGAGAAACCATTCTATATGCATTAATTTATTATCTGATTCCAGATTTATTTCCTCCAGCTCCAGAATAATCACACTGCTTAATGCCTTTCGGGGAATTGCCCCCAATATCTAGCTATTGCTTGGAAAGTACTGAAATGAACTACATTGCTATGTAGTTGAGTTTTAAAGAGACATTTGTAAAGAAATAAGGCCAAATTCCTCTGTTCAGTTAATGTGGCTTAACTGTTGGTTAAGAGTGGAGTTAATGGCAATCAATGTAATGGAAAATGAAATTTGCCCTTGAAATGTAAATGTTACAATCTTGCAAAGTATGTCAGACATTCCTCTATAAAGTCACTGCAACACTTTCTCATGCTAATCAAAATTTTATTTACATTTAAAAATAATCCTTTTAATGAAGCGCCTACCAGTTTCAAATATCACCAGCACTGAATGTTCAAACTGAAAAAGTACAAACTGCATAGCATGCAAATTTTTCACAAGAAGGTAGAGATTAGTTCACCCCCTGACTTTTAAGATATATTAATAAGGCATGGCTTGATGATTGCATTGCTGAAAGTATAATATGGTTAACAAAGAACTTTTTTTAATCTTCTACATAATCCTTGGAATAAGAAATGCTTTTTAAAAATGTTTCTAGCCCTTATGACTTTGAAGAAAAGCCTGCAATCATTAGTATATTTTCATATATCTTTTTAAGGATACATCAGATGTTGATCAAAATAATGGGCTGCATTCAACTAACTGGGCCTGCTAGCAGAAGACCATGCAAGGACTTCTGTTAGCTCAACCGGGCTTTCCTCCCTCTTCTACCCTTTGCATGCCCCCAAATTAGGTCAGGGGCGGAGGAAGGGGGTACACTGGGTGCGGGCCACCCCGGGTGTCACCACTGAGGGGGTGACAAAATGCCGGGTGGCACTCACCGCAGGGCCTGCAGTGTGCCCAAGCCACACGTCTTGCCTGGGAAAGACGCGGTGGCATGGGCGCATGCAGGCTCCACGCTGCACAAACTGTCAGCCCACTGCCTCCCCCCCAGCTGTAGGGCAGCTGAGTGGGAGGAGGCAGGCAGACTCTAGAGGCCTCACGGTGAGCCCCGCTCCTATGGGCGGCTCGCCCTGCTCCTAGGCGCGCTGCCTCAGGCACCCGAGTGGCTTCCTCCAAAGCTGGATTAGGTTGGGAGATCAGGACAACCCCAGTGCCTGAGGGGAAGGGGATGGTTGTATCAGGCAAGCAGAGATGCTTGCGCTCTGGGAGCAATCTCCTTAACGCTATGTTGGATTTTATTTTTTTCAGATCATATTGATTTTGGTTGTTGGGGTTTTTTTTACAGCACAACTGTTCCAGCGTCCTATGTTCATATCTGGTGTGTGTGTGTGTGTGTGTGTTGTTAGAAGTGAAGGTAGAGAGAAACACTGCCAGCAGTGATGGATTTTATTGTCACAGAGTCCCAAACTTTGCCTCGCCCCAGTATACCTGAAGGAGCATCTTATCTCCCATCATTCAGCCTAGACACTGAGATCCTCCTCCGAGGGTCTTCTGCTGGTTCCCTCACTGTGACAAGTGAGGGAACCAGGCAGAGGACCTTCTCAGAAGTGTTGCCTGCCCTGTGGAACACCCACCCTTCAGATGCCAAGGAAATAAACAACTATCTGACTTTTAGAAGACATCTGAAGGCAGCTCTGTTTAGAGAAGTTTTACATGTTTGATGTTTTAGTATGTTCTGATATATGCTGTGAGCTGTCCAGAGTGGATGGGGAGCAGCAAGCCACTGATAGTTTTCTCACTAGCGGTAGCCAGCATTGAGCCCTGAAATGGGGTATTCAGGGTTGGGTGGGCAAATGTGCACTTTGGAACCTCTGAAAACAAACCTCCAGGGATCTTCAGGGATCCTGACCCATTAGGCCCCTCACCCACACCAGCCTGAAACTGGAGGAGCAATTTTTGTTTGCTTGTCTGGTTGTTGTTTTTTAAAACACACACACCCTGCTGCCTTGGCTGGCACAAACAGAAAGACTTTGGATATGGCTATCTACTTATGACAGTGGTGCTAAGTGGGTGGGTGATAGGGTGAATAAGGACTTAAGGTACGGTAACCAATTTTATTTATTGCATTTATCCCCTTTTCCTCCATGGAGCTCAAGGTTTCTCGCCCTCCTTGTTTAATGTCCACAATAACCTTGTGAGGTAGTTTAGACTGAGACAGAGTAACTGGCCCAATTTAGCCCAGTGAGCTTTGTGGCCAATTAGGGATTCAAAACTCTGGTCTCCCATGTCCTAGTCCAATGCTCTAACCACATTGGCTAATATAACCACATGTAACTGGAACAATAGCATACAGTGGTACCTCTGGTTGCAGACAGGATCCGTTCCAGAGGTCCAGTCGGATCCCGAGGTTTCAGCAACCTGAGGACTGCTTTTGCGCATGTGTGCACGGTGAAACCTGGTAAAATACTTCCGGGTTTGCCGCACGTGCATCCCGATGTTTATGTAACCAGAGGGTTACGTAAACGGAGGTTCAACTGTATTCTTTCCCTATTTATCCCTGTATCCACTTCCCTTCCCTATGTTCTTGTTTCCCCTATGTCAAATTTCAGATTGTAAGCCCATTGGGGCAGGGATCTGTCCTTAATTACCCCCACATTCCTTGACGGCACCATATAGATACTGTATTGCATTGTCATTTCTGCTTATTGGTTGACGGATGCCCTTACCAGCAGGTGTCATTTGATGACGGCTGAAGCAGAAGGTGGCTGGAAATGCTTGTGTATATTCTTGGGTATTTATGTGACTCTTTCCCACATCTAGTAACTTTTGGTGGTCAGATCTATGTGGAAGGGCTTTATCTACAGAATTTCCCTGTACACTGGACTTAAATGCAATCACATATTTGATAAACTCTCTCTCTCTCTCTCTCTCTCTCTCTCTGTGTGTGTGTGTGTGTGTGTAACTGCTTATGGGAAATCTACTGCCCAGACACTGAGGTCCAGTGCCAAGGGCCTTCTGGCGGTTCCCTCACTGTGAGAAGCCAAGTTATAGGGAACCACCAGGTAGAGGGCCTTCTCGGTAGTAGCACCTGCCCTGTGGAATGCCCTCCCACCAGATGTCAAAGAGAAAAACAACTACCAGACTTTTAGAAGACAACTGAAGGCAGCCCTGTTTAGGGAAGCTTTTAATGTTTAATAGAGTGGCTGGAGAAACCCAGCCAGATAGGCGGGGAATAAATAATAAATTATTATTATTAGTATTATTATTATTATTACTGGGAAATGGCACATGACACAATGGATCCTGTCAGACAACCCAGTGCTATGTTAGTACTATTGAGTGGTGACTGAATCAACTGAGGGGGAGAAATAATAAACTTGGAAATTCATTAGACTGAGATTAAGCTTAACTTCCAATGGATCTCAAGGGAGAATTAAATCTCAGACTTACCACACATGGGAACTTTAATAAGAAATATGCATTGTGAACAAACAATGGTAAAAGGCACACTGAGTAATAAAGCAGTCTTTCTGTTTTCTTTTTGCAGTGGAAACGATAAATAGTCTTGATACTTAGCTACCATGTCTTTGTGCTGATCATACATTGCTGACAAGTAATTTGCACAGTATCAATATTTTTTTGGTTTTGATCCAGTGTCATCAGCATAATTTCAAGACAAGACGTATTAAAGTAATTAGATTTTTAATTGATTTTTTTGCTTATTTTTTTTTCTTCAGTAGAGGAAATTCATCAATGTTCATTTTGCAAATGAGCTAACAATGTTTTTTAAACGCTGACCTCTGGGAAGGAGGAGGAGGACTAAGGTCAATATTAATCAGTTCATTAGCACATTAATAGGACCGTGGATTTCATTGTAAAGAGCAGGTAAGTTCGCTGCCAACACCCATGAATAGGCTGTAGTCCAAAACATGAAATGTATATTCCAGAGGCACAAACAAAGCTGGAGGAGACAGTTTTCATTAAAGGGTTAAATTCTAGTAATATAGGAAGAGGTTAATATAAAAATACTTGAACGTAAGAAGAGCTCTGTTGGATCCGGCTGAAGGCCCATGAGCTGGCAAGGCTCATTTGACAGCAGCAAGAAACTTCGGCTTTAGTGTCATCAGCCCAGTCCTGTGGAATGCTCTGCCAATACAGATTCAGCAAACACCTTCTGTTTTCAGTTTTAAGACCCTGTTGAAAATCTTTCTTTGCTGCCAAGCATACACTGGCAATAAAGTAAATACCCTTCTGGAGTAGTTAGTTAATCTCTGATTTTAAAATTTTGTATTATTTTTATTGTATGGTTTTAACTTGTGATTGTTGTAAATTACTCTGATTTTTTAAATGAATAGCTTTCTCTCTCTCTCTCTCTCTCTCTGTGTGTGTGTGTGTGTGTGTGTGTGTGTGTCTGTGTGTAACAGGTGTACCAAGTTCCCAGGGATCAGTAATCTGTCCTCCTCACAGCACCTATGCTGTACAGGGGGGAAAATGTCATTTTTCTTTATCATTCTCCATTAATTAATGTGAAAATAAATTGATTTTTTAAAAAATCAAAGGAGAGAGAAAAAATGGTGAAATTCTCATGAATGGGATGGAGGGTTTTGTTGTGTTTACCCTACTTTCCAGGTGGTCAAATGGGCTTTACATGTTTCATGTAATTCATTCTATACATCTTCATTCATTCTATACACAGTGTTGCAAGCACTTTGCAGCCTTCCTGGGTGCTCGCTTATATTTCCTGAAAATCTCGTTGCATCCTCAGCTGAAAGTCCTATAAGCACAGGATACAGGGAGCTTGTTTACTGTGCACCAGATATTTGTTTGTTTTTGGTATTTTTGGTTGAGGTTTTTAATTTTAAAAGAAACCCGTGCAGGTTGTTTAAACAAAAAAAAAAAAGTTAACAGAAAGGACTTCCATTAAAAATAGAACCAGCAAGTGCATTGATCTCAGGCACTTCACAGCCAGTCTCTCTAAAGCTCAGGAGGAGATATTGCGAAATTGCTCTTGCCATGGGACATTTATTGGATCAGGAAGTGCAGGCAGCCAGGGAGACAGCAGAGTGCTGAAGGGACATATGCCACTGGAAACCGAATCGTCTATCTCAGGGATGTCCAACTCCCAAGAGACTGTGATCTACTCTCAGAATAAAAAAACTGGCAGTGATCTACCCATGGGGGGGAGAGAGAGTTCAGAGTTCAGAGTTAAGTTCAGGCCAGGCCAAAGTTATTGAGTATTTTTAGGGGACACGCCAAAGTTGCTGAGCTTTTTTTAGGGGGGCAGGCAAACATTGTTGAGCTTTCTTGGGGGGCAAAGTTGTTTTGCTTTTGGGGAGCAGGCCATAAATCGCTCACCAAAAAATAAACCAGGCAGCGAGAACTCCGTCTTTCATTTTAGCATTTGTGCGCAAATGAAGGACAGAGCAAGGGGGCGGGGCCAGATACATTCATTCTATGGTTCATTTCTCCCTCAGGGACAAAAAGGAGCCCGCGGTTGATTGGTTGGACATCCTTGGTCTATCTGGTTCAGTATTGCCACTCTGCTGACTTGCAGCATCTCTCCAGGATTCCATGCTGAAGTCCTTCCCAGCCCTACCTGGAGATGCTGTGGAGTGGGTGAGGGACCGTCTGCATTCAAAGCAGTTGCTCTGCCACTGAGCTATAGACCTTCCCCTTAGATCAAGAGCCTCCACTGTGGTAGCCTTAATATTTTTTGGACTACAACTCCCATCAGCCCTATCCAGCATTGCCAATGGACGGGAACAATGGGAGTCGCAATCCAAAACATAATAATATTTTAAAATAATTTTATTATTTATACCCCACCCATCTGGCTAGTACTACTTGATGGGCCTTTCGACTCATCTGCAGGGCGCTTCTCATGAAATGGAGGGAGAGTGAATTGCTGCTCTTGTTGGGGTTATTGCGAGTGTGGTAGCCATGGACCCATGGCCTGCAGAGTCCTTCCCAAGCATCCACAGAGCCCCCTTCCCACCTGAAATTCTGTTGTAGCTCCGAATAGGTGGCAGTGTATGAATGTTTACAGTGCGTTTGAGTTATACCTATTGACAGGTTCTCTGGGTTGCAAATGTGCCTTACAGGCCTCAGAAGACTGAGGAGCCCTTCTCTTTTTTTGTGTTTAATGTTTCAAAATGTTTTCCATATAGAATCCAATGACATATAACAAAACGCATGTAAAGCCAAGGGAGAGAGCTACACTCCTTTAAAGTGAAAGTAAAAAACCAGGGCAATACTACAGCAATAACAGCATTCAAAAAGTGTCCTTCCATAAATCCCCATGCAATGTAGTACGCATTTCCAAATGTCCATCAAATCAATCTTTAGGGATCTGCAATATCTTGCTATAGTAAGTCGAGCAGCCACCATGAAATGTATAAACATATCCTTTGGGGAGAGTCCTACAATTGTTAAACATTTGAAAGTCAAAAATCCCTGTGTGGCTTGCTGATCTCCTGCAAGGCACCCAGGGATGTTACCAGTAAATCACAATCTAACTTTTGCTCACCCCTGGATTAGATGATTTGAAACTAAATTATCCTTTCCCCAATCTAAAACATGTTCAGGGTCCTGCCCTACAAGCGGAGGTGTAAATAGGGAGATTTCTGAAGTGCGCCAAGTTTATTAAGATTCTGGAAGTAGCAAGGAGTGGCATGGTAGTTCAAGCAATTCAATCTTGTTCATTCTGAACAGCCTGTACGAGTTCATAAAAAGACCAAAAATCTGCTGAGAACAGTCTCTGGGTCACGGCACTACTGTCCTCCTGACACCAGCCAGAGCAAGTGCCTAAGAAAAGAGGGCGAAAAGCCTGATTACAGATTAGCTTCAGTGTTATTTCAATCAATCCCCTGAATGAAGTTAGCAATCAGCAAGACAGTGAACAATGAAGTGGCATTAGAGAGCCACTGTGTGTGTGCAAAGGAAGAGGAGGGGAAGAGTCAATTAAAAAGATTCTGTTATTTTTAAAAGTTGCATGACGACTTCTTTTTCCCCTAAAGGTCAATTACAAAGAGAGGGAGAGCCATTGGGGGCAGGGCTCTTTAGTCACAAAGTGTCAATTGCTGTTTTGACCAAGTTCATCTCAAGTAGCTTAGTTAGGCTTGACATGCATCAGGAAAATTCCTGACATGTCCTAGATTTCAGGTGTAAAAATGGTGTTGGGGGGAATTTTGCAAATTGGCAAAATGTCAGGGAAAACCCAGATGTATGGCTACACGATGGTAAAAGCAGTTTTGAAGGTAGGTTTCCCCAAGAAAGCTCAACAATTTTTGTGGTTTTCTTTAAAAAGCTCAACAATTTTGGGGTCTTCCTAAAAAAGCTCGGCAACTTTGTGGGTTTCAGGAATTTTACTTTTTGAAACCCTAAGCTTGGTGGATTCTAGTGCCATAAGCACAAAGAATCATCTACTCTGCTGATCCGCACCATCTTGCTTGTGGGCTTGTTGTCGAGGCATCTGGTCAGCCACAAGGAGAACAGGATGCTAGACCAGATCGGCCTCTGGCCTGGTCCTTCAGGGCTCTTCTCACACAACAGTCTTATTATTGGCTGTTTTCATCAGCAGACTTATTGTGGCAGGGGTGTGGGAGATTAGGAGATTTCACAAAGTATTCATGCACCTCAGAATTGAGATTCTCGATTTAAGTTGGGTTTGGGGAATTGTCCTGGGGCTGCTTTCCCAACTGGACTTCAGAATGAGAAGCTCGGTTCTGAAGTCCATGAAATCTTAACTTCAGTGAAAGCTGTGTGAAATCTTAACTTCAGTTCACCCCATCAGTTTGCAATTTTAAAGACTAAACTTCTAAGAATTCTGCATTGAAATGTTACACGTGCGTGTGATACATTTTCATGCACATGCTTCCTTATATATGCAATTTGGTGCACAATTTTGTCCACTACTTAAATTTGCATGTGCATCTTTGCAAGTTATTTTCCCTAATTTCTGCTTCTTGTTTTCACTGATATACACATTTTATACACAAGTGTGTATTATACACAATGTGCGTAAAAAGTCCCTAATATATGTATGCACTTAGGGGTTGACAAAGTGCAGCATGAATTTCGAATAAATGCTCATTTCAGTGGATAGCTGTGTTTCGGTCCCTGTATTGGTTTGAAAAGTGCATGTTAGATGGGTTCACACTAAAATGCAAACAGAAACAAACTTATCCACCCCTGCATAGAAAATAGAAGCTAGCAAATCTGCTAGAAAATTAGAGAGCCTTTTCTGCCTTATGAACATAAGAGCCGGATGGATCAGACCAATGGCTCATCTAGTCCAGGATCCTGTTCCTACAGAGGCCAAGCAGATGCCTTTGGGCAAGAAGGATTCAAGCAGAAGAGCTTCCTCCCGTCCTGTGGTTTCCAGCAACTGGGATTCAGAAACATTACTCCTTCCAATTGTGGAGGGCAGAGCCATAGCCATTATGAGCCCCCCATCTGCATTCATGCTAACAAACTAATATATGTAAGAATTCATTTAGATTCGTACTTCCATTGAGAGAGCTGTCCTAATAGAGGTAAAGAATGTGAGAAGCACTGAAGGTTAATTGTCAATTATCCCGAGAATTATGTAGAAATGAGAATAAAAACACAGTTTAACATATAATTGTCCTTTCCTCATTTGTGCCCAAGTATTTGATTGAACAATGCTAAATTGGTTTAGTTGCTGTCACTAATGTTTAATTCTAGGAAGTTTGCTTTTTTTTAAGTGGGAAACAATTACGGTAGCACTGGAGTGTGCTCAAGGATCAAAAGAAATGTCACCGCAATGGGTATAGAAGGGGGGACGTAATCTTGTGCACACCTCCTATAACTGCCACTGGAGAACCTGACTATTTGATTTGTTTTTTTTAATAACCAACATGCTGTAATGATGTGTGACCATGATTGCAGTCGGAAGAAAAAGAAATAAAGTGAAAACAGTGATCAGAGCATATCCTGAGCATGAAAATGAGCTCTTAATGCCAAAGGGAGGCTGGGTAGAAATTGCTTCTAACTCTGTGTCACAAAGAAGACTGGCTTGCTTCTGCCCCCTGCCCACTTGCACTGCTCCCTCTGGTTTAAATAATTCAGTTTCAGAATTGCCTCATATGATGGGAACTGCCTTTAAGGAACATGGCCAGCTCTGCCATTAGGCAGAATGCAGTGACTCAAGAAGAAGAGTCTGGATTTGATATCTCGCTTTATCACTACCCGAAGGAGTCTCAAAGCGGCTAGCATTCTCCTTTCCCTTCCTCCCCCACAACAAACATTCTGTGAGGTGAGTGGGGCTGAGAGACTTCAGAGAAGTGTGACTAGCCCAAGGTCACCCAGCAGCTGCATGTGGAGGAGTGGAGACGCGAACCCGGTTCACCAGATTATGAGGCTACCGCTTAAGCAGCATGTGTAGGGGGGCAGTGGTGGTACCCTACTGTCGGGAGCCAGAGATGGTTGTAGCTGTGTTTGCCTGTACAAATAGATATCACTTGGCTACTAATGCATACAAAGATTAAAAGTTAATTTACATGGATCATTACTTGATTTGTTAACCCTTCCGTAATCCACAGCAGTATTTAGGATTTCAGTAAAGTGGGTAAAATACTCAAAATATCAAGAGTTTCATAACTCTTTTTCAACCTGTGGGAGATGGTGTGGTTTCACACATAACTAGCCTCAAGCAATTTTAAAGGATGCTTAAAGGATCAATCAAACTTTTATTGCCATTTGCTTATTAAGGAATGACTATACCTGGTGGCATGACTGAGTTTCTGTTGAAGCATGCTGAACACTGGACAAGGGGGGGAAACCAGCACAAAAGATAGTGCTATGCAGTGCCTTTTTCTAAAAAATATATATGTTTAGAGGTACTCTCATTTTCCAACTCATATTGAAATACTGCCCCTCAATGAGGCCAAACTTAGATTCACAAAATGTTTAGGGATATGTGTACCTCTGCGTCCCCCCAGAAAATAGCACTAGTGCTATGCTTGCATCACTTCAAACACAGCCTTAGTGTTGCAGAGTGTAAAGTTTAAGTATTAAGCAGCAGCAAACATGGGATCCTTAATGCAGATTCACCATGGTAGGAGAAAAAAGCCATGTGGGAGGAAATGCTGACTCTTTCCCTCTCTTGCCTCCTCTCCCTAGATCTTCTTTTCTACTTGGGATTCTGTGAAACAGGCAGTGATTGGAAAGGGTCATAGCTCAGTAGTAGAGCACATACATCTCCAGGTCCAACGGAGAGACTTCTCTTTGAAAACGATGCAAAGCCATTGCTAGTTAGTGTAGGTTGTGCTGAGCTAGATGAACCAATGGGACAGTATTCAACTAACTAATATTCCACTTGCACAATCAGGCTTTCCCTCTCTTCTCTCCACCATCGGTGCCCTACACAACCCCCAAATCTGCTTCAGCAGACTGGGGAACTCTCCAGAACAGATCTAGAGGGAAGATTGGGTATATATACTCAGCTCTTCCTCATATTCTTTGAATGCTCTTATTGTGATGTCAACGTGCCTGTAAGCGTTTCCTCTCGCTCTTAAACATGTCCATGTAAAGATTGAGTTACCTTTATTAATAAATCAATGCCTCTTTCAGTTCCCCTGTCACTTGTCACTCACTCTGTACAAGAAGCATATGGTGTCTTGAAAACACCTGCTCAGATGTGCTTCCGCTCTTCTCTCAAGCTGTGGTGATTGTTGACAAACTGTAAGTGTGAATCTTTTTTTTAAAAAAAAATGTTACTGGAATGACTTCATGTTTAGAAAATTGAACCTTTCCTCTATGTTATGCCCATAGGCATCCGGTTGGCCACTATGAAAAGAGGAGGCTGAACTAAATGGGCCTTTGGTCTGATCCAGCAGGCTCTTCTTACCTTCTGAGTCAAACAGAAGGTTGTTATGTTTAAGTTACATCATCTGAAGGGACCAATAGGACACAGTCAGCTGCCTTGTATCAAGTCAAGTCTTTGGTCCATCTAACTTAGTGTTGGCTCTGCTGAGTTGCTGTGACCCTCTAGGTTTTCAGAAGTGTCCTTCCCAGCCTTACTCTGGCCCTCCAGATGGTGGTGGACTGTAACCCCAGTTCACTGGCCATGCTGACTGGGGCTGATAGGACTTTGAATCTGACCTGTGCAAGGCCACATGTTCTCCACTTCTGCCCTAAACTATAAATTGTAGAAGCTGCCAACAGGCTTGAGCCAATTGTATTATTAATCCCCATAGTTGTTCCCTCCAGGAGCTTTCCCACAGCTGAGTTCTGGTTCTGAGTTCACTGTAAAATAGGCAAAGGGATGCACTGGGTGGAGCCAAAGAACCTTCTCTTCTCCCCATAACTTTTACAGTACCAGTGAAGCCACTCCTTGTGGCACTTATTTCCTAGGGATGTTATCTTCCGGTATTGCAGGTGAGTTTGATTGGGACAAATGCATCAAAAGGGATGATCTGTAGGGGTAAGAATAGGAGTGTGGGAAGGGTTCAACACCACCCACCTGAATACACCCATAGCACTTTAAATTGCACCCTACCTTCTGAATTCCACGTGAATGGGACAGTCCCATGTTTAAACATAGGAGTCAGCCACTATACTTTAGGCCCCAAGTGGCTATGGGGAAATCTCAGCCTGAGTTCTTGGAATGCTACTGCCAGTCAAACTTAACAGCACCAAGTTAGAGGCATATGTAGTCTGACCTGGAATAAGACAGTATCAGCTGTTAATTAAAATGGAGTGGAAATACCTTGAGTGAGTGCCACTGCTAGAAACCTTTTGCAAATATAATCTCCTTTAAATAACAGCTATCTCAGTGAACAATTAAAATTGTTTAAAGTGTGAAACTGGGGGCAGGGGAAGCAATCAACGGCAAATAAATTGTACAGTTGCTCTTGAGTAGATAAGGGAGTACTTGGAGATAAACACTGTTATCATATGTGTTGAGTAATTGTTCAGAAAATATGTTCTTGAGGCACAAACCATCAATGAATTGTTATGAGAGTAAGCACATGCTGATAAAGTCAGGGCTGAGGTCCTTCGCTTTGTGTGATGTACATGCAAGTAAGTGCCCACGCAGGAAAAGAAGAACTGGAATGAAAAGGCACCATGAAAGGCAGCAGTGGGTTTAAGGCATATTTAAGTCACAATTCGTACATTGACTGGTTTGCGTAAACAGAGAGGGTCACAATACAACCCAATTCAACCACGCTTCCTCTTTCTTGACTTCTACATCATAGCATCTGGTGCATCCTGTATCCCTTCTGTGTACTTCCCTCTTTAACTCAAGGATCCAGAAAGGGTTGAATATTCCAAAAGCCACCCCTAAGAACATAAGAGCCTGCTTGATCAGACCAATGGCCATTTTAGTCCAGCGTCCTGTTCTCACAGTGGCCTATGGTAAACCTACAAAAAGGACCCAAGCACAAGAGCACTCTCTCCTCTTGTGGTTTCCAGCAACTGGTATTCAGAAGCATTATTGCCTCCAACTGTGGAGGCAGAGCATAACCATCATGGCCCTTGGTCCTAGTCTTCCATGAATTTGTCTAAGCCTCTTTTAAAGCCATCCAAGTTGCTGACTATCACCATAACTATGCACTGTGTGAATAGGGACTTCCTTTTATCTGTCCTGAATCTTTCAGCATTCATTGGAAGTCTGTGAGTTAGAGCGTTATGGGCCTTCCGGGGTGGCGCCTCCGGAAAATGGCGGAATTCCCTTCGGACTGAAGGGAACCCGCTGCACGGAGGCTTGGGTCCTGCCGCTACGGCGCAGCGGGGACCCTCAAAAACCACAGGCGGAAGAAGCCTGTGGACGTGGGACTCGGCGGGCACCGTGAGCGCTCTCTCCCTTGTACAGGAGCCCGGTAACGGGCTCCGGAGTGGAGGTGCGTGGTGCTGTGAGTCGACTGCTTCCTCCGTGCAGCAAAGCCGCACTGCCGTTATCGGAGAGCGCTGCCTTTTCCTGGACAATTTGGCATCTAAAACATCTATCCGTGAGTACCTGATCTTGGAAGAGTTGAACTACTTTTAAGACTGGTGAATAAACAAATAATATTGGACTTGAAATTGAACTTAATTGGGACTCGGAACGGAAGGTCTAAACAGGAAGTCAGCCTTCCGTTCTTTTGTTATGTGAAGAAAGCAAAGACAAAATATACTAAAGCTTGAAAATTAAATTCTGAGAGAACTAGAATTCAACATCTAAGATTTCTGAACCCCCCCTTTGACTGCAGGAGAAGAAGGGGGTTGTATTTGGACTTTTCAATCCTGCGGAAGTGAGTTTAAAATAAAGCAATTTTCCACCGCCCTGAACCAGGAGCGGGCTGTCAGAATTGACGTTTTGAAGTTTATCCAGCTCGACAGTTAGTTAAAAGAAGGGTAACATTTTGATTCTACTGTTGCCTCTTGAATTTGGAGGGGGAATTTTGGATAAAGTGTTTCTGGAAAAAGAAAGATTGTTGCTGTTGCTTTTATTCCTTTTAAAAAAAAATTTCCATCTAGTGGAATTTAGTGAAATTGCAACGCAGAGAGTTTAAAAGAGAAGGACTATTGGACTATTGTCGTGGGAAAGAATTTTCTTTGACCTTGAAGGACAATGCTAGTACAAAGGCTTGAACAATTGTTCCTGGAAGGTTTTTCAAAACTAAGTGCCCAGCTGGACCAGATGCGTCAGGAGACGACCTTGATGATGGAAGTTACCAGAGCACAGCAGCAAACAAATGAAATTCAGTTAAAGGCTATACAAGCATATGAACCTGCTGTAGTGACGGAGGCTTCAGAGATGGAGGGACCTTTGGACGGGCAAGATCAGCCTTTGAACTTGACAAATGAACTTGGGACAAACCAGATTCGGAAAGATGAAATGTGGTCAGATTTGGAAATGGGGGGATGGATCGACCCCCCTCTATATGGTTATTTGGACCTTCCGAGTCTAGTGATAGGCTATCAGAGGATTGGAGTAGCCGAAGTCTCCAAGCTTTGTGGAAATTTGAAGTGGTATTATCTGCTGTCTGGCTTGGGCAATGGGTTTGGGATGGACTTGCTGCAAAGAGTCAAAAGCATTTTCTTGCTGGAGTATCCACGACTGGAAGGGAATCATCAACAAGAGTGGCGAAAGGGGCAAGAAAGAGACTTGAGGGCCTCGGATACGAGACAACCAGGTTAAGGAGCCGGATTATTGAGGTTAAAAGGACTGACAATCCCGGGTCCAGGGGAGGGAGGTTGGAAGCTGACTGGACTGAATTTGACTTATTATTTTTTCCTTTTTATTTTTAATATTGGGAATGTTTATAAATGTTTGAAGGATGTTGAATGAAATTACATGGCTTAAGTAAGGATTGGTAAATGATTCGTAAAAAGGTAATGATGTAAGAATTTGGTAAATATCGAATATAAGCTATGAGTTTTAAAGTTTTTATATGTCAAGAGGCAAAATAGAATAAGGAAACGTAATGACAGATTGTTATGAAAAAACAGAAAGGATTTGCTGTAAAAATTAAAAATTAAGAAACAAGAGAGGGGAGGAGGAGGAAGTCTAGAAAGGAAGTAAATAGAGATTGTAAAGGACTTTATATTTTTGTTTTTCTGTTTTTCTTTTTTTTTCTTTGCGGCTGGGTTTTCTTTTCTTTTTTTTGTTTATGTACTATTTTTGTTTTTTGTATTTTCAAAATTTTTTGGAAATTTTTGTTGTTATTCTTTGAAAACTTAATAAATATCAATTATTAAAAAAAAAAGAGTTAGAGTGTTATGAGCGAGGGAGAAAAACTTTTCTCTATCTACTTTATAGATGTCATGCATAATTGCACAAACTTCTATCATGCCACATTGTACCAATTAATTGGTACCAGCCAAGTGTTGTAGTTGTTGCTTTGATTGTGGTGGTTATTCATTAACTCCATCCAACTGATGATGGGACCTAGAAGTTGCCTAATGATATCAACCACTGATGCTCGGCCAACTCAAGTTAAACTGTATGGAGATCAATCAAAGGTACATTAAAAAAAAAATTTAATTCCGAATGCCCTCAGTCTTGTTCACAAGATTGCATTTTATAGGTGAGGGATTAAGTCCAGGAGCTAGTAAGTTAATATAGAACTGGTATTGTAAGCTACGTTGGTACTACCAAATCACTTTCCCAGTCTTATCCAAACACAATGAAAGCACTGGTTTCAACTTGTTCAAGGAAGGTTTTTCTGTGGGGAAAAATGTATTGAGTGATCCAATCAGAGATCTGTGTGCATTAGAATAATTCCTGCTCCCATCCCATAAGCCCCAGTCCACTTCTTCTATAGCCCATGTCAGCTTTAATGAATTTAACCAAACTTGCATGATTAAATTGTGTCAGTCAAGATGAATGCTTTTGACACCTAAAAGAAGGTGCCAAGCAACAGCAGCCAGTTTGGAAATGAAGCATTGCATTATCTTAATTCTTCCGAGATGAAGTTACTGCAATAAGCAGGGATGTTGGCTAAGCGGAGGAGATTGTCTTCCCCTGACATGGGACCTTGATTCAGAAATCCTTTGAATCCATTAAGACTGACAATTTTCACATTTCACAGAGGGTTCTATACAAAGTCAAATTATGTTGACCCAAATGAACAGGAATATATATATATATATAAAACGTTCATTGGTTGAAAGCAGAAATTGCTGGATTTGTGTGAAATTGATTCTTACATTTTGCCCTCCCCTTTCTTTTAATAACATTTTAAAAATAACTGGCAATTAACCTCTAAACCTTTTCCCAAACTTGTTCTTTCAGTCCAGTGACGGTCTTTTTAGAAAGAGGTTAGAGTTAATCACACATTTTGAGGGTGGGTAGGTTATTCTGCATGGAACTCTTGAAGATGCTTTCAGTATAAGTAATTAGAATTGCTGGTAGCAATACAAGATGAGGGCAAGTTCAACAGAGCATGTCCAAAAAGCAGAAGAGCACAGAGAGCTTGAATGAGGGAAAGGCGGGATGAGAGTGAGGGGCAGAGAGCGAAACAGAATGAGAGAACAGAGAGTATGTACGAAGGAACCTGCCAAGTTGGTGATATTTTGTGAGAGGGAAGCTTGTTAAAATTGAGAAAAAAAGAAAATATGAAGAGCATCTCAGCATTCAAACTCTAATTAGATAGCATACACCAGAGAACTGCGTGAAAGTCTTCTCTCTCTGAAGCATAACCAAAACTATCATAGGATCAGATCCACAGCTGGTGTAGACCAGGACTGCAAGTTTACACCAGCTAAAAAAGCTTTCTGAGTGCACGCTAAATAACATCAATTTGTGTAGCATCTTCTGAAGATGACATCGCCCAGCCATGAATGAAATGTCATTAGTCCTATTTCATTGCTAAGATGGATTAGTCACTGTAGCTACGCACCACTCTGGCACCTTGGGAATTGTGCATATTAATCTTCTGGCAAATATTTACTGAACCTTTTCAACTTGCCTTCATAAACATTTGTCTGCTTTCCACTGGAAAAGGTAACTTCTTAGGCATGATAATGGAATCTCACAGCAATGAATTAAACAAAAATTATGCACAAAGCAAAATTATTAATAATTATGCAAAATCTATTACAATGTCATGTTCCCGCAAATTTTGTGCTCAGGTGAAGAAAAGTGGATCAGAGGCTTCACTCTGAGCAGAGCCCTAATGCCACTGCTGTTTGCTAATTGGGCTCATGAAAAGTTCAGAGTAATGATTCCACATGCCAGGATGCAACTGCCAAGTAACAATTATATGTCCCAGTAGGAAACAGAAAAGATACCAAAAATAGCAACACATGCACACACATAGGCGTGATGCTAAGATAAATATTGCAAGAAGTGAGATTGTTGAAATGGCTAAACTCAGTTAAAAAAACCTGAATTAGAGGGAGGCATATCTGTTCATTGGCGTTAAAAATGCATTTTTCTTTTTCTTTTTCTGAAAGTAGTTAAAAAGTCTTAAAGGGCTGGCAGAGGATTTAGGGATAGCTAGCATGGAGACCTCCATATGTTGTGGATACACTTCCAATCGCCTGTGAGATTCAGCCAAGCTGCCTGGGCCTGATGGGAACTATAGTCCAAGGCACCATGGATGATACCATGTTGGCTATCCTGATTTAACACTAAAATCTAGGCATATCAAAGTGTGGGCTGATCTACACTAAGGGGTGACTATGGGCAAATATTGAGTTGAAATTGATTTAGCAAGAAGTTGATCTGCTGCCATCATATCCAGTGTCAGGGATGTGTGGACTTTCCTCTCCTAAATGGGAAATTCCACCAGTTTCTTGAAATTCCCTTTGCTTACCCCAATATTCTTCAGATGTTTTGCCTGAACGGAAACCTCCAAATTTCTCTCATAAATTCTCTTTAGGTAGAGATGAATTGTACCTTAGCAAGATATGGAACCAAGCACCAGATTCTTCAGCTCTTATCAATTTTTATTTGCTTGTCTTGAAATGCTTTGGAATCCCCCCCCCCAAGCAAAATTTGACTCATTTGATGACATTTGGTGATAGTTCAGCTCTGTGGCACAGAAATGTATGTGACATTTCTAATCTCCTCTGAAATGTTGCTGTGTGATATTAGTAGTATTGCTAGAATTCTTTTTTGCTATATTTTGAAGATGTTTCACAAGCACAATGAGAAGAGGGGCTGATGGAACATATAGTGTGACACATCTAGAGAACATCAGGTCGACCTAGGCCACTTTAAGGTATTGTCTCTCTACTCCAATCCTATGAGCCTTGATGTGGACCTTTCACATTTCATCGGTCCTTTCTCCACTTACGGCTTTAGATACAAGTTCCACTACATCTACATCTTGCTGCTGCTCCTCTCCCCCACTGGAACAAAGACACAAGACAACAATATGGGATTAAGGGTCATAACCTTACTGACTATAAACATATTCAATGACCAAATGGGCTAGCATAGCCAAAGTGAAAATGTGGGGTATCTAAAACTCATTGGAGTCTTTGGAATTAAACATAAATTCAATAAATCACCACCACCATCATCCCTTGGGAGCCTGGTTGGGCAACACACAGGCCAGCCAGTTGGCTGTTTTTACTTACTTAATCCACTCATCCAAAGTTTGTGCTGGGGCCTAACTGGGCTATTCTGCACCAACATTTGATGGGCTGGAGTCACCCAGGCCCAAGGATAGTTCCTTTCCAACATCCTCTTCAAACTGACTGGCAGTAAGAGGGAGTAGGGATTTATCCAACAAAGTACATAATTCCTCTGCCCAATTGTTATTGATTCCTCTCTCCCACTGGACACTCGTAAGACACTGGCTACAGTGTAGGTTGCTTCCTTAGAGGGTACAGGGGAAGAAGTTGGAGAAAAAGATCCATTGCAGACACTTCCTTCCAGTTGCACATCAATGAGTACAACCCATTGTGTCTGACAACCACTTGGGCAAAAATGTAGTGCTTAGAAATTCATACATGATTCTGTGCTTTTGCAACAAAAGCATATCCTGTTCCAGTCTAGAGTATACATTTCCGTTTCACTGTTCGTAGACCACATATATATTTCATTCTACTTAATTGAAGCTCTTATCCAAAGATGTTTCTTATAGCTAGAGCTTACAATTAGCCAAGGAAAAAGAGGGAGAGAGAGAGAAATGAAACATATATAATTTATCAGTTTTGAGTTGTTCTTTCTAAGCTGCAAAATGTTCATTACCTTAATAAGGTAACTTCATACATATCTAGGGAGTGGCTATGCTGTAAACAAGTAGGTCACTTTCATGTGGTGGAAGAAAAGATAGCAAATAATGTGATGTTGAAACCCAAATGCCAGTCAGAGTGCTATACAATCTATCCACCTATCTTCGTGATAGTGATCCAATCCAAAGGATCATCTCTTTCAGAACTGTCAGTCCTAACTGGAAGTAGATCAACAGTATTGTTCATAGGCCTGTTATCAAATGTTAAAATGCTAAGACTGAACCTTGACTGAACTTATGTAAAGCTCTTACTCATACACCAGAGAACTGCATGAAAGCCTTCTCTCCATGGACGTTTGACCCAACTCAATAGAAGCATTATTTGTGTCAGAATGACTTTATCAGAAGATAAATAATGGGTGTGGAAGGGACATTTGCTTCCACTTTTCATGTTTCTACATAACATGTAGAGGGAGAAATTGTGTGGCTCTGTACCAAAAAACACAGTGTTCAAATACACAACTCATCACAGGTAAGGATAGGGAGGTAATCCAGTTTGGTTCACATTGAAAAGTAGATCTATCAAGGCCTGGCCCACCCATGAGGTGGGATGAAGCAGTCACCTCAGGCAGCAGTAGCCCCCAAGGCAGCATCCCCATGGGTGCCCCACCTGTCCTGCTGCTTCTGCCGCTGGTGGATAAGTGGTGCTGGCATTGATGTTGAGATCTCACTGAAATCTTGCAAGATCCCATGAGAAATCTCAGGAAATCATGCCATAAATGGGTGCTGATGCTGGCAGAGGGGGGTGGTATGGCAGCAGTGCCGGTGGCTGAGCTGAGTGGCACGGCAGAATGAGGCAGCACTTCCTGTTTCATCTCAAGAGGCTCATTCCCCCTGGACCTATGTAATTCACAATTTCAAAAACCACACAGCGATCCTTCAAAATGCTTCTCTGAATTTTGTAAGAAATGCATATACTTGGTGAAATGCATACATTGGTAAAAATAACATACAAAATGCATTATATTGAGGAAAATGTAACACATATATTAGGTCATATTGCATATAGAAATGCAATTAGAAGAAATTCACACAGAAATGTGGGTGATTTTCTTTTTTTTTTTTAAATGATATTTATTAAAGTTTCAAAGAATACAAAAACAAAAAATAAAAATACAAGAAAGTACAAAATACAGAAAAAAGAATAAGATTTTTAAAATATAACAAAAAAAAAAAGAAAAATAAAGAAAAACATACAAGATAAAAACAGTTAAAAACACATTAACTTTCCATAGTATAACTTCCTTAGCCTTATTTCCCCGGACCTCCTCATACCTCCCTTTTTTGTATTCCAGTTCAGTTTGTTAGTTCAGCAAATCCTTACCATTAAGCTTTTACCCATTTGTAGACCTTTTTTCATATCTCTTAAAGCATTACAGCTGGAAACCACTTAGTTTCTATCCAACATCCTTCTAAGATTCATTAATTTTACAATATTTCTGTAAATAGTCTTTAAATTTCTTCCAGTCTTCTTTCACCGACTCTTCTCCCTGGTCTCGGATTCTGCCAGTCATTTCTGCTAATTCCATGTAGCCAATCACCTTCATCTGGTGATTTTCAATGAGAACTTTTTCTTAAAAAACCACAAATTGATTCGGAAATGGGGAGAAGTTGATTTAAGATAAGAAAATATGAGAAACTGAGGGCTCAGCTACACAGCTGCAAATAAAACGTTTTAAATGCATTGCAAAGTGCAATATACAAATGGGACACTAGATGGTGACAGTGAGCTATGAAAAATTCAATGTATTTTTCAAAATTTTTTTTTTAAAAAAATGCATTTTCACAGCATTTTTTAAAATATGTGTGTAGATTCCACCTGAGACAAACCAAAATTGATTGATTCACCCATCTCCAGTTACTGGAGAGAGCTGATTTTTCCATCTTTGCATGTTGCTCAAAAGCAAGAAAGGCAAGGCCACAAGTCCATTAGCATATGCACTCTTTACTGCTAATCCTCATGAGTAGAACCACTAGGGAATGCTGAAACCAGTAACCATCAAGGTTCCCAAAGGAACTGACAGAGTTAGCATAACATCACCTTTTGTGTGGCCCATGCCTGGCCCATGCTTAACAGTCCTCTTGTAATTGAGATCCATTTCTTCCAGGACTGTGATATTGTTCATCTTAATGGAGGCATGTTGAATAAAATTGTCTTAAGGGAGTTTTAAAAGTGCCTCATTTCTGTCTCCTTAAGCATTTTATGATGGATGCATTATCCATTAAATGTAAGCACTATAGTCACCCTGTCCAAATTGCATTCTTTATTTAAGTAATTTTTAAAGAATGATCGTGCACTCCTGCATTTCTTCAAGAGTTCCAAAGCTCTTGGCCATGGTTGCATTGGGAGATGGAGCAATTAAATATGAAAACATCTTGAAATACTTCCTGGACAGACAGGGTTTCCAAGATTTACAGTGCTAAGTGTAATTACGCAATTCACAAGATGCATGAGCATTTTCAGTTTCATGGGGAATGGCTGGGAGGGGGAGGGGGCTTTCTGTTCTCTGCCATTGCTAATGGCCCACACAGGAGGATGTGGAAATGCTTTCTGTTGGGAGTACAGAATATTTTAGCACAGACAACATGCCAGGATGGGATGGATTGCTTCAAATGCTCTGGGGGTTACACTGTTTGAAGAAAGCAGAATTGTTCTCACTATCCTTGTGGCTATTGGTGTGAAGCTCTCTTAGGAAAAGAATTGCAGTAGAGAAAATAAAGAACAAAGGTAAAAAATAGCTACAGATCAGGAGATGAATTTATTCTTCTTAAAAGGGTGGAGGGGAATATCCGCTTTGAATTTAGGAGAGTAAGTCCACCTTTGGACATAACACTTTGGGCATGTGAAATATACTCGGAGTCCTGTAGTGATTTCATGCTCTTTATTGCAGCTTGTAAAAGAGCGATTGAATTGCCCGCCAAACCTCAGGCTTTTATATACATTATTTACACAATGAGTCCTGTCTGATTGGTTGATTCTTCTTCCCTCCTGGAGCCTGATTGGTCTTTTCCTGCAGGCCAATCAGTTGTTGCATTCTATGATCCTACCAGCCTAATAGGCTGATTAACTTCTTCCTGGAGCCTGATTGGTCTTCTCCTGTAAGCCAATCAGTTGTTGCATTCTAGGATCCTACTTGCCTATTGATCTAGGATCCAAGGTTAGTACATAACAGCATGGATAGCCAATATAGTGCCTTCTAGATGCTTTGAATGATAACTCTGTAACTCCCATCAGTCCTTGCCAGTGTGGTCACTGCTTAAGGATAATGGGAGTTGCAGTTCAACATCTGAAGGACATCACATTGGCTTAGGGCATGAAGAGAAGCTCAGACATTTCTGATTCTGTTATCAACAGCTATCAATTGTTGTTTTGTCCAAACTATGAACCATGATTAATTTTAACCATATTTTATCCAAAGAAGGCAGGCTCAGAAAACATTGTATGATTTAGGCTGTTTGTATAAAACATGGCTTAAACTAACTGTAGTCAGCTTTATACTCTCTAGATAGTGTTGCGTGGAAATTCCCAGCTAAGGCAGCCAATGGTCCAAGATAGCAGGATTTATAGTCAAAAAACATCTGGAGGGCACTGTACTTCCTACCACAGGTTAAGCTAATCATAGTATGGTCTGTCTTAGATGAAACAACAAAATGTGATTCGTTGGAAATGGAAGGAGTCATTCTCCTTCTTGTGGTCAAACCAGAGGATGAGGGATAAAAGAGGGAGTGCTCAAAAGCACAAGGCTCATTCATGTACCAATATTGTTTAGGCACTGAACCAGACATTTACAGGTGCCAGGGTAAACTTCGGTGGCACCCACAAAAGATCTCAGCAAATAGCCCCTAAAAAGTCACAACACATGAGACTGTTCTTCCTGCTCAGTTGTCCATCAAACTGAATGTTTCCCAGGATTGGACATTCACTGTCCCTTTTGTTCTGAGCCGAAAAAAGGTGCAAAGAGCTTCTCTCTGTGAGAGAGCGTGGAGGTAGTGGTTGATGGCTCATGTAAGTGCCTTTTTTATTGGGGAAGGGGCTGTGTGGGGGATGCCTTCACCATATTGTGGTCGGCTCTCTCTGCTCTTTTAGATGTAGCCCACTTTTTAGATGTGGCAGCCATTTTGTGTTAGGATGTGCCCCCATGGGAGCCATTTTGTGACAGGTGCCTGAGGCATTTTCTCAAAATTCAAAGTGTACCCACCAGCCCAAAAAGCCCAAGTTTCTCATTTCCAACCTATGCACTGTACAATATTCTGGAGTGAGGCTGAAGGAAATTATCCATTACCATCTCCCAACACAATTATGTCACAACATTGCAGTATTGCACAGCCAGATGGGGGATCAAAAGAAAAGGCAGGAAGCATTAGTGGGGAGTAGTGAGAGAGGAAAGTTGTGGACTTTCCTTCCTTGGAGGTTTTTAAGCAAAGGTTGGATGGTCATTTGTCATGGATGCTTTCGTTGAAATTCCTGCATTGCAAGGGGTTGGACTAGATGACCCTTATGGACCCTTCCAACTCTACAATTCTATGGTTCTGTAAAGGTCAAGGTAAAGGGACCCCTGACCATTAGGTCCAGTTGTGACCGACTCTGGGGTTGTGGCGCTCATTTTGCTTTATTGGCCGAGGGAGCCGGCGTACAGCTTCCAGGTCATGTGGCCAGCATGACTAAGCTGCTTCTGGCGAACCAGAGCAGCACACGGAAACGCCTATTTATCTATTTATCTACTTATCTATTTATCTACCTATTTATCTACTTGCACTTTAACGTGCTTTCGAGCTGCTAGGTTGGCAGGAGCAGGGACCGAGCAGCGGGAGCTCACCCCGTCGCGGGGATTCGACCCACCAACCTTCCAATCGGCAAGCCCTAGGCTCTGTGATTTAACCCACCGTGCCACCCACGTCCCAATGGTTCTGTAGAGAGGAGTAAATTAAGGATGACCAAGGAAGAGGATTCCTGTGGTCTCCATATATGGCGTCCTAGCTGAAAAAAACCTACGGAGCAAGATTTGAATGAGTTAAATGTACCACTTATGGTTCCTTCCTGACACAAATTATATAGCTGCTCTATTAATCCACAGTACACAGAAAATCAAAGGTTGATACTCTGATATTTAGTATAAGCAATATACAATTGTGGTGGGGAGGTGGGGAAATCTTATTATCTGGCAACCATCGGTGTGGCCAGTCTCACACCTTGAGAACTACAGTGCCAGTGATTGAAAGACTTATCATTCATAAGGACCACCTGCTTTTCCCTCTAGCAGTATACAGATTCATGTCCTGGGAGGACTTTGGGGAATGCAACTGGAAAGATTCTGTAGCTAGTGCTGCTGTTTTATATAGGCAGAAAATGCAAAACTGATATTGATCATAACTTCCACTGTTACTGCTCATAGTGTCGTTTATGTCTTGTTCTTCTCTGGCATTTCACATTGTTTATTAACCCGGTGTTCAAATATTAATTGCCCCTTTGGAAGAGAAGTGTTGATTTGAAGAACAATGGTTTGGAGCCAGCAACCAAATATATACCAAACCCCCAGTGGGCTTGTATGAACAGGAGAAAGGTGTCAGTCAATGTGCTAGTTCCTCTTTAGCTGCTTAAATTCATAAAGACAGCCATACTAATACAACAGGTTGCAGGCAGAAGTAGAGAGAAAAAGGAGAGGTGAATGCAGAGACAATGTAAGACATGTTACCTTTGCTTGGATGGACAGGTTAAAGCATCTCATGAGAACCATGAGAACCACCTAAGCCAGTGTGTCTACAATATAGTGCCTTCCAATTTAGTAGACATCCAATGAAATGGAATGTTGGACAATTCAGTACAGTTAAAAGAAAATTTATTCACATAGCCCATAGTTAAACTATGGAACTCGCTCCCACAGGAAGCGGTGATGGCCAGCAACTTGGATGGCTTTAAAAGAGGAGTGGATCAATCCTTGGAGGATAGGTCTATCAGTGGCAATGAGCCACAGTGACTGTGTACTGCCCTCACAGTCAGAGGCAGAAATGCTCCTGAATACCAGTTCCTTGAAACCACAGGAGGGGAGAATGTTTTTCTGTTCAGGTCCTGTTTGCTGATTTTCCACAGGCACCTGGTTGGCCGCTGTGAGAACAGGATGCTTAACTTGGTGGGCTACTGGCCTGATTCAGCAGGCTCTTCTTATGTTTGTGTAGATTGCTCTACAACTAGTTTCATAGCATCCAGATGGTAATCCTCTGACCTGTGCCTCTCTATCCAGCCCTCAGCACTCTCCTCTGGCCACAATCCTCTTGACTCTGCATGCCATTTACTCTGGCTTCTCCTGCTTTTGGGCTCCTAGCCTTCCACCCTGTCCCTCCCAATGGACACCAGCCACCACAGATCCTAGGCCTGATTCATACACGCACATTCATCCAATGCGTGTTACAGTCACAAACTCCTTTTCATCATTTGGCCCCCAGGCCCCCAATCACACTTCAAGTGGTGTTGCTTTAAGCCAGGCATCCCCAACCTGCGGCCCTCCAGATGTTTTGGGCTACAACTCCCATGATCCCTAGCTAACAGAACCAGTGGTCAGGGATGATGGGAATTGTAGTCCAAAACACCTGGAGGGCCGAAGGTTGGGGATGCCTGCTTTAAGCTCACATCAGAGCAGCAAAGGGGACCTTGACTGTCTCATTCATAGTCATAGCTTCACAAGTGTGGTTGTCAGGAGAATTAACATGAGCAAACCTTGCTTAGGTTGTTGTTTTCTATGTGCAACCAGTGGATATCCTGCAAGTCTACATGGCAGATTTGTCAATGTAATAGGTGAGTGTTATGATGCATGGCCAGACAAGTCTTAGCAAATGCTCTGAGTGAATAAATGAGGTGAGGCAGGCTGAGCATAATTGTCAATTCTGTTTGCACTAATCGGCAACTGATTTATAAAGTGGGAAACAAAAACAAGAAGCCACCAAGGAGAGCATGAAATGGGACAGAAGAGTATATTCAAGCTTGACAACAGTGTTTTATTAAGTACCTCAGTGAAATAGCATGGAGAGGTGGTCCGGAATTATTTGATCAGGCAAGCTCCCATATTGACTGCAGCAGTGTGCTTCATGTAAGGCTACAATTGAAAATGCTCCAGAAAATGCAGTTAGGGAAGAATGCTTCTACAACAGTCCTGACTGGCACGTCAAAGTCAATGACACTTGACTTTCAGGATCTGCACTGGCTGCTGTATGTTACCCAATTTAAGACATTGATGTTAACATGGAACCGCCTGAATTACATCGGACTTAGGTATCCGATAGAGCACCTCTTCCCATATATCCAGGCTTTGAAGTTGGAAAAGAGGGCTCTTCATACTGTCCCTAGGGCAATGTGAGGACACAGACTAGGCCCTTCTTGGTGGTTGCACCCTGGCTGTGGAACTCTCTTTCTTTGGAGAAATTGAGGGCTGCCTCTTTGATGAGCTCCTGTCACCAGTTTGCAATAGTTCCATTTCCCCAGGCTTATGGTAGTTTTCAGCCACATTCACTAGGGTTACCATATTTCAAAAAGTGAAAATCCAGACACAAAAGTTGGGCAAAGTTGTTGAGCTTTTTCAAACAACTATGGCTTTCCCCCAAGATTTCCGGGAGCTGTTATTCATTAAGAGTGCTGAGAGACCCTTACTCCCCTTACAGAGATGCAATTCCCGGGCTTCCTGGGAGGGGGGGAAAGAGTATTGATTGTTAAAGTACTCTGAGATGTGTGGCTCTGAGGGGAATGCGTTGTCCTAGCAACTTTCAGCTTCCCATTTTTGTGTGTGTGTGTGGAAAGCCATGATGGTCTAAAATAGTAGCATAGTGCTTTAAATCTGTGGTGTGAATGTGGCCTTAATGAGCCAACTCCAGAACAGAATATTGTGTTACTGCTGTACTACTGTGGTCAACTTCTCAACTTGTTTTATCTGCATCTGTTTCTTGGTTTCATGGAATCATAGAATTGTAGAGTTGGAAGGGATCCCAAAGGTAATCTAGTCCAACTCCCTACAATGCAGAAATCCCTGCTAAAGCATCCATGACAGATGGCCAACTTCTGCTTAACTTCTGCTTAAAAGCCTCCACGGAAGGAGAGTCCACAACCTTCTGAAAGAGACCATTCCACTGTTGAACAGCTCTTCCTGTCAGGAAGTTGCTCTTGATGTTTAGTCAGAATCTCCTTTCATGAGGCTTAAAGCCATTGGTTCGAGTCCTACCCTCCAAAGCAGGGCTTGTTTCATTTAAACACTATTATTTTGACTGTTTCTAAAAAAATTAAAAATACTGTTTTAAAATATTTCAAAAAATAAGAAACTTTGTAGTGCAAGCTAAGGACGTACAAGACCAGAAAGAAGCTGACCGGATCAGGTAAGTTTGAGGCCTGCTGTTTGAGGACAGTGCTGTGAAGGTGACTGTAATAATGAGGATAGGATTAGAAAAAGCAAATACCACCATTGGAGGGTGCGTAACGTCTTGACAAATAGAAAGTTCCATATTAATCTAAAGATTAGATCCTATCATACAACTATATCGAATATGTTTCATCACGTGGTAGAGACCAGCTAGTTGACAACAGCGAAAAAAATAAATTTGGAAGTTTCTTATCACAGATGAATGGGGGGGGGGGACTCTGAGTTTTATGGAAGGTCAAACTTACAAAGTGAGAGATAGGATTGTTTTCCATGTTGCATGTGTGTGTGTGTGTGTGTGTGTGTAATATTGGGTAGAGGTTGTTGAGTACCAAGTGCACACACAGTGCGTAAGTGATAAACACCCCATGTATTTTGCAAAGGTGCCGTTACCCTGCATACTTAGAAAAAATGCAACCGCTGACCTGTAGAATCTATTTATCTATCTTTTTGTTTGTTTTATTTAGCAACATTTAGATACTGCTTAATCAATTAATTATTATTAGTTTATTTCTTAATTACCCACCCTTCACCCCAAGGTCCCAGGGTGGGTTACAGTATTAAAGCACAATATTAAAAAAAAAATTTAAAGCAACTTACATATTATTAAGTATTATATTTTTCAGCAGTTTACATAATAGTATAGAATATAAATGAAAATGCAATAGAAACAGATGTCAAAAGCTGTGGACACAATAAAATTATCAGAATATAGATCAAATCAACAGGATTTTTTAAAAAAAGAACAAATATATGAGTATAATGAAATTACATGTCTGCTCAGGCTTGCCAAAGCAAACAAGTTTTTAGTACGTGTTGAGAACAGTATGATGAAGTTCTTTGCCCCATATTATTAGGCAGGGAGCAATAGGTGCTGCCACACTAAAATAGTGATTGCTCACAAGTGAAGAAAGAACACTATGTGGCACTTGTAAAAGTGCTAGTTCCACAAACTGAAGTGGTTGGGTTGGCATATCTGGGGTAAGCAATTCTTTAAGGTAACATCAACAGTATGTGATGAGAAAGTGAGAGAGAGGTTTTGTCTTCCTTCATGCATTATACACAGCAGGGTCGTACTGAATGAAATTTTCAGAGCAGGGAAAACCTCCTTCAGAAGTTCGCAGCCAATCAGAATACACGCTGCCTCAGTAAAGATCATGCTACTTAGTCTAGTTGCCAAGCAACATTTCCACCAGTCCCCTCTCTTGACTCATTGACGTTAACCCTTAAATTGCAATCTGAATGAACTCTGTTGTTGCACTTCCAACAAAATGGGTGGCATTCAACTAAGTTTTAATCACAGTCAACCATTTGAAATTAATGGGCCTAACTCAACCATGTTCATTTATTACAGTGAGTCTACTCTGAGTAAAACCTACTCAGAACAGTGCCAGAGTAAATGCTTTGAGTGTAAAAGTTGATGGGTTTAAAGAACATGGATTAGCAAGGTGGTGTTCAGAAAGCAGTATTCTAGTCCTCCTAATTAACACTAAACATTGTTTTTCATCTCAGACTTTATTGTTGCCAGCTATGGAAACATTTACCTGCTGAAACTATTCCCCATTTAATAAGCAGCTTGTTGAATATGCCTTTTTCTTGTTCCATGCAGACTTCTCTTTGCTCAGGTGTATAAAGTGGGTGTAGAATACTCTTTGTGCATTTATACCATTGCTATCTTTTCTCTTCTTTTCAGCTGTCCACTTTCCTCTTCCTAGATAATGTTTCTAAGCCCATTTTTTAAAACATATGACAGCCTTTCAGTAACATATTCCCCAACCCAGCAATCATGATGCACGAAGCTTTTTCCCCTCTTTGCCTTTCTCCACACTACAAAGAAAGGGAGTAACAAAGGTTCTTCAAAGAGCAGCTTGTAGAGGCTCCCCAAGTTTGCATTTTCTCCCTACAATAACAAATGCGGTTCTTTCTCAGGTAGTGCATTAATCCCATCCCGACCAAAAATGGGTTAGCAAGCATATAAATGAGCTCAATCACCCTTCACTCAACACCATCTCAAATCTTGGAGAGGTGAGTTAAAAGGAAACAGTTTACAGTCTCAGAGGGAGCGACCAGGAGGAAGGGAGGGGGCTGGCTTTCCATCTCTCACAGTTAAAACTAAAAACTTGTAGCCAGGAATAGACTACAATACAATACCTTCCAGAGCCTCCCTGAAAGAAGGACTGGTGGTTAGGCATTGCTACCTGTCAGTTATCAAAACTGGAAGAGATTTCTGCAGACAGTATCATACTCAAAGCTGGCAAATCATGGAAGAATAACAGGCAGTATTACCCCCATGCTGCACTATCTTAGGTACACAGAGGGCTGGGGCAGAAATTCATTTCAGTTCATATTTAAAAGCATATCCACCTAATTTGTGCTTTGCAAAACAACACGTGACCCAAACCACAGCTTTGAGACAGAATTTCCACTTCTCCCAATTCAGCAATTCAGTTATCCAGACAAATTGTATGTCAATTATTATTATTAATAATAATAATAATAATAATAATTTATTATTTGTACCCCACCCATCTGGCTGGGTTCCCCCAGCCACTCTGGGTGGCTTCCACAAATACCAAAAATACACTAATATATCATACATTAAAAACTTCCCTGAACAGCCTTAAGATGTCTTCTGAATGTCAGGTAGTTGTTTATCTCTTTGACATCTGATGGGAGGGCGTTCCACAGGGCGGGCACCACTACCGAGAAGGCCCTCTGCCTGGTTCCCTGTAGCTTTGCTTCTCGCAATGAGGGAACCGCCAGAAGGCCCTCAGTGCTAGACCTCAGCGTACGGGTAGAACGATGGGGGTGGAGACGCTCCTTCAGGTATACTGGGCCAAGGCCATTTAGGGCTTTTAAAGGTCAACACCAACACTTTGAATTGTGCTCGGAAACGTACTGGGAGCCAATGTAGATCTTTCAAGACCGGTGTTATGTGGTCTCGGCAGCCGCCCCCAGTCGCCAGTCTAGCTGCCACATTCTGGATTAGTTGTAGTTTCTGGGTCACCTTCAAAGGGTCACCCACGTAGAGCGCATTGCAGTAGTCCAAGCGGGAGATAACTAGAGCATGCACCACTCTAGTGAGACAGTCTGCAGGCAGGTAGGGTCTCAGCCTGCATACCAGGTTGCATCTACTAAGGGGAGACATGTACATACAAAGACATACATTAGCGAAAATAACACCAAAATGCATTATATGAGACAAAATGCTTTGCAGAAATTGCATATAAACATGTGTATATTAAGAGAAACTCACTTTAAACTGCTGGTGGATTTTCACGAGGACTTGGAAAAAAGTACAAACTGATGTGGAAAGCTGGAGCACTGAACTTAGGGTGGAAAAATGAGAAAGTGAGAGACACTGAATCCCCCTCCCCCATGCGTCCCTCAGGCTTTCCTCCGTGCAGGTAACAGAGCCAGATGCTCATTCCTTGGGGGAAATGCCCTCTGCTAAGCCCCTCCACCACTAGCTGGTCCTGGGGGTGCTTGAGAGCTTTTATGGAAAATTAAAATGGTGGTTTGGCAGGCCAAAAAGAAAATTCAAACATTGTCCTAGAGCAGAAGGGAGCATTGGGCTCTGCCATGTACAGGAGCCTTGGCAACTGCCCAAGATTCTCAGGTGTGATGCAGATTCTGAGTCCTTCTTCATGTTTGATCTCAGACCATGACCTTGAAGGAATTTAATAGGAATGAATGATTCAATGTGTGATTTGATTCTTAGTTGAGCCATTGCAAAATTTTACAAGGATGGCGTTTCACCTAAAACCCCAAAATACTCTAGGGCATTGCAATGGGTGGGGAGTTGGCCCCCTTAGGAATAGTTGAGGTCCCTTTGAATTTTTATCTTTCTAGTATTCCATGAAAAAATGGGGTGGCGAGAACAGATGCTGGTAGTGTTCTTCCCAATTGCTTACTAAAACGTAAGCTTTCCCCCATTTCTCAGCTTTCTGCCCAATGAGTGCAAGTGGAACAGTATAGAATGTTAATGTTATGACTGCTAATTTTATTATTTTCTACACACACTCATACATCCCCCTCTATTCTCCATCTAAACAAGCAAGATACATTTTCAGGGTTAAGGGAAACATTTCCCCTATGAAGAAATGTGTGGGGTGCAAAGCAGTAGTAGCAAGAGGTGCAACCTAAGGGCCAGATAGAGAGGCATTGGGGGGGCATATTCAAACCCCAGGCCTGAGGTTTCCCTCTCCTACCTTATATAAAAAGGAGATAACCCCTTAGTGTTAAAAGGACAAAGGATACACTGAAAAACTCCTTCCAATGTATTCCAGTTGTATTGCCTGCAAGTATCTGCAACTGCAAATTTACTTTAAGGAATTTTTAGGGAAACTGGGTATTCAGAGGAAAGAAAAAGAAATGCAAATACAACAATTTACCTGCCTGATATGAAATCACTATCATTGAATACTTAATAGCTTTCTTTGCCCACCTTACACCTGCATAAATCCCTCTAGTGCAAGCAATTATAGGAAACACTACTCATGATATGATTTCACTTCTGAGATAAATTACTAGGTATTTAGATTTGGTTCTTTAGCTAGCAAATAAAAAAAAATGTAGTTATGCTTTTGAAAATAAATGTAGGAGAATCAGCAAGCTGTCAAGATCCACGGTTATCAGGGATAGGAGAAAAAGGCAGGTTCTATATTGAGGCTGTATATTCCTGCAAAGGGAAGACCACAAAAAGGCACAACCTTCACAATGTTGCATACCTGTCCTCTTGACAACTATTGTGTCAAAAATCAAAGTGTTGTAGGAGAAGGCAGAGGGAGTTAGCCACTGTGTCAACTGGAATAAATTGGTTTTCTTCCAGTATGAGGGTTTTATTAATTTATTTGCCTCTCATCTTTATTTTGCCCTCTGCTTTAAAACTCCTGGGTGGTTAAGCAGTCCAAGTCTCAACATTAGCTTAGACAGCTAGCAAAGATTTTTCATAACTGCCACCATCAGGAGTTTAGGGTGCTGTGGACACCCTAAAAAGCAGATAGAAAACATGTGGAAGGTCTGCTTTAATGCTAGCATGAAAGATTAAAGAATTTGCTCTGTTTTACTCCTTCTATTGGTTTTACACCAGTGGCGTAGCGTGGGGGGTGCAGGGGGGGGCTGGCTGCACCGGGCGCAACATCTGGGGGTTAGGGCTAGGGGGTGCAAATCCACGGGTTAGGGGGTGCAAATTACTTGCCTTGCCCCGGATGCTGACAACCCACGCTACGCAACTGTTTCACACTGCTCTAAATTCTTTTCTCCTATATTTTGGTTCAACTAGGAGAATTTATCAGATTAGTTTTGGAATTAGAACATACACCGTTTGCTGAAGCTTTCAGTTCCTTCAGTTCATCTGCATCTCTTTCCCAACCACAATATCAGCAGGGTTAACAGAACACATACAAACATAGGCATCTGTTCCACCTAGCTCTGATTGTCTATATTAACTGTCAGTAGTTGTCAGGAGTCCAGTTCCCCGCTTAATAACACAGTGAGCTTAGTTAATTAAAAAGGATACTTTATTGTCAAAACAAACAGATAGCTCCGGACGGCTTTAAAACAGCCTCCGCCATCATCATTCAAGATAACCCTTCTGAGGACTGCTTCCGGTGTGATCAGAAGCAACTGAGCATTCACTTCATGCTTCTTTTGTTTGGCTTCCTATCTTGCAGCCCTCCCATTCATCAAGACCTCAGACTGAGTGGGTCAGCTCCCTCCTCTTCCCCATTCTCTGAGAGGCTGTTGCTTAACTCTTTCCCACCTGTTTGTGCTTCCGGTGAGCTTTGCCCTCGTTCTGGCTTGCCCTCAGCCATTGCCTTATCAGCCGGCATTCCAAGGGGAGTTGGCACTGGCTGATGCTCATCTTGCATGGCAGTTAACTCTCTCTGTTCCTGGCTGCTTTCTTCAGTTGGTAGTAACCCTTCCCTGGGAGCTGGCTGTAAACCTTCCCTGGGAGCTGGCTCATTCATGACAGTAATCTTGAAGGTTTCAGAAGGAAAACATACCTATTCCTACCTGGAGTTTTTGGGGATTGAACCAGGAGGCTTCTGCCTGCAAAGCAGATGCTCCACCATTGGACTATAGCCCTTCACCACCCTCCTCAGTTCACAAACCCAACAAGGTTGAGCATAGTCATTGAGCAGCACAAAGTCTTGAGGGGATTTGTGAGTGCTCAATTATAGTCAGATTTGCAAAATCCCCATGAGTTAGTATGAGCCCTCCCTGCTGGTGTCAGTCCCCTCTCCCTGCTACTCTCTCTTTGCTCAAGAATAGCAGAAAAGACTCACCAGAGGGAAGTGGGGAGAGGTGGAATTTTATGAAGTCTGAAAGTAGCCAGTGAAGAATATGACTTTTTCCAGCAGTCCCATGATTCCCTAGCCAGAAATGAGTCACACAACATCAGTTGTAGCCACAGAGAGGCCACTGTATTAGATGACATGCTGATTTCCCTGCCAAGGTTCTGCTAATCTGAGCAAATGAAGCCAATTTCCAAGAAAGTCTTGGTTGCACCCAGCCCTTTCCAACCAGTGTTAAGCAAACCCTTGCACTCCAGAGGGTAATCTGAGCAAATGAACTCCTTTCAAAGAAAGTCTTGTTTGGAGCTCAACCTTTCTACCAGTTTTAGAAAGGTTCTTGCAACCCACAGCTTCAACACCGCTTCTGTTGCTAAAGTCATTATAAATGTTGCAGGTGAGCAGTAGTTTTCTATTTATGAAGTCAGGACCATAGCGCGGGGGGGAGTCAGTATCTCTGCCTCAGGTGAGCATTCAGTGAGTCAAAAGCCAGGTAACAAGAGAACAATGGCTTGACAATCAAGCCTGCAGGGAGCCCCATAAACCCTCCGGGGCTGCCACTGCCAGTCTGAACTTAAAATAGATAAATAAAGCCACTTTGTCTCCCTTCCCTGTTGGTTGTATAAAGAGAAACATAGTCCTTGTTTTGATTCTAAACTCAGCTTCTTCTTTTTTGACACTGTAACACTCCTGATTTCTGAATGTAAAAATGTAGCTGGGCAAAAGGCTAGATATTTTGTATCTAGAAGTGTGTCTTGAAAGTGTATGAAACCTTCATTGTCATGCCAGATGTTTCAGAACTAATTTTGGCCTTCATGAAGGATTTGCCTGTAGCCTCCTAAGTATTAAGTGATGGCTAGATATGAGGAGGGAATTCCATTCAATTTTGCATTGAAAGGTGAACCTATCTAAATCACACTTCCCGAAAAAATCCATGAACCAAAGCACAACTATCATTCAAATACAGTGGTACCTCGGGTTAAGTACTTAATTCATTCCGGAGGTCCGTTCTTAACCTGAAACTGTTCTTAACCTGAAGCACCATTTTAGCTAATGGGGCCTCCTGCTGCCACTGCGCCACCGGAGCACGATTTCTGTTCTCATCCTGAAGCAAAGTTCTTAACCCGAGGTACTATTTCTGGGTTAGCGGAGTCTGTAACCTGAAGCGTATGTAACCTGAAGCGTTTGTAACCTGAGGTACCACTGTACATATTTCCCTGTATGTTGCAGTGTAGTTCTCAAGCCATGTTACACAAATGTGTGTGTGTGTGTGTGTGTGTGTACACACACTAGGGTAAAGTGTGCATTGAAATGCACATATGCCTGTGGAAATACCATACAAAAATGCATTATGTTAGGGGAAATTGTTTTGCAAAATTGCATACAAAAACATATATATTAGGAGAAATGCTCACTAAAATGTTGATGCGTTTTCATGACTTTTTTTTACTAATAAAAATTCAAAGTGATGTGGAAATATAGAGAAGTGGATTTAAGTTTGGGAAAATGAGAAACTGAAACTGACAGATTTGCCCATCCCTAGTCATGACTGAATTAAATTTAAGAGAATGGAAAAGATGTAAAAAGCATGATTATCTCATTGATTGTGCCCTTCCCATCAGAACCAGCTTATTCCTGCTGGTTAAAGACTTTATTAAATTTTCAGAACTATGGCTTTATAAGTATAGAGTCAGGTGGAGAAAAAAACCTATTATATTTAATAGCAATCATTGGTACCTTGGGTTCCCTGAGCTCACACGGAACATTTACATTTCAAAGTGTTCTTTAGTCTCTAAAAAAGGAAACATGGCTTTTCAACTAGTATTCTTCTCCCATTTGGAAACAATCTTCCTTTCTTCATGTTGAAGATTGAATGTGGAACTTTGTCCCCAACCAGAAGAAAATATTTATATTCAAATAGCCAGCCCAGGGTTTGAATAGTTTGTTTACCTGCATTGAGAATGTCCAGGCTGCCTAAGGATTTTTAATGGGATTGTCCCTTTGATTCTAAAAATATACATCAGAACAATAAGCAAGTCTCATTGGGGACAGAATACATTATGGCAATAATTGGTTTCTGAATGATACAGCAATTTTAAGTTTGGGCATTTTGGCACCACTTAAAACAGGCAGCAAAATGGGTTAGCTTAGCAGTGACAATGGTGCAACTTTAAGCAGCCATGGCTTCTTCTGAAGAATTCTGGGAGCTGTAGTTTGTTACAGGTGCTGAAAGTTGTTAGGAGACCCCTATTCCCCTCAGAGAGCTACCCTCCTCAGAATGGTTTAATAGTCAATCCCTCTTCACATGAAACACTGAGAATTGTACTTTTACTGGTGAGAGTCAGTGTGGTGTAGTGGTTAAGAGCGGTGGACTCGTAATCTGGTGAACCGGGTTCGCGTCTCCGCTCCTCCACATGCAGGTGCTGGGTGACCTTGGGCTAGTCACACTTCTCTGAAGTCTCTCAGCCCCACTCACCTCACAGAGTGTTTGTTGTGGGGGAGGGAGGGAAAGGAGAATGTTAGCCGCTTTGAGACTCCTTCGGGTAGTGATAAAGCAGGTTATCAAATCCAAACTTCTTCTTCTTCTATAAAGGGAATAGTGGCATACTAACAATTCTCAGCATCCTTAACAAACTACAGCTCCCAGCATTCTTCAGAGGAAGTTATGACTGCTTAAAGGGCTTCAAACATATGGTATAAATGTGTCCCTAGAGTGATTAAATAAAATTTGCATACCTTCCAACATTTCTCCAAGGAAAATAGGGACATCCTACAGAGAAGTGGGACATTCTGAGATAAAATCAGAAACTGGTATGACTTCTCTAAATCAGGGATGCCCCTGGAAAATAGGGACACTTGGAGGGTCTGAACTTGATCAGACAAACAGCAAAGCTAAGAGATACAAACAGAGGAGTCGTTATCATGATGCCTGGCTCTGCCGCCTGACCTGCACAGATTCAGTAGCCATGTACAAATTCTACATGCAGAGACTTTTTTCTTTGTGGGGAGGGGCTGTCATTCATTCCCACTTCCCACCATCATCCCATGATAGGTGGTCTCAATGGGGCTCCTGCCTTTGATTCCTGCTTGTTGCAATGATACCTGATGATGTGCCATTGCTCTCAGCATGAATTGTGTAGAAAAAATGTGACTGCCCCTCATGGAACTAGTGGAAGAGCAGGCCGGTTTTGCATCCTCCACAATGCCATAAACCTAGCATTGTTCTGTTTTTTTTTTTTTTAAATGATATTTATTAAAGTTTCACAAAAATACAGAAAACAAAGAAAAAAGTATAAATTACAGCAAAAAAGTAAAAAGTAAGAAAAAACATACAAAATAAAACAATTAAAAACACAATGATGTTCCATAACCTATCTTCCTTACTCTTATTTCCCCAGACCTCCTCATACCTCCCTTCTTTGTATTCCAATTCAGTTTGTTGGTTCAGCAAATCCTTACCATTAATCTTTTACCCAATTGTTAACCTTTTTTTTCATGTCTCTTAAAGCATTACAGCTAAAAACCTCTTAATTTCTATCCAACATCCTTCTATAGTTCCTTAATTTTACAATATTTCTGTAAATAGTCCTTAAATTTTTTCCAATCTTCTTTCACCGACTCTTCTCCCTGGTCTCGGATTCTGCCAGTCATTTCCGCCAATTCCATGTAGTCAATCACCTTCATCTGCCATTCTTCCAAAGTGGGTAGATCTTCTGTCTTCCAATACTTTGCGATAAGTATTCTTGCTGCTGTTGTAGCATACATGAAAAAGGTTCTGTCCTTCTTTGGCACCAGTTGGCCGACAATGCCCAAGAGAAAGGCCTCTGGTTTCTTCAGAAAGGTATATTTAAATACCTTTTTCAGTTCATTGTATATCATTTCCCAGAAAGCCTTAATCTTTGGGCACGTCCACCAAAGGTGAAAGAATGTACCTTCAGTTTCTTTACATTTCCAACATTTATTATCGGGCAAATGATAAATTTTTGCAAGCTTGACTGGGGTCATGTACCACCTGTATATCATTTTCATAACATTCTCTCTTAAGGCATTACATGCCGTAAACTTCATACCTGTGGTCCATAACTGTTCCCAGTCAGCGAACATAATGTTATGTCCAACATCTTGTGCCCATTTAATCATAGCAGATTTCACCGTTTCATCCTGAGTATTCCATTTCAACAGCAAGTTATACATTCTTGACAAATTTTTAGTTTTGGGTTCTAACAATTCTGTTTCTAATTTTGACTTTTCCACTTGGAAGCCTATTTTCTTATCCAAGTTATATGCCTCCATTATCTGATAGTAGTGGAGCCAATCTCTCACTTTATTTTTTAATTTTTCAAAACTCTGCAGTCTCAATTTATCTCCTTCTTGCTCCAAAATTTCCCAATATGTCGGCCATTTGGCCTCCATATTGAGCCTTTTCAGAGCTTTTGCTTCCATTGATGACAGCCACCTTGGGGTTTTATTTTCCAATAAGTCTTTGTATCTTATCCAGACATTAAACAATGCTTTCCTAACAATATGATTTTTGAATGCTTTGTGTGCTTTGACCTTATCATACCATAAATATGCATGCCATCCAAATACATTGTTAAAACCTTCTAAATCCAAAATGTCTATGTTTTCAAGAAGTAGCCATTCTGAACCTAGCATTGTTCTGGAGCAACATTGGAAGGAAATGGTGTCTTCCACCCAAGAAATAAAAAAATGATGAGACTATTCAGGGGAAATTCTCATAAGAAGAACCTGCACAATCAGGACAATGACCCATCTAGTTCAGGCTCCTGTTCTCACAGTGGCCAACCAGATACCTGTGGGAAACCAGGGAGCAGAACCTGAGCACAAGAGGCCTCTCTGCTCTTATGGATTCCAGCAACTTGCCTCTGACTATGAAGGCAGACCACAGCCATCATGGCTAGTAGCCATGAATAGCCTTAAAAAGGTAAAGGTAAAGGGACCCCTGACCATTAGGTCCAGTTGTGGCTGACTCTGGGGTTGCGGCGCTCATCTCACTTTATTGGCCAAGGGAGCCAGCATACAGCATACAGTCATGTGGCCAGCATGACTAAGCCGCTTCTGGCAAACCAGAGCAGCACACGGAAACTTCGTTTACCTTCCCGCCGGAGTGGTACCTATTTATCTACTTGCACTTTGACGTGCTTTCAAACTGCTAGGTTGGCAGGAGCAGGGACCGAGCAAGCGGAGCTCACCCCGTCATGGGGATTCGAACCGCCGACCTTCTGATCGGCAAGTCCTGGGCTCTGTGGTTTAACCCACAGCGCCACCCGCGTCCCTCCTTAATGAATAGCCTTATCCTCCATGAATTTCTCAAATAAGCTTTTAAAGCCATCCACGTTGGAGGCCATAGCTGCTTCTTGCAGAAAGCGAGTTCTGCATTTCCCTCTACTTCCTCTGTGTCTCTTGTGCGTATTTATAGACTGTAAGCCCTTTAGGGGGCAGGGCACTATATGGTATATGTGCTCTGCCCCCAAACTGCACAACAGCAGTAGCATCAACAGCAACGATAAGGTGTCCCACCATCTCTCTCTCACACACACACACACACACACACACACACACAGTTTTGAACGGCAGCCTGAAGAAATTCTAACCAGGAAAAGTGCTAGCGGTGCATTCTGACAAATGTCTAAACGGGCCTCAAGGCTGTCAAGCAGATGGAGAGGAAATTGGCGCAGCTACTCCCCCCCCCTTCTGAGACCTATTAAACAATTTCCTTCAGCTATGGCCATCATAATAAATAATAAAATAATAACAATGGTTGTAATATCCAATTTCCTGTGCCTTCCTTGTTTTCGGTCTGTCTAAACTGCACCGTTCCTACCCACATGCAAAGGCTCAGCGACCGGATGGAGCAGAGGTATGTTAAGCATACACAACAGCAACAAAAAGAGGCCAGAGCTTCAAAATGGGCTTTTATAGACAGGATACAAAGTGCTTTATTAGTCTCGCAGTCAAATTGCTTCCTGGAGGAATTGAAAAGAAGGCTTGCAGGCACAAATCTTCTAGGTTCTTACAAGGTCTTTGATAATGCTTTGAAAATTACATGTGGCGTGTTATAGCCAACAGGCTTTTTCTCAACTCAAGCCAGCCCCGCTGCCACCAGTCCCATCAGAATGTAAAATTTCCCTTCAAGTTGAACTTGATTGAAATATATTTTTTCTCATTAGTTCCCTTAAGTAGAGGGTGTTACTGTAGAAAAACAACTAGGCCGCTGGATTTCTCTCTGTGTCTCTCTCTCTCTCTCTCTTTCTCTTTCATATTTAAGAGTGGGAAGTTATTTGCATGCATACATCGCCCTTCAAAATTTTCATTTTGGTTTTTGAGCGGCTGAATGTGGAAGACAGAAGTCACTTTGCAAGGGTGCTTCAGAGAAAATGTATGGCTTTGGGGATAATCTATGGCAATAATAACGGAGATGGTGCTGTCACAAAAACCCTCATTCCAAGAGGCATTATATAGACGGTCTTTTAAAAAAACTGCATGTAGTAGCTCTGCAAGCTGCCATTTGGCATGTCAGCCATTCAATCTGTTGCATGGCTTATTAAATACAATAACTTGAATGTAATGTTGTACCTTTCAAATGCTGTGATGCAGACGCTCTGGTGTTCGGTACTTTATTTCAATTGCAAAGCGGCATAAGAGCAAAATGATCGATGGGCTTTTAAACATTGCAAAAAGCAGGTTTTTAAGGGAACACAATGCCTGCAAAATGATTAGATTGGTAAGGAAAGGACAAATTTGAGCCATTATTTTAGCTCCCAAGGGCTGAAGTACAGTACACTTCAGTTGCTTTATTCTGCCATACTTTTATACACCTATAATTCCAAAAGTGTGCCATGAGAGAAGGGCTATTGTGTAATGAAACATGGGGGGGGGGGAGGAATCATAGTGTTAGAAGGAACTTTGAAGGTCCTCTGGTCCAAGCCCATGCTATAATAATAATAATAATAATAATAATAATAATAATAATAATTTGTATATCGCTGAAGATCATAGAGTGCTTCATGAAATATAAATACAAAAAGGGAACACAAAAATAATAAAAACAAAAACAAACCAATAACCCCCTCCTACAAACACATTTCAAAGGGCATAGAATGTTAATCAGCCAGAGGTCATGTTAATGAGAAACGTTTTGGCCTGATGCCTAAAGATATGTAATGAAGGTGCCAGACAAGCCTCCCAGGGGAGAGCATTCCACAAATGGGGAGCCACCGCAGAAAAGGCCCATTCTTGTGTTGCCACCATCTAGACTTCTCATGGAGCAGGCCCATGAAGAAATACCTAAGGTGATGATTGCAGGGTCCAGGTCAGTTCATATGGAGGATCTTTTGATCAAAGCAGGATTTTCAATGGATCCTTAACAGTTGGCTGCCCAGTGTCATGCCTCAGCCATGGGAATCCTCATCAGTAGAAGGCCAGGATAACCAAGCCTTACACCAAGCCTTGGGGAAGGCTCCATGTGGGAGTAAGGAGCCAGGATCCTGCAATGAGGCCAAAGAGAGGCAATCTGAGCCCAGGGTGAGTTCCCATCTGTCAATGAGGCTAAGTGGGTCTCAAGCCTGCAGAAAAGGTGGCGCCTTAAATGCCAAATGGAAACTCACCCATCCAGAGAAGTGCCTGACCACAGGCAAGGACTGAGTAAAGATCTCATCGGGAGTAAGACTCTCCTGTTACTGCTCTCCAGAAAATGATATTCAGTAGCATCCTGCCTCTGAACTTGGATGGTGCATATGTAACAATCAGGACTAGCAGCTTGGCTTCTTGGACCTCTGATTTGACTTCAGGCTGTTACTTCCAGCTCCTAGCACATAGTACCCAACTTTCACTTGGCGACTGCCTACAGCTCCTCACGCACTATAGCAGTAATGAGGGCTGTCCAGCTGCAAATACCCTGCAGTCCTAATTGGATGGGAAGCCATGTTGCAGAAAAGTATCAGAAAATTAGAAAGCAACAACAACCCTATACCTCCTCTCTTCAAATCACCAAAACCCAAGAAGCTGAATGCACTATTTAGCAGTAAGCAGTAAAGCCCACCACTGGCTGGACCTGAGGTTAATGCTATTGGTGGCCACCTCCACTACTGGTGGCTGTCTTGCCTTGAATATTAGTTGCTGGAAATCACACGTGTGGAGAGTGTTGTTTCACTCAGGTCCTGCACTTGTGCTTCCCCTAGGCATTTTGTTTGGCCACTGTGAGAACAACATGCTGGACTCAATGGGTCTTTGGCCTTACCCTTCAGTACTATTATAACATTCTTAGGTGAAAGGAAAGCCAACAGCTTGCCTATTGCTTCCATTCTGTCAGGCACTGTCAGACTTCAGGGAAACTGACCCCCCTCCCGCACAGCAGGCTGCCAGTAATGAAATGACAAGAAGCTATTTATTCAATATTCACAGAGAGAGACATAGAAATGCCATCTCTTGGATAATGGTGTTGCTCTGAGTAAAGCCCCACCCCCTCCATCTCTCCTATTATACATCATCCCTACATTGGCTGATCTGTGCCATCTGCTTCAGAGCTTTCTGTTCTCCTGCTTTCAATGCCCCCCGGGTCCTGGAAGAGGGGGGATCTGGAATGCTTTCTAAAGATACTGAGTCTGTCAGCTGTCTCTCCCCTGGTGCTGCTGCTGCTTCTTCCTGCTCCTCTCCCAGTTTCTCCCCTCTGCAGCCTCTGAACTGGGATCTTCTGCAAACCACTGTTGTAAATGTACGCTGTCTCCCTCTTCTCTGGGAATTGCAGGAGGAGGGGGGTGGTCTCCACCATTCCTCCTCAGTCGGTCCCTGACAGGCACCTAAAGGGGAGAAGTGAATTGGGTTCAGAAGATGGGTGTGCATGCACACTGCGGCATACATCCTCTAAAATCCCATTTCCACGACACTGAGGATTCTTTTAGCTGCAGGGAGGGGCTGCACCTTTGTAGTTCAAAAGACTGCAGAGGAAGAAATTAACCTCAGAGGATGAACTTCCGCTGAGCCCCGCATTCCTCCATTTACTCATAAAACTTCCATGGGTCCCTCCTCGTTTGGCTTTATTGGATCTTAAACAGCAACTTAATCTAAATAAGTCTCCTCCATAAACTTATAATCTGCTCTCTCCTTGCATCACAAAACACCTTCCGGGAGCCAAGACAATAGAAAACATTGCTGATTAAATTCTACCATGCTGGTAATAACAGTCCACTTAGGCGAGGGATGGAAGGAGTCACACATCGGTGGTCCTAAGGTTCATCTCTCGCAGGTTTCAGCTGAAACTCAGCTACCGCATAACAGGTGGGATGTCGATTCTCTTAATTTAAATTAGCTTTGGAAAAAGATGGCCTGAGCTACAATATCTCCCATATGCCCCAGGCAATATGTGAGGCGGGGATTTTCATCCTTTCTTTCTGGTTACTTTCTATTTTTAAACCAGTGGAGTGGAAAGTAAATTGCTTGTCAATAACTCTTTGCTGTCACCAAAGCAGTTGTTTCGGAGGTGAGCATTTGCAAATTGTTTCCTAAATTACCATAAAATAAATAAGGCAGAGGGTAGAAATACGTTTGAATAAGGGGTGTGATTGTCCCCCCATCCCTTGTTATCTTAGTTGGAGAGAACCAAGTAATTCTTCAGCAGCTATAGCGCCTTCTCACAGGTTTATTGACTTTTCCATATGCTTGCCGAACCCTCCCCCAAAAGTAGCTGAATGAGAAGCACTCTCAGGTGCTTTGCAGGGAGATGCCTTTGCACAATCAGTTTAATGCTACAAAAGAGCACCGACCATAGGATGAAACTGGCAGGGACTGTTCAATCACTCCCAGTGCAGAGAGTGAAAACACATTGATGAATTAGCTGCTATGTTGCATGTTTGCACAAGTAATTATTATTCTGGGCCTGCCTCATTTGGACCAGACAGCACACCCAATTATGGGTGGACAAACCAGTCTATTACTCTCCCCGCTCCATATTCTTAAGGAACTTCCAGAATGCAACTGTTTTCAGGTTGCACAATAGTTTATTGTAATGTCTTGTGCAACAAACCTGCCTCTTCAAAAGATTGGACTTGTTGAAATAAGGAAAGTGATGGGAATATGAATATGGAAGTGGAGGTTACCATTTGCTTTGATGCAACATCACCTAACCTCCACACAAACAAATCAGAGGTTGCTGGAAACAGCTCAAAGGTCAGCCAGTGACATATTTGCATCCATTTTTGACTGATTAAAAAATAATAACCATGAACCTCAGCATTTTAGTGTGCATTCTTCCTAATATACACATTTTTTGATGCAATTTTGCCTAATATACTGCAGTTTTATACTATTTCACTATTTTTTTTGCTTTTCTATACATATTTCTCCCTGATATACACATTTTGGGGGGTTGGAAAACTGCACTACAAAATTCAGCGAAGTACATAGTTGCACATAAAGGGCACGCTAGGTAGGTTCCCATTAAAATGAGAACTAAATTGAATTTCCCCCCTATCCCAGTGCAGTAATGTGTAGAAAACAAAGTATGATACCATTTTCAATGTTAGAAACTGCATGAAGGGTTCTGAAAATGTAAACAGCAGATGTGTCCCTCCACCCACAATCTGGAACAACTTTAACTCTTTGCCTTCAGAACTGGAATGGCTCCCCCAAGCCTGCTATTTGCACTGGAAAGGAACTCCCATTCATAACAATGGAAAGCAGGGTTTTTTTTGGTGGGGAGGGGGGATAACACAATAGCTGATTACATGAATGGTTAGTTTGGCCCTCAGGGTTTCATAGGACTAAAGAGGGTGATTGAATCCATAGGTACACTTAGTTTCTCCACTAGTGGAACCCAATTTTCACCTTCATTTTCAATAGTTGCTTTTCAACACATCTATGTTAAACCATTTTTGCCAATATTTCATCTGAAGGCAGCCAGTTTTCAGTGGTATTATTTATTTTCAAAGTGTAGGAACCTGAATGTAAGTGTCCATTTGAAGACTGTTTTTATGAAACTGAAAGAATAACACCATGGTGGTGATGGTGGTGAATCAATGTAAAAAAGGACAAATTCTACACATTGGTAGAAGAAATGTTTCCTTTAATATATTCTTTTTCATCAGTTTGGAATCTGGAATACAAAACATCCCTATTTCAGTAACACGTCATTCACTCACAAGATTGCTTGCTACTGGAATGGGTGAAAATCACCTGATAAGCGTTAGAATAGGAGTTTTAAATTCTTTATGCCCAGAAGAGAAGGCACATTTGACATTATTTTAAGAGATCTGCAATGTTATCTTTCACTTGCTGTTTGGGGTGGTGTGCAGCTACAAAGAGCTCACGATAAAACTTCGCCTCCAATCTCATAATAATTTCCTCCTAGTCAGAATTATTGTACAGGCACTCGGTTTATTGCTTACAAGCAAACATTAGAGCATTATGAAACCAGCTTATTGGCTCAAAACCTACATAAATAAGGCAAAACTGCTGCTTTTATGGCGAGAAGGGTGTTATTAAGTGTCAATCATACAACTGATGGCTTTGCGTGCTCGCAAGCAATAAAAAGCTAGCGCCACTGTGCCACTAGGCTATTTCTCACATGCTGTCGTCGCCTGATTGTTAGGGTTTAAGGGTGGGAGAGTTGAGAATGAAGGGATGTCACTTGGCATGAGTGGGAGGGACAGTGTGCCTGAGTTCTAATTGTATGAGAGACCCCTTCATTCATTCATTCATCCATTCATCCATCCGCTCGTCTTGTGAATGGGGCCTTCACATATAGGAGCTGCAGTTCTAGATGTGCAGGCTTCCTGACTTCAGCCAACCACACTCCTCTCGTGGATATCAGAAGTAGGGCTGGAAAAACCATACGACATTGGCATTGGAACCAGCGATGAAACCACTCTGAAATAAAGGGCACACATGCCCTTATGGTCTCTTCAAGTCAATGGGCCTTTTCATGGCTTCAAAGCAGAGCGAAAAGCTGGGGTGCTATTTTAACAAGAGCCCTTATCTTCACCAGGCACCATTTTAAAATGTCATAAAATGGGATCACAACAAAATAATAAAAATCTCTGCACTCTCACTCCCACCCCGCACCTCCAAATATCTGTCACTGGTCAAATCTGTAATAATAACAGGAGCAAAAAGCTTCTTGTCAGGGCGGTGAAAGAGCTGCCTAGTTCTCAGTAGGCATCTCTGCAAAGAAGCAGCTATAGACATGCTCAGAAATTAAGGGGTGATCCTGGTTTGGTTTGCCAGGGCTATAAAGCCAATGTCTAGCCTCCTCACCTCCCCAGTCTGCTCACAAGAGCTTGAAGTCTTTGACCTCCTTAAAGTAAGTAGCCTAATTAAGCCACATGGGTTGCATAAACACACCTTTTGCTTAAAACAGGATGGCAAATCCTAAATCACAAAATCTGGAGGAAAACACAAACAGCATCTAAAGCTGGGCCCAGGGCCAAGCAGAATGAAAAAAAGACACTTCAGGAGGAATTTCCAGTTCACCAAAGGGGGTGGGATTCATGAGGACTAGGGGGAGTTAATTTTCCCCACACTATATATGTTGAAAATGCCCAGACACCAGTAGGAGGGCCAGATTGGTTCTGATAGTGCATCTGAGGAGCCCCAGCCTCGCCATTGTTGTCATGCACTCTACAAGTCCATGACAGTGACACCAGTGTTGGGAAAGTGGATCAGCAGCAGCACCCCACCATGTTGGCCACTCCTTCTGTAATGCAGTCCTTGTTAGATCCAGGTCTCGATTCAGATCCAGGCACTCTTGGAGGAAACTGATTTTCTAGATGCATTTCAACTGGGGTTTGGGCCTGGTTTTGACACAGCAACTGCTTTGGTTTGATGACCTCTGTCAGAAGGGGGACAGGGGAAATGTGTCCTTGTTAGTGCTCCTTGACCTTTCAGCAGCTTTTGACACCATCAACCATGGTATCCTTCTGGCTGTCTCAGTTGGGGAAGCAGTGGCTCAGGGCCTACTTGGATGGTCATTTTCAGAGGATGATGCTTGGGGAGCGCTCTTTGGCTCTGTAGAGCCTTCACTGTGGGCTTTCTCAGAGTTCAATTTTATCCCCCATGCTGTTTAACATCTACATGAAACCACTGAGTGGGTTTACCTGGAGTTTTGTAGTACGTTGTCAGCAATATGCTGATGATACACACCTCTTCTTCTCCTTTACATCTGCAGGTGTGACAACAGATATGCTGGACCATTTTCTTGCCTCAGTAACGAATTGGATGAGAGACAATAATCTAAAATTCAATTCAGATAAGACTGAGGCACTGTTATTGGGTGGTTCCCTAGACTAGATGAATGGGAGGTTGCCCGCACTTTATGGGATTACGCTCCCTCTGCATAAGCAGGTATGTAGCTCTGGGGTCCTTCTGGATCCATTAATGTCACTTGAAGCTTAGGTGGCCTCAGTGGCACAGAGTACCTTCCATCAGATTTACCTGGTGGCCCAGCTGCTCCCCTATCTGGACAGGATTAGCCTAACTTGTGTTGTCTATGCTCTGGTAACCTGTAGGTTACAGTATATGTGATGCTGTCTCTGAAGAGCGTTCAAAAACTTTAGCTAGTGTAGATTTCAGCAGCCAGGTTGCTCACTGGGACAAGATGATCTGAGCACATCACACTGATCCTCGCCCAACTGCACTGGCTGCTAGTTAGTTCCAGGCCTAATTCCAAGTGTTGGTTTTAACCTGTTGTTTAGTCATTTAGTTGCGTCCAACTCTTCGTGACCCCATGGACCAGAGCACGCCAGGCACTCCTGTCTTCCACTGCCTCCCGCAGTTTGGTCAAACTAATGTTGGTAGCTTCGAGAACACTGTCCAACCATCTCGACCTCTGTCGTCCCCTTCTCCTTGTGCCCTCAATCTTTCCCAATATCAGGGTCTCTTCCAGGGAGTCTTCTCTTCTCATGAGGTGGCCAAAGTATTGGAGTCTCAGCTTCAGGATCTGTCCTTCCAGGGTTGATTTCCTTAAGAACAGATAGGTTTGATCTTCTTGCAGTTTTAACTTATAAAGCCTTAAATGGCTCAGGACTGTAATACCTCAAGGACCCCTCTCTCCCAAATGAACCAGCCTGGATCCTTTGATCATCATCTGAAGTCCTTCTTCATGTGCCTCCTCCGTGAGAGGCCTGCAGGGTGGAAATGCAAGAACAGTCCTTTTCTTCAGTGGCTCCCTGTTTGTGGAATGATCTCCTCAGGGAGGCTCGCCTGATACCTTTGTTACTTATCTTTAGCTGCCATGCAGAAATATTCCTCTTCTCCCAGACCTTTGGCTAATTAAACAATAAACAAACCTCAGAGCAGGATTGTGTTTAAAACAGTGAACCAGGAAATAGCCAGAATCTCTGTACAGTGGTACCTCGGGTTACATACACTTCAGGTTACATACGCTTCAGGTTACAGACTCCGCTAACCTAGAAATAGTGCTTCAGGTTAAGAACTTTGCTTCAGGATAAGAACAGAAATCGTGCTCCGGCGGCGCGGCGGCAGCAGGAGGCCCCATAACTAAAGTGGTGCTTCAGGTTAAGAACAGTTTCAGGTTAAGTACGGACCTCCGGAACGAATTAAGTACTTAACCCGAGGTACCACTGTTGTTTGGTTGAGCATCTCAATAGAAGTTTCCTTTTCCTCCATCCATCATATTCAAAGTTAAAAGTCGAGTCAATCAACATTTCAGTTCAGTTATATACATACCTCAGCATGATCGTGGCATTACCAAACTGACAGGGGTGATGCAGCTCAGCAAACCTTCTGGAGGAGACTGGCCTTCGTTTTCAGCTTAACATCCATTTTAAAACATGTAAATGAAAGAAAAGGTGGCACATTTCTCATGTCAGGGTTTCCAAGGAAGGAGCAGGGCCACCGAATATGCAAATACAGGCTTGGATTTTAAATTACCTTTTGTCACCTACTGCAAAGAGTGAATAAAATCTTGTAATTATATTGTATTGATAGGCACACTCGAATGGGAAGAGTTATTTTCAAAAGGTTAATTATTTACATAACCTCGTTCTCTCCAGCTCATCTTACCCTAACTCTTCCTGTGCAAAGAATATAGCTTTGTCTTTTGTTTGTTTTTATTATTTATTTCAAATGCAAGAAGATCATGTCTTCCCCCAAGGCTTGATATGAGTGCAAATAAGTCCAAACCAAGTATCTCACACTAGATGTGCCTATAGCAGCCTGTTTTCATTAATGTGTTTTTTTTTTAAAAAAAAAATCTACTTTTTAACTTGATGCTTCTATTTTTTTTATAAAAACTAAGAATCTGGTATGTTTCTTTTGCTGTAATCCAAGAATGATTCAAGCATGTAACTGTTAGAAGAAAACAACTGCTCTTTTCCTCTTATGGGGCACCCAAGAGCCCATATAGAGTCCTCTTTTTAGGTTCTCTATCGGTAGGAGAAAAATAAGAGAGGCCAACCAGAGAATATTGAGAAGCAAGGCAGCTAGTAAGCCTGATCTTTATTAAAGCTGTTGCAACAGTGTGCTCCCCACACCTGTTGCCTAAAAATCTACAGTGGCAGCAGCAAATGAAATTCCCTGAGAACAGTTTAGAAATGGGGGGGGGGCACCACTGAAAAGACCCCTTCTTGTGCAACCACACTTCAAATCTCCTTCAGATATGGAATACAGAGGCCAGCCATGTGCATTTAAATAATGTGAATCTCCCCTAAAATACACATTTTAGTGTTCATTGGCCACTAAAAATTCATTTCTTGTGCAGTTTTTTAGCCTAAAAAATGCATCATGAAATTTGGAGAAGGTTACAGTTCAGATCTATGCATTAACCTGGAAGCTGAGGGTCAGAGGTGTCCCATCCTGTTTTGCTGCCTGAGGCAAAATGTTAATGTGTCACCTCCTCCAGCAGCCGCCGCCAAAGTGACAAAGCCTTGTTTACTAGGGTCATGCTGTTGCAGCAATGGTTTTCGACAGTGGAACCCCTCACCGCAAGAGGAGTGGTGGAGGGTGCCAGGTTCCAGTGAGATCTCTCTGGAACCTAGAAGCCAACACTGCAGCTGGATCTCCCCACTTTTTTGGTGAGTGGGGCACCTCCCCATTGGGGTTCTGCTGCTTGAGACAGCTGCTTCAGTCCGCCTCATGGGCGGTCCAGCCCTGGTGAGGTTTGGATTGGGTCACTCAGAAATGTGGTCTGAACAAAATTCTCTTCCCAAGTATACTTTGGTTTCTCTCCTCAAACTCCTTCAGGCCCTCTGCACTTGTAAAAAAATACAGCTCCTTCTTATTGATTTCCCACAGTCAACACAGAGACAAATTGTGTGATTCCTAATAATATATACACTGAGGAAACTTGGATAATAAAAGTGTTTATTATGTGGCAGCATGAGGAATGAATGTAAACGGATCTCAATTCAATCATAACTTTATTCCCGACTGAACAGCTACGGTAAATCCAGAGATGAAATGAAAGATTAATTCACTGAGATTGCAGTTTGGCAGCCACAGGTTACTGCCAATTTGCTATTCTTGCAATGGTGTTTGCTTTTTATGCACGCGAGCGCACGCACATGCATACTTGCACTGAACTCCGGTAAATGGCTGTGTTTCCAGCCATATTACAACACAGCTTGGCTAGGACAGGAAGGATCCTGATTGTTTCTTCCCTATAGGAAGAGCTGTAGTTCAGCAGTAGAGCAATCTGTCTTGCACGCAGAAGGTCACAGGTTCTATCCTTCGTATGTAAGGTAGGGCAGGAAGAGAGTCCTGTCTAAAATCCTACAGAGCTAATGCCAGTCAGTGTAGATAATATTCAGCTACATGGACCCATAGTCAGACTCACAGAATCATAGAGTTGGAAGGAACCCTGAGGTTCACCTAGTCTAACCCCCTGCAATACAGGAATATTCAGTTGTCCCATACGAGATTCAAACCTGCAACCTTGGCATTCTGAGCACTATGGCTCTAACCAACTGAGCTATCCAGTATAAGGCAGTTTCCTATATTCCTTTCTGGCACCCTCATGCAGAAGTGGAGTTTGTGCAGTTATTGGATGTTTCACTTATTTATTTTTGAGGTATATATCCCACCCATAGCTGTCAAGTGTCCCTTATTTGAAGGGACAGTCCCTTATTCCAGCGCCATGTCCCGCTGGTGTCCCTTATTGATGAATGTCCCTTAAATGTCCCTTAAATTTCAAAGGAAGCAGCTCCTCTCTCTCCCTCCCTCCCTGCTGGCCAGGGAGGAGGGAGGCTCCAACTGTGTTGCTTGGCTGTGTTGCTCACCCAATAAGAAGTCTAAGAACGACTAGGGGGTGGAGCTTGCATGCCTTGTGTGTGGCTAATTAATGCAAGCTGAGGGGGTTTTTTGAATGCTGGACACCATTTTGTTGCACGTGCTGCTGCAAACTTTGCAGTGCAAAGCCAGGCCTGGGAGCCATCTTAAGTTGAGGCTGCATAGGCCTTGTGGTGCATGTGATTCAGATTCTATTCAGTTGAACCTCTGGTTACAAAGTTGGTTGGACAGTGTTCTCGAAGCTGCCAGCATGAGTTTGACCAGACTGCAGGAGGACAGGAAGACTGGAGTGCCTGGAACAGGTGAGGCTGCAGGTCCCTTATTTTGGCTGCTGGTCCCTTATTTTCAAATCTGTAAGTTGACAGCTATGATCCCACCTTTCAAAAAAAAGGGGGGGGGGAAAGACATATCCTGCTTGAGGCAGAAAACAAATAGGAATGTCTACATTTCTCATTTTTTTGTTGTTGTTTAGTCGTTTAATCGTTTTCCAACTCTTCATGACCCCATGGACCAGAGCACGCCAGGCACTCCTGTCTTCCACTGCCTCCCGCAACTTGGTCAGACTCATGTTTGTAGTTTCAAGAACACTGTCCAACCATCTCGTCCTCTGTCGTCCCCTTCTCCTTGTGCCCTCCATCTTTCCCAACATCAGGGTCTTTTCCAGGGAGTCTTCTCTTCTCATGAGGTGGCCAAAGTATTGGAGCCTCAGCCTCAGGATCTGTCCTTCCAGTGAGCACTCAGGGCTGATTTCCTTAAGAATGGATAGGTTTGATTTTCTTGCAGTCCATGGGACTCTCAAGTGTCTCCTCCAGCACCATAATTCAAAAACATCAATTCTTCAGCGATCAGCCTTCTTTATGGTCCAGCTCTCACTTCCATACATCACTACTGGGAAAACCATAGCTTTAACTATACGGACCTTTGTTGGCAAGGTGATGTCTCTGCTTTTTAAGATGCTGTCTAGGTTTGTCATTGCTTTTCTCCCAAGAAGCAGGTGTCTTTTAATTTTGTGACTGCTGTCACCATCTGCAGTGATCATGGAGCCCAAGAAAGTAAAATCTCTCACTGCCTCCATTTCTTCCCCTTCTATTTGCCAGGAGGTGATGGGACCAGTGCTCATGATCTTAGCAAAATAATATACAGAATAAACTCATAGAGTTGTAGAGACAGAGATTCAGGAAAACAAATATTCTCCATGCCAGCTGGGAAAGAAAAGTATTGGCTACCTGCAGAACAGTGAGGAGTGATGATGGTCAGGTGTTTTATTTGTCAGAATCAGAAAAGGGATTAAGAGCAAAGTAACTGGCAGTTAAGCTTTTTAACTGTTCAGGAGATGCACCCTTCTTCTCCAAAGTAAATCCTTATCTATTTTATGTTGCATCTCAACCTAGTCTCAGTATTGATGAAGGAAAAATTATAAAACCTTTATATAAAAATAATATTATTTGGGGAACAATGGAATGCTGCTAGCTCACGATTATGGATGGATGAATCTTCCAATTTGTTTCTCTCAGTTTCTTCTTTTCCCAGTCATAACTCTAGTTCTCCCCCTTTCTGCAATGATTTGCAATTTAAAAAATCAAATCTTTATGAAAATTCATCAGCATTTTAGTGCAAATTTCTCCCTATACATGCCGCTCTTTTTTGCAGTTTTGAGTAACAAACACATTGCTGCAAGCAATTTTCTATAATGCAATGCATTTTTCTTTGTTATTTTAATGAATGTATGCATTCTTTTGCTAACTAAGATATGCACTTTTGCACACATTGTTTGGCTGGAGAGCTGCATTCAGGGAAGTGTGAATTTTGAATGATAATTGTGTTTTGGTTTACGTACTGTTTTGAAATGTGCAAATTAAGCAGCTTTTCATTAAAATGCTAACAGAATAGAAATTATCCGCCACTCTTGCACACAAATCTGTTTCAGCAATGTGGATTTGCTAATACCTAGGATTTGTAGTCCCAGGTAGATTAAACCAAGCTACATCTTTTTTCAATCCTTAGCATCACCAGGAAGGGATGGGCAAGACTGCTGTCTTAAATCCTAGTGAGTCACTGCCATGCACGTAGAAAAAAAGTGAGCTATAGGGACCAATGTTCTGATCGTTGTTGTTTGTTGTTGTTGTTTTAAGGCTGTGAAACATTCTGCAACAAGTGACCCAACCCAAATTCTACATCAAAGAAAGCTGAGCTTTGCAACCTGTATAAACTGTGTTAAGATACAGTGGCACCTTGGTTCTCAAACTTAATTTGTTCCGGAAGTCCATTCCAAAAGCAAAGCGTTCCAAAACCAAGGTGAGCTTTCCCATAGAAATAATGCAAAATGGATTAATCCATTCCAGACTTTTAAAACAACCGCTAAAACAGCAATTTAACATGAATTTTACTCTTGAACGAAACCATTGATCCATAAAATGAAAGCAATAAACAATGTACTGCAGTCACACAATCAATCGATGGGTTCCACACAGTCACAAAAACAAAACAAAAAAGCCACAAAAACAAAAATGCAAAATAAATAGCAGAAACAGACAGACCTCAGCGTAACACTAAAAATGGAAGTGTGGCACTCAAAACAGAGCATGTTCAGCTTCCGAAAAATGTTCGCAAACTCGAACACTTACTTCCGGGTTTGCAGTGTTTGGGTTCCAAGTTGTTTGGAACCCAAGGCAGTTGAAAACGAAGGCGGTTGAAAACGAAGGTACCACTTTACAAAAATTTAGCTATACTCAAGGCCTGCCAAGTGGCTCAGGAGCAGCCAATCTCTCTCCATTTAGGTTCACAATGGCATGTGCACCACTGCATTTCCACATAGCGCAATCACATTTAGTTGTGGTATGTATATGAATTCCAGACCCTTGGGGAGTGGTCCAATCATTGCCTTCCTTTCTCATCAGATTGTTAGCCTTTCCCTGAGGTGACATTCAAGTGTGGAAGCTTTGTGCAATCGGTCCTGGCCATATGGGTCCAACATTCATCACAGCCCACTAGACAGCACCATGCAGAAGGGTCTATCATACCTCTGGAGGTCCACATAAAGCAGCTTGTTGTCATCTGTCTGAGTGCAAAATAAAGAGAAGAACCTCCCCTGTTTTGTCCTCAAAACCTTATTTTTGTAGATAACAATGAACAAGCAAGCTAGAAGGAATGGCTTGACAAATAAGCAAAGACAGGGAAACCTCTTGAAGAAGACTTAAAGCATCCTCTTTTCTTTTCTTGAAAGGTCCTTTTGCAGCCTCCAAAAGGATCTGTGTACATCAGGGGATGCTTAGAGATGATAAACAGAGGTGGAAATATAATTAGAAGATGGAGAGTAAAAGGTTACCAAATTAAAGGCATTTGAATTCCTGCTGGCTGAGGAGATTACAAGAACCACATAGAATACTTCAAAGTTTTCAAAGAGGAAAGAGATTAAACAGAGCACTTGGCTTCTTTGTTTTCAAGTGTAGTGGCACAAAATTGCCAGCCCCTGTTCTTTAGCTGGCTGCTCCCAATGTCAGTGACGCCCTATTATTCAGTATTAGCCAGGGAAAGTATTTTGCCTCCTACATCTTTGCAATTCCCTCCCCCTGCACCCATCAGTCTGGGTTTGCCAGCTTTTATCACCTTCTAGCAGTAACTACTGCTGTGCCAAAATCTGCCCTCTGTTTTCTCAAAGAAGAAGAGGAAGAAGAAAAGAAAATTCCACTGCGGAAGAAACTTCCGTTCTTCTGCCTCATTCTCAGAGCCTGTAGGAATTCTTCCATATTTCTGTGGGTCTGAGGTTTTTGAGCTTACCTTATCATTGTGCGATGGCTGGTGGTAGGGTATGTCCTTTTTCTTTCCAGTATTTACCCCCCCCCCCAAGTATTCTGCAGCCTCCCAGGCTGCCCATGTTTACTGAATGAAAGAAGTTACCTTATGATATCTTCCCCATGAGTTTTAACTGAAGCATGGACACCCAGGGAGGCTGCAAAGCACAGACCACTGGTGAGATGATATGTAGAATGAAAGAAAGGACACTCACAAGCATCCTCGTCCATCACAAAACTTAGGTAAGTGCAACTAAAGCTATGCACCCCACCCATGATTTTCTCTCCCCTTTTATAGTTTCCAATGCAATTTCCTTTCTCACCAATTGATGGATAATTCTCAGTGGAAGGCTGGAGAATTCTTTTGGCACAGCAGTAGCAGTAACACAAGGAGCTGCAGTTTGCAAAATGTTTTCTTGCATTGGAAGAAAGCTCCTGCTTGGAAATCCAGCTCCTGACACAGATCAGACTACAGTGACAAATTGATTGATTAAAATTCCATGAGATAAGTATTGAAAAGGTTGATCTCTCATATATATATATATATTCAACATCTCACAAGGTTCCATTATGGATTCGTGACACTTGCTCCATCAATCCAAGAGGGAGATAAACATCAACTCATATCCAGGCACCAAAAGCTGCATGGCTCTTTTTTCAAAAATGTACTCAAAATCACGACATTTCATAATTTGTACTGCTTTCTCTTGTTGAAATCACATCAGTTTAGAGATCGTTTATCTTTCAGTATAAATTGACTGCTGAATTTCTCATTGTATGATGCTGACACAAGCCAAGGCTGTTGCCTCATTGACAAAAAAACATAAACCTTGTGAAGAAGATGGTGAGAAAACTTTATAACAGATCGATCTTTGGCTTTACTTTTCAAAGTTTTTGCATTTCTTTCATTTTTTAAAAAACTGCCTCATCTTCCTGTTATTGTTTATTTTTTTGAATGCACTGCTTATTAATATACTCTTTAATCATTCACACCATGCAGTACATGGGAAACCAGCAGGACATTATTCAAGACCAGTTGGTCCTCGTAGTATCGACTGAGGTCAAGGAGGTTTTGGCAGAACCAGGCCTTTTGGGGGACTAGATCCAGGGCAGAATATGATAGGAGAGGGCCTAGAATCACTATTAAGTCCTTTTTTGTAATTGTTAAGTTGTGGGTGAACATATCAGATGACACAGCGATTCTTCAAACAGCTCTTCTTTATTCAGATGCCAGAACAGAACTGAACTGAAGGGCTCAGTCAGCCTGCTTATATAGAGCTCCAGTACCTTGTTACTGTAGCAACTTTCTAAAACTATCCAATCACTGAACGTCACTTTCAATCCTTCATTTGCATAACTATCTACAGTATCCCCCTGCTGGCCCAGGGTGAGAACTTCAGTACGTAACACCAATGACTCCTAAGTTATTCTCTGGTGTGGATTTCAGTTACAGAGCTTGTAAGTAGGTCCTTATTGTTGAAGCTGAGGAACTGCAGTTCCTTAGTTAAACCTCTTTATATTATAAGCTTGTAGGTAGGACATCTGCTATTTTTAATTTTAGTGCCAAGAAATTGCTGAGAGGATGGTCACATTGTGATAATCATAATGTTAACAACAACAACAACAACATCTCAAACTTTTCAGGATATTTTATTTCTCAGTGTGAAATTTCCCTCAATGGTGATGAGACAAGAGAGAGAGAAAAAGAGTTTTAAATTTAATCATGGGAAAATATTGGGGGGAAAGCTTCATATTCCTTATTATGCCCTTTTCATTCAGAGTGGTTGGTTTTCGTATCCCATTTCTCTCACGGAAATTGATGAGAAACTGATTAGGAAGAAAACCAGTTCTACCTATTTCCTGCCGTACCCGTTTCCATGATGCATAATATTTGCATTTCAAGTGCAGCAAGGGAATTCTTTTGTTTGCTTAACAATCTGTTTCATTTGGATATTTTAAAATGTCATGGAAACATTTCAGCTGGCCGCAGGTTTTCAAAAAGCTTGTTTACCCAACACTACATCACAATTTGGATGAAAACAAATCTTTGTCGGAAACCACTGACTCAATGAAGCTTTCTTGTGGTTTCGTTCCTGCACTGAAAGCTTGGTCACAATAATTATAGCATTGATATATAGTGATTTACATTTGCATAGCCACTGGAGATATATTATTTCCCATTCTAGCATTTATTTTTTATATTAAAAATACCTATATACAAAGAAGACTTGCTGTATATGGGGAGATTTAACAGTGTTGAGGCTGCCTTTGAGCATCAGGAGCTGTTCATAATTCTTTGAGTTGCAGGATAACATATTTTGGAATCTGCCTTCACCTTGAGCTTACCTTCCTCTTTCGACATTAGGGATGGAGGAGAAATGATAAAGAGCACTGTTAATTATGTATCACTGGCAAACTTAAAACACATGCAGAAACAATGATATGAATGAACACTTGGCTGCATTTGCTTGACTCATTTCCATTCTTGGAACTCTCTGTCAATTTCTGCCAAAAGTTCATTAAACGCAACAACAAAAATCCCACATTCAACCCATGAGCCTTTCACCAACACCGCCTCTCCCCCTTTGACAGTTTTCAAATGCAATTTCTTTTCTTGTGAATTGAAGGTCAAGAGGATAAACATGGAAGAATTCTTTTTGGCTCTGCACTAGATAGGAAAGCAGCCTCCATTCCACATGAATGGGAAACTGAGGTACAGGAAAGTGCTCTGGTAGTCAGTGCACCTGCTCGTGCACAATGTGGATAAATTAAGGGCGGTGATAGAATATTCAGCGGATGGAGCAAGCCAAGCACATTGCTTTAATTAATGAAATTCATTATTTAGAATTACCCTCCCTTCCTCTTCTTTAATAAGTTTCCTTTAACCTTAATTGTTTCCGATCAGCGTGTTCTTTTCTATCTTCCACCTACACTCTCCAGCTCTGTCAAGGGTGCACAACATTTCTCTCCCCGGCACCTATAAGCCTTCAGCAGCCACCAAGACTGTTCCCTCCCTCCTCTCAGCTGGCCTGCTATTTATAAATGACGCCATCTCTCATCTCAAGATGCCGTACAAGTAATTTGGGCAATGAATTCAAAGTCAGGGCTGATCAAGCAGTTTCACTCCAGATTCATTTCTCCTCAGCAGACCTGGGGAAGGCACACAAAGGTAGCCATGGCACTGCATTCTATGCAGCCCATTTTGACAGGGAACGGGGGAGTCAAGCTTATCTGCAAACTATCTGAATTCATCTACACCACTTTAATGATGTTTCCCTGCAAAGCCACCTGTGACCTTTGGCTGAGTAATGAAATGCACTCTAAAGAATTCTATACTTCTTAGGAGAGGACACCATATCCCTTGGGTGAAGGGACAAGAAAACAGAAAAATCATGCCACTTGCAGCAAGATCAATGATGCCAGCCATTTTTATAGGTCCCTCTTGGACAGAGGTTAGGCACCTGGGTCTAACCTAGACATATCCTTGCCTAGCAGCTTTTCATATATAAATGGGCATATTGTCTTTCTGGTTTTATTGGTTTCATCAGGCCATCCCAAGGATGGACCTGTGAACACAGGAGTAGGTGGCACATGAAAGGGCCAAACTGGATGTATTGTTTGTTAAGTATAATTATTTAATTCACACTGAAATGGAGAATGCCTATGTGTATTACTGAAGGTTTAAATGTGGGGTTTTTCCATGGAACTATACTGAAACAAAGAATAGGATTCTGAACTCTGAGTTGATAATTAACTGTTATTCTCTGCAAGCTAACACATGAGTGATTAACCTTAGATCACATGGGAGGCTACTGAATTGCAAAATCGCCATCTTGGAAGGGTGGCGGCTGAGTCTTTGTTCTCAGGTTCTATAGAGATAAGGATGTAATGAAGTTCTCCAGGAACACACAGCCTCAGGCAATATGGAGGCTGCAGGAAGGGAGCGACCTCTGCTTCTAGGAATTATCTTTTATTTATGAGGAGAAGAACCTGTGGTGGACTTGCACAATATATTGTATGGAACTATTATTATCATTTACTGGTTTTTGTTCTGTTGTGGGGAAAGTTTTGCAAGTAAGGTTTTGAATCAATCTAATGGGCCTAGACAGTTTTTATTCCAAAAGGTGTCCGTTTTTAGGCACCCAGTCACTTCAAGCTGTGCAATATTAAGATCTACAATAATGTTAATTGTGAGAACTTCACAGTATGTAAGGAACCCCTATCGTCCTGGCACACAAACACCATATTTTATTGGGAAGAGGCAAACACTAGTTAAGGTGGTGCCCCCCTTCATTCATTCCATTTTTACCTCCCATGCACCCAGTTCCTCCAGTGAAGCCAGAGCAGTGCACATGGTTCTTTTGTACCCATTCCACCCCCAAAACAGCCCTGTTATGTAGGTTAGGCTGAAAGATGCAGCACAATGGCCCAAAGTCAACTGATGGTTGAGTACTGGCTCTGCTGGTCCCTAGGGGTCCCTTTGGAATCAATCAAATTTTATATTAAATTAATTTCAGCTGTCCAGTAGATATTTTCCAAATTAACTTCAATAAAAATGGACACATTCCCAATTGGACAGAGGACATACCCATCTCTAGAAGTGAAATGCCCTTAAAGAGTTCCTAGATGCCTTTAGGAATTTTGTACAAGCTAACAGCCAAGTTCTGTAAAAAGGATTTTCACCCCTGGAATAATGCCATGGACAGTTTAAAATTCAACAAAGAGGATTTAAAGTAGCAATGAATATTCAAAGTGGAATTTAGAAGGAAAAATACCTAGGTCTTTCTGGATATCCCACCCCCTATTGCGATATAAATAATCACCTAAGTGTCCTGCCTATGAAATATGCATGCATTAATTAAGCAAAAGATTACAGCTCAGTACATACACTGCATTTCTCACTCGCTGTCTTTCTCTTTTTGCCTAGGCAAGGTGACTGGCCAGCATGAAAATCAGCAGAGGTGAGGGAAATATAGCTGTGGAAAACAGTTAACAGCACAAATCAGAGGAGCCGCATGCAGCTGAATGGTTCACGATGGTGATGCATCACTACACACATGGGAGAAGTAACAATGAGGAAAACAATAGGGGCTGGCTACTACAGAAAGCGGGTAAGGGACCCGAGAAAAACAAAGCCCTAAGCTTTTCTACTAAGTACTTTTCAGTGAAAGTCATAGGGCCCCTCTAAACTGCTGGTTTATTGAGCATTAAACCAGACTTGCTTGCAAAAAGCTTTTGTGGAGGTTAAACTATAATCTGGTTGTTGTTGTTGTATTTTGTTCTACATTCATTCTGATTTGTTGGCGGAGTAGATATGCTGCAGTGAGCATTTATTTTAGACAGTATTTATTACATTTATAACTCATCATAGGGAAGTTTTTGATGTTTAATGTTTTATTGTGCTTAATGTGTTTCATTTGCTGGAAGCCGTCCAGAGTGGCTGGGGCAACTCAGTCAGATGGGTGGCAAACAAGCAAATAAACATATAAAAATCATCATCATCATTATCATCATCTTTCCTCCAATGAGCTCAAGGTGGTGTCCATGGTTCTCCACCTCCCCATATATCACCCCCACAACAACCCTATGAAGTAGGTTAGGCTAAGAGACAGCAACTAGCCCAAGGTCAGCCAGTGAGCTTTACAGCTGCATGGGGACTAGAACCCTGGTCTCCCGGGTTTGAGTCCAACACTTTGACCACTGCACTGGCTCTGATCTGTTTGTGGGCTGTTTATACATCATTCATTCATCCCATGCTTTCCAGTGGACTTGTGGATTTGTTGCCAGGCAGATGAACATGACAGAGCATGTTGATCTACTTGATTTGTGCTTTTAAATTGCTCCCACAGCTTATAGGCAACATGGAATTCAAGCAGGGGGGTGGTTAGGGGGTTGTCCAAGCAATCCGAGCCCCCGGTCTTTAGAGGTAGATCCCAGATCTCCTGCCTCCCACTTTTAAAACATTTTAAAAATATATTTCTAGGGCTTCTGGAGTCACTGCAAAAGTGCACTGCTGCTGAGACCCCACCATTTAAATTTCCCAGAAGAATCTATATATGCAGCATATGCAGATTTTATGCAAATTTGTACCAGGGACCTATGGTCCTTTGAGAGCACGGTAATGGCGCTGACCCCAAATAAGCTATTTGTGTTCCATGATTTCTTGCCACGATCCCAATAATCTCATTCCCACCCAGGTGTATGAATGCCCAGCAACACATACATAGGCCCAACTAGACAATTAACAACAGCACTAATCATCTCTTGAAGGGAGAAGAGGGAACACAGTGCATTATCCTAAGAGTTGATTAGGTATATCCCCGGTTTTCAATACAATGTGACTTTCATGTAGCCCTGAGAGCTAAATGAGGCTAAGAATCGCATATGCCACACCCTTTTTGCACACTGAGCTCTTGTTCTGCTAGGAGTATGCCTTTAGAAGCCTGCTTCCATTTAACTATGGAGCATATCTGCACTGGCTGCCCATAGACTACTGTGTCAGGTGATACTTTATTGTGCTGATATACAAAGCCCTGAACAACTTGAGTGCAGGATACCTTCAGGACTACCTGAGCCTTTCTATCCTAGCTTGATCACTGAAATCCCATGAAAGAGCACTGTTGGTTGTCACAAGAGACCTGATTGACCTCAACTGGATGTTAGTTGAGGTCAACTGGATGTTAGTGCCGCTAGTCTTAGGGTGTAAAATGGTCTTCCAGCAGAGATATGGCAGACATCCTCAGTTCTAACCTTCAGGTGTCTCTTGCAGAATGTCTGTGTCAACAGGCCAATTCAGTGCCTTAAGCTTTAAAGATGAGCGAACCATTTTTATGATAATTCTGTATTGTTTTTAACAGTGTTTTGTCTCTTTTGTTGTACACTGCCTTGAGATTTTGTACAAATGGCCATCTATAAATATTTTTATAGGTAAAGTAAATAATCATGCATATTGTAATTTTTATTGTTGAATTTCCTCCAAGGAGCTCAGGGAGTACACTGTTTCCCCTTCTTCATTTTATCCTCAGAACAAACCTGTGGGGTAAGTTATGGTAAGAAACAGTGACTGACCTACTCATTGAGTTTCATGGCTGAGCAGGGATTTGAACCCTGGTCAGCTAAGGTCCTAATCTAACCCCTCAAGCCATTACACTACAAACTGACTCTCTAGATAAATTGCATTGTCTATGTTTTTTCCTTGTTGCCAATTTATTTTGCACTAGATCTTTGCTATAATTCCTGGCATCGAGCAATGTCTCTAACCTTCAGGGATGCCTGTTTGCTACCAGCCTGGGAGAGGAGAAAAGAGAGATGAGTTTTAAAATGCATATGTTGTCTTTTCTGTGCCATAACAAGCTTGGCATCCTACCAGCAATGTCTGAATCTCTCTCCCAGGGTAACTAAGACAGCTCAACCAGCTGTAGTCAAATTGCATTGGAAATGGATAGTTTGCAAATTCTCCCCTCGAATGAAATTTTAAATTACAAAAAAAAAGTCATCTGACCGGTTATCTCTTACTAAAGTGCTGTACGATTTGCATATAAACTTCATTTCTTTTTCTAATTACACAGAGTTAAAATGCATTCATTTTCCCTTTGATTATGAGCCGGCCTTGCCAAACACCTGTGACTGCCACAAATTCTAATTTGTTATTTATTTACTTCAAAGCAATCTTATTATCTAAATGATTCAAAGCATCAAAGGCCTTAATTATTGATACTCAATTTGATAGGCTACGCTTTCCATGTCCTTGGGATGAGGAAGATGACTCTTCATTTCCTTTGCCTCAAGTACACACTTGAGGGGGGTAGTGGAAGAGAACACAGGATTTTGTACACACACACACACACACACACACAGAGAGAGAGACGACATCTGAAATTAAAATCCTGCTTAGCTTCATCCAGGTTTATACAATAGGATTGACTGCTACAATCTTCTGCCAAACAGAACAGGCTTTATTTTAAGAGAGAGAGAGAGAGAGAGAGAGATTATTTTTAACACAGAGAGAGAGTTTTAATGTTGGGGGGCACAGTTGGAAAAGGTTCAGAAATGGCGCATCAAAATGATCATGGGGTTTGACTGATGCCTGCAAGGAAAGGTTGCAGCTAGGGCTGGGCAATATCTAGTTTTTAATATCATGATACATCGCCAGCTAAACACTGTCTCGATATATCATGATGTCTGAAATGAGGCTGGAGCTTATAATAATCTGGGAAAATGTTGGGGGTGGAATCTAAATTTGATGTGTCTAATTAAGTGAAAATTTACTCAATGATAACATGCTTAACTAAACCATTAAAGATTTCTGGAGAATATATAACTGTTCTGTTAAGGGCTTTATATACCCAGAAGTAACACCTTGAACTTGGCCCTGTAAAAAAATTACTAAACTTTAATTGCTAAATCTGTATAGTGTTTATCCACCAAGAAACTTAAAATAATGTGTTATGTACTGAGTTGAATAGGATCCATTCCATTCCTCCTCACCACTATGAGCTGAATAAAGAGCATTAAATCCACTCTCGACTCCCAGTATATTTCATAATGCATATGGATTCCACCCAACTGCCTCTCATATTACTTTATTTATAATGTAATATATTTATATCCTGCCAAGTCGAAATTCAAGGCAGCTTACAACATTTAAAAGCACCAGTCACAGAATAAAAAATAATAAAAGCAAACTGGTTAAAAACAATACTTAAAATACATCACAATATATGTAAAACCAGCAATTAAAATTTGAACTGGCAGCAGCCCAGTCATCAGGATTGTCTGCACCATTGTTTCCAAATGCATAAAGCCCTTTACTGCAAAATTGTTTGCTTCCTTTCCTGAACAGGAGCAGGAGCCAAGCCACAAGGATCTTGTCACAAAGAAGAAACTTTGTTTGCTAATGGGAATCTCCATCCCACAGCACTGCTGAGGAACAATGATTCCAATAAGCAAACAAAGATACGCTCTACTGGGCTCTAAGGCACACACTCTAAAGATCCCGATATTGTGCTTAGCCTGATGTTGTGCTGGGTCTCTATTTTAAGCTTTTTGAGCTGTTTCCGCTTCTTTTTCCATTGTGTTGCCACACATCCAGGTTTTCACTAACATTTTGCCAGCCAATTCGGCAAATCCCCCCCCCCCCCGATGCCATTTTTACACCCAAAAACCAGAACATTTCAGGTATGGCAAGCCTAGATATATCTCTAAGGGCCACAGGTCAGTGGTAGAGCTAGTACATGCTTTGCTTACAAAAGGTCCTAGGATTATTCCTCAGTATCTCCACACATGACTGGGAAAGAGCCTTGAAACTCTGGAAAGCTCCCAGCAATCAGTGCAGACAAGAATGAGTCTGATGGGCCAATGGTATAACATAGACTGCTTCCTAGGTTTCTAATGTTTAAAGTAACTTTCATATTTTTAAACTAAAGCAACTATTGCTAAAAGAGAGAGAGAGACTCCCATGCTTAGCTGCCATTCATTCATTTATATATTAAAGCATGCATGCATTAATATCCTGTCTGACCAGCCTGAAAACAGGCTCTTGAAGCAGCTTACCCAATTATTGATGTTGCAAAGCTGGTGGAGATCAGGATGCAAGGGGTCATGATATGCATAAATTTCAGTGGGAGACGGGGGCTGGATCTAGACACATAAAAGAAGTGTTTCAGTTAAATGTGTTGCAAACTTTGTATGAAAAATCAGGTTAGCAAAAACGGAATTCCACAGCACCATCTGGTGTCACAGTGTTAGAATGCATAAACAATGTATATAAAGTGCTTTTTCTTTGCCAATGTAGCTGAGTCCGGGGATAGTGGAGCTGGCATTTTCAGTGGCAACCACACATTTAGTATAAATTCTGGTTTCCCCACAGATGTGGGAAAAACACACCAAGTGTTATGTGTGAAAATCCCTTTCGTTTGTAGCAGATTAAATAGAACTTTAAAAGCCGGCTGTGCTTGCAGGGCTATAATGTCTCTCACCTTATCACCCTATGAGCACCTGCACATTAAAGTGTTTGCAATATTTGCAGAGGATACTGAGCCAATATTATAAGCCTGGCTGGACACCACTCTGCTATCGTCAAGAAGGAAGATGATGCAATGAGAAATGGGAAAGTGTAATGGAGATTATAAAGCATCTGGCGTGTGAAAAATCCTACCAACATTGCAACAGACAGAGAATGGAAGTGACCTCAAAAATGTAATAAATTATATTACTCCACTAACCCGAAGCCTAATAATAATATGGTTGCACAAATTGATCTGAAATAACATTTACTGCATCTAATGGTTTACATTAGCAAAGGAGGAATGACAAAATGAATCACATACTGACATTCAAAGGATAGCAATCCGCTTACGCGAAGATAGACGCTCTGACAGATGCTATAACCCTAGCAAAAAGCATACTGAGTGATTATATCTTGGTTTGTTGGTCATGTCAGTGACATGGGAACTCACATTTAGCAATACCATAAAAAGACAACAAAAAGCAAGGGGTGGAGACACACCACTCAGATTTCCAGTTTAGCAAGAGTACTTGTGGTTCAAATAAAACTGAAGTGTCTATTTTGTAAAACCAGGAACGGGGTCTTAAAAGTAATACAAGCTCACACATTTATGTACTGCATCCTTATATGCACCTTGAAATTAACACATGCAATCCTATACAATACACTAAGGACTCTTAGCTAGAAAAAGAAAACATAACCGACCAGCCAAGTTTCAAATGCCAGTCAAATACCATATTTTTCCATGTACAGTGGTACCTCGGATTACATACGCTTCAGGTTACATATGCTTCAAGTTATACACTCCGCTAACCCAGAAATAGTGCTTCAGGTTAAGAACTTTGCTTCAGGATAAGAACAGGAATCGGGCTCTGGTGGCATGGCGGCAGCAGGAGGCCCCATTAACTAAAGTGGTGTTTCAGGTTAAGAACAGTTTCAGGTTAAGAACGGACCCCCGGAACGAATTAAGTACCTAACCCAAGGTACCACTGTATAAGACTAGGTTTTTTCCCTAAAAATAATGTCAAAAATTTGGGGGGCGTCTTATACACGGATAGCGCTGATCCCCATTTTCTAAAATCGAAGTCCCCCAAATAGGGGGCGTCTTATACATGGGGGTGGGTGTCTTATAGATGGGAAAATACAGTAAATTGACACTATACTAGCTGCACCTCCTCCCATGTTGTCAGAATTAGGAAACTTTAGAGTCAAAGGGAATATTGGATGTCATCTAGTCAAACCCCTCTCTTGGTGTAGGATCTGATGGAAGTATTGACAGGTGGCCATCCAGCCTCTCTTTAAAAACCTCCAGCAAAGGTGTATTCTGTATATCTTGGGATGAATGAGAGGAAAAAATACTGAATGGTGGTGGTGGTGAAAGATTGCAGATGGCCACCATTGCTGTACCTTAGCCTTTGTCAGCTGTGCTGGCTGAGGCTGATGAGAATCCTAGTCCGAAACCAGGTTAGGAACCAGGTTGACATAAATGGACTTCTGCCTTCATTAGTTATGTTAGGTATATAGACTTTCCTTCTTATACCTCTCATGGCTTGAATGAGAAAAATGTTCCTGTTACAGTGGTACCTCGAGTTAAGTACTTAATTCGCTCCGGAAGTCTGTTCTTAACCTGAAACTGTTCTTAACCTGAAGCACCACTTCAGCTAATGGGGCCTCCTGCTGCCACCTCCCCGCCGGAGCACAATTTCTGTTCTCATCCTGAAGCAAAGTTCTTAACCTGAAGCACTATTTCTGGGTTAGTGGAGTCTGTAACCTGAAGCATATGTAACCTGAAGCGTATGTAACCTGAGGTACCACTGTATTGTATAGGACGCTGGAAGACTCTGACTAATTGATTGTAAACTCCTAGCAGAAAGAAAGCCCTGAACAAAAGAAACTGCGGGCTCCCTTTGAAGTGAATCTAGAGTGATAGAAGCAAAAGCCCCTGAGGCCTGTGAGGATACAAGCTTTAGGGTGTAATTGCACAGATGCAAAAGCAGAAAGAGGATGCCTGCAGAATCCTTAATGTCAAGGAGGCACCCAGGAACACTTAGCAGCGAGTGTTCATACTTCTGCCTCTGAAAAAGACCAGCAGCAAGTACATATCTTGCGTGAGTTATCATTTTCAGGATGGAGGGAGGGGCTCTGTTTAAATATGGCTTTTTGAATGGATTTAGGCATTTGCAGATTAATGCGGAAATAGGACAGAACAGGTTTATGGTGAGTGAAGCCAGTGAACACATGTGAAAGTGACTCTACAGACTGGTAATAGATCCAGCCAATTACATTCCAAATGCAAGAAGAGCTCTTCTGGATCAGGCCAAAGGCCCATCTAGCTCAGCAGCCTTTTCTCACAATTGCTAACCAGATGCCTTTGGTAAGCCCTCAAAAAAGACCTTTGTAATTAGCTGCAATTCTTTTCCTGCTTCCTCGTTTCCATGCTGGATCCCATACTCCTCTGGTTCCATACTCCTCTGGTTCCAGTTTCTACCTAGTAAGAACATTAAAATACAGAAAGATAGAAAAATGCATGCCAATTATTTCCTTAAATTCTACTTTAAAAAAAAAAATGTTTGTATTTTCCTTTTCCACCCACCCATCGATTTCTGTCTCTCCTTCTGTGACACATGATTTAGGAGATCATGATCTCTCAGGCTATGGAAACCACAAGACATCAGTAACAAACTAAGTGTTGTGATTCCCCTCAATTGGTTGGCTGCCCGGGGGCGTGGCGCAGCAGCAGGGACGGCCAAGCAGGGGCCGGAACGCCCCCTGCAAAATGCGGGAACAGCTCCCGCTCACAACTCCTCCCCTCTGAAAATACAGGTAACCTATGTGGGCAGATTCAATTGCCTTTACTCAAAGGAGTTTCCTGAAACACATACAGTGGTACCTCTGGTTGCAAATGGGATCCGTTCCGGAGGCCCGTTCACAACATGAAAAGAAAGCAACCCACAGCGGCGCATCTGCGCAAGCGCAGGTTGTGATTCACCGCTTCTGCACATGCACATGACGTCATTTTGCGCTTCTGTGCATGCGTGAGCAGCGAAACCTGGAAGTAACCCTTCCCGGTACTTCTGGGTTGCTGCGGGACGTAACCTGAAATAACATAACATGAAGCGGACGTAACATGAGGTATGACTGTATTTGTAAGCCCTCAAACGTCAGCTCAACAGAAGTTGGGCATCATACCTATTTTGCCTGTTCTGTGGATTTAGCATGACAGTTACATTCCACTAACTTTAAAGCTGAAAGGCGGCATGGGTAATGGAATCTGCTATAATGTAAGAGTGAAAAATGGGGAGATTTGAGAAAGGAAGAAGACTGGAGTTTCTCTCCTTGCTGTATTTAGTTAATACTTCTGGGATTATCACAAATGCTTCTCTTAAAAAAGCAAGCGTACAGTAAACAGCTTTGATGCAAGGCCTCTATCTATAGCTAAAAGCAATGTGGCCGACAAATGCTATCTACCAGTGCCTTTTGGCTGGCATGCATGCCTAATTGAGTGCCACATTGTGTCCGTTTTATCTCCCCTCCAAGGTGCGCAACAAGAGATCATCACTGACAAGTGAAACCACTGAGTGAGCATAAATAACACATTTCATTGATCCACAGATGATTGTGGGTGGAACTTGAGGCAGGCCAGCCTGCGAGCCATTGAAAAACGTATCAGTAATGTAATTCATTTTGCTGCCATTCACAGTGACTTCTCGAATTATTTTAACACTTGTTCATGTTGAAGAGATCAATCAGGATTGCTTGCAGTTAAGCTATTTTGCTTTGGCCATGGAAAATAAAAGGCATAGGCTGGATCGTCATATAGTCTCATGAAAGCAGCATGGGATGCGCTTTTAAGTTCAACACAGTGGCCTCTAAGCGGCAGCTGAATGAGTCGTATGAATGGCAACCCACAAAATACCAGAATTTAAAAAACATAATAGGTGCATGGCATTAACTACAGTATAGCCACCTCACTTCAAGTCTGAAATGGTCTCATCCAGAAAAAAAGATGTTATCACTTGATTCCAGGCCTTCCTTTCAGCAGTGCAGCCAAAGGCTAAGCCAGTCATATGACAGCTGACAGCATAGATCAGGCGTTGGTAGGCGAATTTACAAAGGCTTTGTATCCTGTATCGTTTAGCCATCCCTGAAATGTACCTTTCCCCCTGATTATGAGTTTGCAACGTGAATCATAATTTGCATCTTTGACAGCGAAGGAGAGACTGATGGATTAAAACAATGCTTTGTTTGAATAATGTCAGCCGCTGTGACAATGACACTAATGCGGAGTGCTAAATAATAGGTATACCTTGATGCAATTTTAAAAATATGCAAGCTATTGTCTTAGCTATCAATGCACCACTGTGCCTGGCCTGTCATCTAATTTCACCCATCTCATTGACAGCTTCCTACAGGAGACTGTGCTCCCTTCCCAATCACATGTGATTGTAATTAAATAAACACAGGAAAGTGTTCGTACGCAGCAAAATGAAAATGAGGACCTGAACTCTTTGGTTCCATTTTAATGGAAATAATTTCCTGACCTCATGCCTACAAGTCACCTCAGATGATAATTTTAAGTTGAAGAACTATGAATATATATAGATTCTGAAGTGCCATCTTGTGTCCTTTCAATGCTTCTCACAACTGCAGTCTTCTCTCAAGTTCCCCATCACTGTCACCATCATTAAGTACATTTGCTCTCTCTGTCTATGGCTTTGCCAAGCTATTTGGGGAAAGTAGAGGTGTAGGGACTAGAAAGTAGAGGTGTAGAGACATCACCTTGCCAACAAAGGTCCATACAGTTAAAGCTAAGGTCTTCCAAGTAGTGATGTATGGAAATGAGAGTTGAACCATAAAGAAGGCTGATCGCCGAAAAATTGATGCTTTTGGATTATGGTGCTGGAGGAGAATCTTGAGAGTCCCATGGACTGCAAGAAGATCAAACGCATCCATTCTGAAAGAAATCAGCCCTGAGTGCTCACTGGAAGGACAGATCCTGAAGCTGAGACTCCAGTACTTTGGCCACCTCATGAGAAGAGAAGACTCCCTGGAAAAGACCCTGATGTTGGGAAAGATGGAGGGCACAAGGAGAAAGGGACGACAGAGGATGAGATGGTTGGATAGTGTTCTCGAAGCTACCAGCATGAGTTTGACCAAACTGCGGGATGCAGTGGAAGACAGGA